TCTCCTCGAAGTGGGAGACGTAGGGGATGGTGTTCTCGGCCTTGAGGCAGGCCTCGTGCATCTCGGAAACGGCCTCGTTGGGGTAGCTGCCCTTGGCGGTCTCGCCGGACAACATGACACAGTCGGCGCCGTCGGTGATAGCGTTACCAACGTCGCTGATCTCGGCACGGGTAGGGCGGGGGTTCTTGATCATGGACTCGAGCATCTGGGTAGCGCAGATGACGGGCTTACCGGCTCTGTTGCAGAGGGCGATCATCTTCTTCTGGGCAGCGAAAACCTCGGCGGCGGGAATCTCGATACCGAGATCACCACGGGCGACCATGACACCGTCAGTCTCTGTGAGGATCTCCTCGAAGTTGTTGAGACCTTGACGGTTCTCAATCTTGGCAATAATCTGGATGTGCTTGCCCTCGGGACCTAGAACATCGCGGATATCCTTGATATCCTGGCCGCGGCGAATGAAGGAGGCGAAGACCATGTCGACGTTGTTCTTGACGCCGAATCTGAGATCGTTCTTGTCCTTCTCGGAAAGGGCAGGAAGATCGACGTCGGTGTTAGGCAGGTTGACACCCTTCTTGGAGGAAATGAAGCCGTTGTTGCGGGCGCGGACCTCGACGGTCTTGTCATCCTTGACGCTGAGGACGTCGAAGGCGAGGACACCGTCGTCGACGTAGATGATGCGGCCGGGCTCAATGACCTTGGTGATGTTCTTGTAGTCGACGTACCTATCAGAACAACGGTTAGTAATGCCACGGAAGGGCTTTTGGGACAGAGATGAGAGCTTACATGTTGTCAGTGTCGCAAGCAGTGGCGTATTGCTCGTCGGTGGTGAAGTTCAGGATCTTGCCGGCAGAGATGGGGAGATCCTCATCGTTCTTTGTGTTTCCGGTGCGGATCTCGGGGCCCTTGGTGTCGAGAGCAATGGCAATCTGACGGCCGGGCTGGGCCTTCTCGGCGGCGCGGGCATTGTCAATGACGGACTGGTGGTATTCGTAGCTGCCGTGCTGTTCAGAAGCGAGGGGTTAGCAAGACAGGCATACTTTGGTGGGGGTTGACGTTTAGCGTCTGTGTTGGGGTTGGGGGAGCTTACGGAGAAGTTCATGCGAACAACGTTCAGACCAGCCTTGCGCAGAGCGTTGATGGCCTCAACGGAGTTGGTCTTGGGACCAATGGTGCAGATGATGGAAGAGCGACGGTAGTTCTTCTCGGGCTGGTAGGCGGTGTCAAGGCTGGAGAGCCATGCGATCTTGCCGCCGACATCGAGATGGTCCTTGGCGGTAGCAGCCATTGTGTCTAGATGTATAGGTATGTGTTTGGACGGGTGATGAGGAGAGTTGAGAGAAGAAGTCGATCACCGTAGGATGGAGGATGTATGTAGCAGAGGAGAAGTGTGCTACTTAAAGATAGATGGTCGAGGCGAAAGGGAGGAGTGGAAGAAGAGGAGGAGGGGTCTAATGCGGTTGTTAAATCCTGCTGGGAGTGGGGGTGGGCAGAGAGAGCAGACACAGAGGGAGAGGTCAAGGCAAGGTCAGGCAAGGTACGTAAGGCCAAGGGGAGAGATAACTAATTAAAAAAAAATTACGATAAAAAAAGGTCATACAAATCGACGAGGTTGACGAGTGAGACTTCTTTGTTTTTTGGGGGTGGTCAAGCCAATGCAGGATTTATGCACAAGATGATGTATTTGAGCATCAGCAGCCTCAGCCAGATATTTGTTGAAGACCACCAGGGACTCAGACAAGAGAGACAGAGGCAGTGGCATTGGCAGAGGCAGAGGCAGAGGCAGACACACGAGGGGCAAGGACGAGAAACAATTTGCTCCTGACCCAAACAAACCCAAGTGAAGCGTGAAGCTGCCCGGCGGCGCACTCCCCGTCCTCTGCTTGCTGCTTTCGCTGTGGCTTGCGTCGGCGGTGGTGTCGGCGCCTTTTTTTTTTTCCCTCTTTTTTTTTTTTTTTTTTCTCAGTCTGCCCGGGTGGCCGCCGCTTTGCCCCTCGTTGAACCTGTTCCCTGCACCGGCCGGCACTACCCCCGTTTGGTGAGGTGAGGGGGAGAAAGGTGCTGAGAAGGTGCTGAGGAGCGTAGCTGCCCCTCAATCCAACGGAGTGGTCTGTGCACCTTGGTCCGTGGCCGGATGGCAGGAGGGTAGAGCACCCAAGCACCCACGCACCTTCCCCCCCAATCCCTGCCAGACTTGGAAATGGAAGCAATGGAGCTGAGGTGGGCAAGTGCAAGTGCAAGTGTGCAGCTTTGGCAGTAGCGACTGGGCCCCCCACCAATGTGAGGAGCTTGCGGTGACAGGTACCCTGCCATACGGAGCCCAGTACTCCTACCTGCCTTACCTAAGCTCAGGCCTCAGGGTTCCGCGCTTCGCACCAGCCTGGCACCTCCCACTTTCATCCATCTTTTTTCGCCATCTCATGCCGTCCAATGTTGAGCCACGGCAACCAAGAAAAAGAGACGACGGAAGGAAATCCAGAGCAGCTTGACCAGGACAACTCTATTGAAGCATTGAAGGTTTTCCTGCTTCCTCTTTTGCTCACCTCACTTTTTGCACCTCACCCTGACGTGCCCATCCACCAACTGGAAACGCTTGGCCAATGAAGCAACAAGCCCACGGCCCGAACAAGGTTTACGCAAATAGCACATACCAAAACGGCCCGGGATATGGTGAGGCGCCCCATGGAAGGTTGGGTGATGTGAGGTGAGGTGAGCCTGGTGAGGTGAGGTCCGGACGTCAGGCCAGCCCAGAAAAACAGCGTGGTTTCACCAGACGGTAAACAAGAAAATAAATAGATGCCAACTGGAAACCACAACAGAAACATCCAAGGGGCCGTCGACGCAACGCAATGCAATGATACGATGGCAGTGATCCACTCACCGAGTATCCGTAAGGTACCGTGTAGCAGTACGTCGTGCTATTTATTCTCCAACGCTCGAGCGTATCGAGCCGGGCAGTATCAGACACAATGGAATTAATAGCAACTGCAATGACGCCGTGGATAAGGTAGGGAGAGAAAGCGAGAGCGCAGGAGGATTGAAGGATGGGAGGGCCTGGAGTGACGGCCGGATAAAATGGGTGACGATGAGGGATTTCAGTCGCTTCCATTAGATCCAGCAACATCCAACTGTCTAGCTCCAGCTTCGGCCATTTTCTCGTTTTATTTTGCATCACCATCTCCCACTACGTTGTGCCCATCATGCACTTGCATCTGTCTGACAGTCTGTTGCACACTGGCGCATCTTCCATTCTGCGACGGAGCTCCGACCAAGCTTCCTTGGGCTGAGTCGAGTCTGAGGTGAGTTGAGCTGCCCGGTTTTTAAAGCCTCAAACACTCAACAAACTAGAAGTCCATGCCGCGGCGGGCGGCGGCGGCGGCGGTAGCGGACCACACACTTCCTTTGGCTCTTTTGGTTTTTGGCTCCGGGTCTGAGCTTCTAAGGTACCTTAGGTTCCTTTACCAAACGGCAAACCAGCCCGATCGCCCGACCCCTCCAGAAAATGGAAAATGGAACGCATCCATGTCACCTCAAAAAACGGCAAAGAGCCCCTCCGTGGAAATAGGTATGCCCCTCCATCCGCTGGAGAATGGGCCAGGACTGCGAATGCATCCGTTCATGGAGAATGGAATGAATGGAAAGGCCGCTGGGTCTCCCTCTCTCCATAGACTCCAGGCCAGAGTATCGGAGTGGAGAGGTCCCCTGGCCCACTTGCACCTTGGCAATGCCTCGCACCTCTCATGAAAATGGCAAATGGCGACAATGCATTTGTCCATGACTCTGTCAGCTCCGGACAGCTCCAACCTCTCAACACCCGCGTCCGGCCAATGACCATCTCCCCATCTCAAGAATAGGTGGACCACCGCCGGTGCACCGTCGGACAATTCCACTTGTGCCGCGGAGGAGAACAAGTCCAGGCCCCCATCCGAGCTCCGGCTAATCCGCATTGTTGGTGACGCGATTCAAACCGTCTCGATGGTTCGGGTCCGAGTCGCGCTTCCTGCTGCTTGCTTCTTATTTCCCTCATCACATCGCAGGGGTAGTGCTACAAGAGTGACACCCGCAAACAGATGTTGCCATGAAGAGGCCCATAAGAGAGGCGAAATGAAGACACTCAAAAACCCCAGGTAGGGCACCTTCAAGCTTGAGGCTTGAGGTACATCGAAGAAGGTTAGACGGATAATGGTCAGCAAGCCATATCATCGATGCTACTCCACTCGGAGACACGCGAAGATGAGCTTAATCGACCTCGCACCTAAGACTTCAGTTTGATGCCCACTGAAGATACGACACTCGACGATGCTCCTTCCAAGGTTGGGAAAAAGTCCACTCAGGTAAGTAGATAAGATAAGACGTGCACCTAGCGTGTCTTATCTTATCGGGACTGGAAGCTTTGAGCCTGAGGCACCGAAGGCTGCTATCGAGGTGTGCACAGTCCACTTCAACAGCACAGCCAGTCAGCTGGGGGAGGGATCATACCTTACTCCAGTTGCTCCAGTGTGCCTGCCACCTCCTGGCGAGTCTTGTCTCATGACCAACAACCTTCGAACTCCAGCCTTTGACTTTTGAGAGAACGACGCAACAACCACGAGACAACGACGATAAGAAACTCTCAAGCAAAGGAACATCATCGAGGGTAGCGTAGCACAAGCGACAAAAGAAATCGAATCAGATAGACCTTTTCAACAACTTGCACCAAAATGGTTGGTCCAGCATTTCCCCCCGTCGGGCTGCTGGCGAGTGCTTCTTGGCTCGCCTCGCTGCCTACATTAGCTTGGAGATTTGCTCGCGCAGTCTTAACACCTCCCTAGCTCCTCAACTTGCTGACTCTGGGCCTCTGGTCGAAGATTGGACGTTTGACTCATTACGCATTCGATGCGGTGCTCTGTAAGTCCTCCCCAGCCACCCTTCTTCGTTCGTACTCCTGTTGGATATATCATTTCGAGTCGATCGGTTCGCTAATCCTCGAGTCTTTTCTAGTCTCCGCCTTCCTCGCGGGTATGCAGCGCTCGACCGGCCTGACGTGAGTGAACTTGTCCCATATCCCGATGCGAATACTGGATCTCTGCGCTCGACGACAAAGACAAAGACGCTGCAGCGGCTAACATGTGCCCAATCTGGGAATCGTCAGACCCAGTTTCAAGACGGACAGAGCTGCCGGCGAAAACAAGGACATGACGAAGTGGATTGAGAAGTATCTCGGTGTCGGCGAGTGGGTGATGGATCAGTCGGTCGCTATTGCCGGCTCCAGCGGTTGGTTCGAACGCAGGCGATAAATCGAGACATCGAGACAGCACCAGTATTTTCCATTTTCCAACGACACCCGGCCGCCATTCTCCATGACGATTTGGAGTCGAACCTTGGCCTCTTCATTCCTCTGCAACCTTATTCACTAGGCCATTTTTTATGGCCGCAGTACGATGCTGGAAACGCTCTGCGACTGCTCGGAAGAAATCGGTATGGGGAGGTTCGGTTCCCGGGCGGTGTAAATCCAAGGGGTATCGGCGGATCTTGAACCGGGTGTTCTCGTGGGCTGAAATCGCTGATTATCGGAATCTCGAAAAAGCAGACTCGTGTCTCTGCGTGCAGGCGTTATGGGCGAAATAAGGGCGCATTTTCTCTAGCTGTACCTTGGGGAACAGGAAACCGAGCCTTCACCGGCGAGCTCTTGGTTTTATTATTGCGAAAGGTCCCCCTTTGGGCACCGGGCTACCCCGTGTAAATCCTTACCACCGGACCTGTGGACCCCACTTTCGGGATCGTCCTCGTCGCGGGACAGCGGCCATAGCCGAGGTTACCGTCCAAATCCAATGCGCCACAGTCTGCCACTGCAGCTCCTTTCGTGCGCCATAGCTCCCTTGCTTGACGACTGCGTGCCCCATTATGTGAGACTTTGAATGCAGGTGGCATTATGAAGAGAGGCCAAAAGTCAATTCGTGGCTTGCTATAAACAAACTGCTCCATACTGAGTTCCAACTAATCGACACCCCAACCAACGCCGGCTTGAATCATGGTCTGCGGGGTATCCTGTCCTACTGCTGTACCTAGCTTTGCTACCCCAATCCGAAGCATAATTCGTATCCAAAAAGTGCAAAATCCACGCATCAGAAGATGCATGCTTTCATAGCACCTGCAGCTACTGGAGAACAGCGTATGTACGATAGATCCTCTTTACAAACGCTACCTACGCATGCAAGATCAAGGCACCTTCATGTCAGTCTATGCCCTCATCGTTACTGTGTTCGGCAAGGAACTCTGGAGGAACCTCATTGTCACTGTCACGCCTCGAAGATGAAGTTCGTATGGATCCGACATGGGAACGGTCGTCGTCGTGCTCTTCTAGATGTGACACCAGCAGGTCGGGCGGGACGTCATTGTCACTCTCTCCGTGGTGGGCTTCTGTCGTAGCTGTGGCCGAATTCGCATGCGGGGTTTGCTCATCTTGCTCATCGCCGTTGTGCCAGGGTTCCTCGATGTCGTCAACTTTCGCCGCCGCTGCTTGAGGCTTTGGTAGACTTCCGCGGAGGAGAGTCTCGGCATCTCTGAACGCTTCGAGTTCAGCGCCAACGGCGCAGATGAGAAGATTCCAAGTGTTTTGCTCGGCCGTCCTCATGTTTGCTTCAAGCTCCAAGATGACCTTGGCCATCCGTGGCAAGAGAGCTTCGACGCCTTCTTGTTGTGCACGTGGAGTCTGTTTGCCCTTGGCTGAGGAAGCACCGCCGCTTAGAGACTGGCGCAGGTCCGCCTCGAATGTCGTGACGAGCTTGACTGTTTCCTGCCACAACTCCGTGCCTTGATCTAGTGCATCGCGATCCTTATCGACCTGCGCCTTTCGCTTCTGGAGAAAGTCCATTTCGCTTTCCCACCAGTCCTTGGCCATGCTCAGTGTCCGTCGCGCAGGTATCATGCGGAAGAACTCAGCGCCGCCAGGCAGCTCTTGGATGTCGGTTCCGACTCCAGAGTCGCTTCGTGACACAGCTTCGACAACGTCGAGATCCAGAGGTTCGATTGGAGGCCGGCGTAGCAGAGCTGTGACCTCACCTTCAACCTCCCTCAATGCACCCCTGTAGCCACTCAAGCCAGCCTCTCGGCGGTTGTGAACGTCTTCCATCTTTCGCTCGAGCCATCGGTGGCGATTCCTCATGCCAACAAGCTTCTCCTCGAGCTCGCGGATCTCCTGGCCCAATGTATCATGCTGCTCTCCCAGGCTTCGTAGCTCCTTTGCCAGAGGCTCCTGATCGTCATCAGCCAAGCTATGCAATTCGGCAGAGATGCTGACCCTGCGCTTGTCTAACTTGTCTAGATACGACAGGACTTTTTCTCGCTGAGAGAGGGCCGATTCGATGTATGCATTTTCTTCCGTCTTGAGACCAGTCAGGGCTTCCAACGCCTGTCGCAGTCCGCTTCGCGCCGCACGAAGGCCCTGCTGCCCTTGTACCTTGGGTTGTCGAACAGGTATAATATCGCCGCGAGGAGTCGCGCGGACGGGAGGATCTAATGAGGCCATCATGCGTGACTTGGACGTTGCTGTGGAATAGAACGTTCCCGTCGGCGTACTACTCCCAGAATCGCTCCAAGTCTCAGCTCCTACAGTGCTAGCATCGAGAGACTCGGCACCGGATCCAAGTCTTGTGGCCTGTATGTCTAGTAATCGCTGTACTTCTCTGTGGAGAGCTCGTTCTCGGTGTTGCAGATTCCGCCAGACAGAATCAACGCGGGACTTGCCTGAGTCGCGCGAGCTATGGTCGAACAGAATGCTCCCAAACGCGAGCCGGCTGGATGACATGCCCTTGGGCTCGTTCTTGTGTATGTTCCCTCGAGATCCCCGCCTCCCCGATGACGCGGATGGCTGCAACACCACCGAGGCAGCTATGGGCGGTGGAGGGCCGACGAACATAGCCTTGGGCTTCAACTTGGAGACAGAGCCCGCCGGGCCAAAAGGGTCGTCGCCCCATGGATCTACGGGAGAAGGTGATCGCTCTTTCGACATCTTGATGGGCAACGGCGGCGATTCTGACAGCAGCGATACATCGGGCCTGGGGGACAAATCATCGAGGTCGTAGTCGTCTGAGGGCTTCGGTCGAGACGTGTAGAGTGGTAGAATGGGAGATTTTTGTCGGCTCGGTGAGAGTCGGTCGAGGAAACTTGGTGAACCGGGTGCCATCGGGTCGCATCTGACGCTGCTGGGCAGAAGTGGGAAAATTGGCTGACGATGGCCCGGTCAGCAGGAACGTCGTGGTTGACAAGGTTCCTCAGCGTGCTTGTCAGAGACACGAACAGGTAGGTAAGCTCTAGCTAGAGGGATAGGATGTCAATAATAAGAACAAGTAGACATTGGTGATGAGTATCGGGTATGGGATACGCCAAGATGCTATGGAAAATGTGTGAGATCTATGGGACAGAGCACAGCAAGGTCGATGATGGGAGCGCGAGGCCAGCTGTAAAGGTACAAGATAAAAGTATCTTTGGCATGGGAAGCAAGAGCTCACGAGCTCTGAGCATGTGCCACAGGCGCCGGTGCGAGACACACGTCACACGGCGGATCTTTTATCATTTGTAGCGCATACTCCGTAAAAGTACCTTATCTTAGGTTCCTTATGTAAGCACTGGCGAGGTGGCCCGACATCTTGGTTATCGATAAGCATGTATCTGGGAATGCGCCATTGGACGATGCCATTGCGGTTGGACGTTGGAACATGATTCCTTCAATATTATTGCCCATTGTCCACATAGGTAAGGTAGCTCACCGGACAAAAGGACAACAGGAAGTATTGGGAACAGTCAGGGCGATCGAGAGATCTCGTGCTCGCTAAGTCTGTTTGTGCCTTTCTCCTAGCCGGGTGAGACACATTTTGATGCTTAGAGCTTCTCTTCGGAGCTGGTCTCCATGTGCGCTTCATCATGAGATTGAGCATCGTCTGGCTTTCCAGAATATGGTACTTTACGCATGTCCTCATCATCCTGCCATTGAAGTTTGGGCGTCTATTAGTATGGATTTTGCAAGCCACGGCTTTCTCTCAAAGTTTCAATCATTTCATGAGATGAGCTAGCTGCCTGCCTTGGCTCTCGTTTCTTTACTGCCCTCATCCCCGGCAGCGTTTGTATCCGCGTCTCCATGTCTCCGTTGTTCCGTGTATGCCCAACGCCCAGGTCCATGTCCATGTCCATGTCCATGTCCAGTTCAGTCGGTAGGGCCCATCAATGATGACCGAGTCGGACATTCATTAGTCAGAGGGTTGTCGCTGTAAACTCGAGCGTTTTTTTTTTTTTTATCCCGGGTCGACAAAGCAAATGATGGAGTGCTCGACGGATGAGAAGCTGAGCATACTTACCTTGGGACAAGTTCATCTTTTACTCTCATCAAGTCATCAGGTCAGACAACCTGGAAGACTACCTACAAAAAGGTACGGATGCCGAGGGCGTGGACACGCCGCACTGCCACCATCTGCCCCTGTCCTGCTGCCGTGTGCGTCGTCTACTCTGCTCCCTCGTCCCTTGTGTGTCTAGTTCCCTGATCGTCGTTGTCGTCGTGGCCATTCTTTTTCATCTTTTTTGTGTTGTTTGTTTTTTTCTTGTTTCCCGTTCGTCCCGCACCCCATCCACCCCACGCGCGCATGTTATTTGAGTCGTACAAGGGAAATTCAACCCAAGAAAACATGATGCACTTTCTGGGCCATCGTCGAACAGCCTCGCAGCAGAGCATCGACCCCGAGACACAACAGCAGCCACAGCAACAATGGCGTCCGCACCACCAGCATCGCCTAAGCGCGTCTTCGGCTCTTTGGCAAGCGGCCCAGGCCTTGGGGTCCATTGGAGCCCCGGCCGCTGCCGCCGCCGCCGCCACCACTTCCCCTCCAGCTTCCGGCGGTCCTCCTTCTTCTTCTACCTTTGAGTCTGGACTCTTTGGAGGAAATGCTTCGTCAGCGTCAGCGGCAGCTTCAGCCTCCAATGCGACTGCCAATGTCAATGTCAATTCGGATGCCTCTCCAACTGCAGGTACACCCGCCGGCACTAGTAACAGCGGTACTACGGCTGGCCACACCCGCCCACCGCTGCCCAACCCGGTACCTTCGTACTCGTCGTCGGTGTACTCTCAGCAGTCGCAACAATCGCAATATTCGCCGTATTCTCAGCAACAACTGCAACACCAGCAGCAGCAACAACAACGACAGTCTGGCTACTTCCAGCCCAACCACCACTCACATCCTTCAGGCGCTCCTCCTCACTCCGGGCTCGGCATCGGGCTCGCTTCTCCCTCCACTACCTCCTCCCTTCAATACACCCCGGAAGCCTTGAAATCATCCTCAACCTCGACACCACCGGCGTCAACGTCCGCATCCACAATAACAGCAGCCGCCGCTGGTGCGCCTGGGCCATTAGTGCCCAAAGACCCCCCCGCCGTCCCCAACTTCCACTGGGACAGCGACTATTACCAGAACACGAACAATAGGAACAACACCATCAGCGACACCACCACAACCAACAGCGCCACGGCCGCTGCCACTCGTACGCCCACCACAGCGACCGACTCCGCTTCCGCCCGCGCCCTCCAGCCTCATCAATCCTCCCATTCACGCTCTCAGTCTCATTCTCATTCTTACTCTCACTCTCATTCTCAACCTCATTCTCACTCCCATTCGTATTCCCACTCCTACTCCCAGTCCAACCCCTACGCTCCCTCTTCTTCCTCTCACTCGCCTTCCTCTTCCTCCAACATCCCTACTCTCTCCCATTCCCGCTCCCACTCCTACTCCCAGCACAACCAGCAGCGTGCCTCCATCCCCGCCGCTCTGCTTCCGGCCCATGGCCAGCAGCTGCACCGAGACTCTCCCAACTCGCTGCCTACCCACTCCACTGCGACTGAGACATCAGGGCCGCCGGGCCTTTCCCCCTCCGTCACACTGCTGCCCGCGCCAACGCCATCCTCCTCCTCGCCATCTTCTTCCTCTGCTCTCGCAGCCATGAACCAGCAACAGCAGCAGCAGCAGCAGCAGTCGCCGCAGCAGTCGCAACCCCAGTTCCAAACTGGCACCCCGCGACGCACTGGCAACTACAGCTCCCAGCAAGACGAATTGCACATGCCAGCGGGCATGATCCAGCACGGCCAGCCTTCACCCCGCGAATACTCATCATCCTCTGCTGCCCCCGCCGCTCCCCATATCAAGTTGGAGCAGTCCTCCCCAAACACCCACCCCCACGCGCCTCCTTACCAGAGCACATCGTCGGTGCCCAACGTCTTGCAACCAGGTGGTGCAGGTGGTCGACCTCCCGCCATCTCTGCCAACACCGCTCCCAGCATGTCTGCCATGCAGCCTCAACAACAGCAAGACTATCAGACCCCTTCCAAGCCCCCCAGCTTGAGCCTGTCCCACAGCTACTCGCGCTCCTCGCCTGCTGCCGGATACGAAGGTGGCTCGTCCTTTGCGCCCTACACGCCCACCACCCCCAGCGGCTCAGGGTCCCAATTCATGTCTCCGCCAGACCAAAAGTACAATGCGCCCGGCTCCCAGCGAAACATCTCGAACACGCCCTTAGGCTTGGCCGATATTCGACCCCGCGCCGACTCGAGCATGTCCGATGGCGTGCCCGGTAGCGCTGCATATGAGCTTGCCAACGCCCAGCCTGGAACCAGCAACTACCTCGCTCCTTGGGCCCTGTATGCTTTCGACTGGTGCAAGTGGCCTCCCCAGGGTAACGGCGCTGGAAAGCTTGCCGTTGGCAGCTATCTAGAAGATGGACACAACTACGTAAGAATTCCCTCGCAATGCTGTTTTGACAGCTGGGTGTAGCTAACACCATCGTTTCCCTCAAGATCCAAATTCTCGATACCCAAATGGTCCCGACGCCCAACGATGTCTATCAGCCGGGCACTCCCAAAATCAACCTCGAATTCCAAAAAGTCGCCGAGGCTACACATTCCTACCCCGTGACGCGCTTGCTCTGGGAACCGCCCTCTTCGCAGAAGCAGTCTACTGACCTGCTTGCGACGTCGGGAGACCACCTTCGTCTGTGGTCTCTTCCCTCCGAAAGCCCCGTCTCCCAGAACAACTCCATTACCAACCGAGCCAGAGACCCCGCCGTTACAAAACTCACGCCTCTCGCGCTTCTGTCCAACTCCAAGACCCCGGATCATACTGCACCGCTTACCTCGCTCGACTGGAATACTGTTTCACCTAGCCTGATAATCACGTCCAGTATCGATACCACCTGCACGATTTGGGATATTCCGTCGCTGACGGCCAAGACCCAATTGATTGCCCACGATAAGGAGGTTTACGACGTCCGCTTCTGCGCCAACAGTGTTGACGTATTCGTGAGCTGTGGACAGGACGGTAGCGTCCGCATGTTCGATTTGCGCAGTCTGGAGCACAGCACCATCATCTACGAGCCCACTGGAAAAGATGAACGAGGTAACTTCCACCCCCAATATCACTTTTGCAAGTTTGGTGACGCTGACGAAACATGACAGATGCCAATGGCGGACGAATCAGCCCTACGCTCGCGCAGCAGACCATGTCGAACCCTCCGCCCTTGTTGAGACTAGCAACCTCTCCCCACGATACCCATTTGCTGGCCACATTTGCGCAAGACTCGAACGTAATCCGTATCCTTGATGTAAGACATCCTGGACAGGCTCTTCTCGAACTCAGGGGCCACGGAGGCTCCCTGAACTCCATTGAGTGGTCGCCTACGAGGCGCGGCGTTCTGGCTTCGGGAGCCGACGACTGCCAGGTACTGCTGTGGGATGTGTACAACAACAACCCTGCTCTCGGTGGTGGTCCTCCTGCCAACGGTGCCGCCCAGCCAGACAACACGAGAAGCCCGTACGCTAGCTGGCAATGCGATTACGAAGTTGGTAACCTTGCTTGGGTGCCTCATCTTTCTAGCGACCAGGGAGAGTGGCTGGGAGTCAGCGCCGGCAGGGGCCTATGGGGTGTCAAGACATGTGGACGAACCGGCGCATGAAGAGACCAAGGGCGACGAGCAGCAACTAATCCGACCGCCTTGCTGCGCTGTTCATAGATCTGGCTGGTCACTCATGATATATGCATCGCAAAGCCCGGCGTTTGGGGATCAGCTCTTGAGCCGGCTGTAGGGAAGGGGATACTGTCTGTGAAGTATGTTTCAAATGAATTCACTTGGAATAGGCAGTCATTGGGGGTGAGTTGGTTTCAATGCACCACAGGACTCAGTCAGTATGGCCCCCCTCTGGTCAATGGTCAGGAACAAAAGTTTGGGACAGTGGATGGCTATATACCGACGGGCACATTCGAGCGGGGAAGACGGAAGGAAATGTTATAGTAGTGTGCGGTGATTGTCCCGCACCAATGTGGCCGTTCCCAGTGTCCTCTATTTTAGGGTACTTGAAAACATAGCTTTTCGTACAAAGAGTCCCTTGCTGTGAATCATAGCTTTGTCACAGGCCGACCACTAATGTCGTTATCCAAAGTGACGACTGCTTTGCCCCAAATTTTGCGGCTTGCCATGTCTTTGAGAGCCCTAGGGACATGTTCAAGACCAGGATACTCAGCGTGATAGATGACAGGCCGGATTTTATCGGTTTCCATCAACGGTCGCAGCTGGTCCCAAATGGCCTTTTCCTCTTCAGGATGCCGTCGTAAGCTCTCGCCGTATCGCTATGAGGCATTCGTTAGCTACCTCGAGTGGGTGGTGGTTGCAGAAGATTCAATACTCACATAACCGATCAGAGAAACCTGTTTAAGTAGAACTCTATTCATGGCTATTTTCTCCATGTCGTCCTTGATCCCAGCGAAGCCTACGATCAGTATCTTGCCTCTGTGAGCAATGCACTTTAAGCTTCGGTCGACGAGGCCGACGGGATCAAAAATAGCGTCGACACCCTTTCCATCGGTCAGCTCCAGCACACGATCCCACCACGCCGCGTCCTCGGTGTAGTTGATGCAAACATCAGCTCCCGAACGTCGAGCAACGTCGCACTTCTCGAATGAGCCCGCCGTCCCTATCACCCGGCATCCCACAGCCGTGGCAACCTGAAGGGCCATCAGACCGAGCCCGCCGGCAGCGGCGTGGATCAAGACGGTCTGGCCGGCTTTTATACCAGCCTGGACGAGCGCTGCGTAGGAGACGGGGAGCGTGGCGGCTAGCCCGGCGGCTTGAGCGAATGTCCATTGAGGGGGGATGCGATGTAGGGGCGTTGAGGCGTCGAGTGAGATGATTTCGCTGTAGGAGCCTGTGCTGCCTCCGAAGACTCTATCGCCGGGACGGAATTCGGAGGTAGGCGGGGATGAGAGGATGATGCCGGAGAACTCGAGACCTAGTGTGAAAGGCGGCCGTACCAGGGATCGGTTGTTTTGGTGTTTTCCCCTGGCCTAGGTGCGAAGTATCAGCCAGCTAACTTATCTTAGGGGTACCTGCGATAACTTGTCTTGGACTCACATAGAGGGTATCGACAAAGTTCACCCCGGCGGCCTTGACTTGGATGAAATAGCGGTCTGCTGTAAAGATTGGCCGGTCGACATGTGAGACCTTGATTTCATTAAGGCCCTTGAGGATGAATTAGTATTATGTTTGTGAAATTGGACTACAACCTCTGGAAACTGGGACTCACATTGACGAATTCGTTCATAACAATAGCCTTCATCTTTTCTCTCGAGCTTGCGACCATTCTTTAGCCTATACTTGAATTGATACAAGTTGCGGAGAGAAGGGAATGAGCGTCTAGATGCAGGGGCCAGTTCTCAATCTTTATGGGAAGGAAGATGCTCATTCATGGCTGTTATTTCTGACGAGTTGGAGAAGCACTAGGTGCCGAGGCTTCTATCGGCACCTATCATGTCGGGCATTGGGAGTTTGCCGCATGATTATGCAAAACTTCGATGAAGAGAACTACCTAGAGTGCGACTAGCAGTCTGACGACTTTTAAGAATTCATGATAGGTGAGGTGTTCAACAACACTTTCATATCTCAATCAGAACTCATCATGACGTTGTAATTGCTGCTGTCTCTATTACTTCTACACCTCGACATACATCCACAATTATCTGCTAGATGTAGATTCATGATTGAGGTGGGTTTGAGATGAGAATTGCCATGCGGTTAGTCTTATTAACATATGAGATGCATCCTATTAGAAATACTGATATAATTGCCAACAAGGCTTCGTCTTCTTCAACTCAGTGGAGACAGTGAAGTCAATCGGAGATGGGATGCAGTAGGAGAGTGCGGATCCACTGTAGAGCGCATACCCTACGAAGTACGGAGTACAGGCTACCACCTATCGATTTGCCTCAGGTGTCAGTCTGGAGTGGCCACGCTAGTCCCCTTTCGGACAGAGATGTCTTTCGCGTTATTCGCCCGTCTTTAGTCGTTGCCTTTGCTTGTTCTAAGCTTTCTATCCTCCCGTTGCCTTTTCCTCTACCTTCACCTTTACCTTACCTCAATCCCACCTTTCGACCCGGCAGCCAAACCCCTTTGGCCCTTTCCTCCATCTACCCGCTTGATTGATTCGCCGGAGAAAAGGTTCCCTGCCTGCCGTCAGGCGAACCAGTTGGAAGGGCCGTTGTTTCCTTCCCTTGGTACAGATACTCTACTTCTTTTGCAGGTCACCTCGAAAAGGATCTCGCATCAGCAACATCGCCGAAAACCTACCAACTTGAAACTTTTGACCCGACGTTTCCTTCTTTTCCGCCATGTCTTCCAACCGCTACGACGATTCTGAGGAGGAGGATGACTTCAACCCTGCGCCCGCCGACTTGTCCGACGAGGAACCCGACCAACCAGCCAGCGACAACCATGCTCGCGAAAGCAGCCCTGCTGACGACGCACCTGCTCCCTCTAAATCGAGAGTAATCGAAGATGACGACGAAGAAGACGAAGATGATGCGGGTCAACACGACGACGACGATGAAGAAGAGGATGAGGATGACGAGGACGAAGACGATGTTCAACAGGTAAGCTTGTCGCTGCTCGTGCCGTCTGCCTTATACACAAAGCTACGCTGGGAAGGCGCTAGGCAAATCTTTGCCCTCACTGCATCTCCCAACGTCGCCTTCTCTTTCTCGTGGCGTGGACTTTTTTAATCAGTGATCAATAGGGACATCGTCGCAAGCGCAGAAAGGATCGCCGAGCCGCCTTCTTCGATATCGAAGCCGAAGTCGACGACGAGGAGGATGGCGAGGATGAGGAGAAAGATGGCGAGGAGATTGAAGACTTCATCGACAATGCCCATCCCGACGACATTGCTGAGAGCGGAGGCCTCGATGATGATAGACGTCACAGAGAGTTGGACCGTCGGCGCGAGATGGAGGCGAGTATGGACGCCGAAAAGCAAGCCGAAATCCTTCGACAGCGTTACGGCAACCGCCGCCCGAACAAGGGCTTTGGAGACTCGGCCGTCGTTCCTAAGCGCCTGCTGATGCCTAGTGTCGACGATCCTACCATCTGGGCTGTCAGATGTAAGGAAGGCAAGGAGCGAGAGGTGGTCTTCTCCATCATGAAGCGCATCGAGGAGCGACTTGGGACTAAGGACGAGCTGGCCATTATTTCGGCCTTTGAGCGCGGTGGCCCAACCTCCGTCATGAAAGGCTACATCTACGTCGAAGCCAATCGTTCCACCGACATAATGGTGGCTCTCGACGGCATGTTCAACGTCTACCCGCGATCTAAGATGATTCTCGTCGATATCAAGGACATGCCCGACCTACTTCGTGTTACCAAGACCCCAACCCTAGAGCCCGGCGCGTGGGTGAGACTACGCAAGCCTGCCAAACACGCTGGCGATCTTGCTCAGGTTATCGATGTCACTGAGAACGGCCTCGAGGCCAGAGTTCGGTTCATCCCTCGTCTCGACTACGGAATGCGAGACGATGCGCTATCGGCGGTGACTGCCGACGGCAAAAGAAAGCGACCTGTCGGCGTAGCGGGCCCGCGCCCACCTCAGCGCCTCTTCAACGAGACCGAAGCTCGCAAGCGGCATCCGAGACATATCCAGGGTAATCCCACCACCAAGGTGTGGAATTACATGGGCGATGAGTTCGAGAATGGCTTCCAAGTCAAGGATATCAAGATTCAGCAACTGGTGGTTACGGACGTCAACCCGACCCTAGAGGAGGTTACCAGGTTTGCCTCCGGCGCTGAGGATGGCACCGAGAATCTCGACCTGAAGGCTTTGGCATCGAGCTTGAAGGACAGCAACATCAACGTCACCTACCTGCCTGGGGACATTATTGAAGTCTATGAGGGCGAGCAGAAGGGCGTGGTTGGCAAGGCTACCAACGTCCAAGGTGACATTGTCACCATGCAAGTCACAGAAGGAGTACTAGCCGGACAAATCATTGAGGTGCCGACCAAAGGCTTGAGAAAGCGTTTCAGGATTGGAGATCACGTCAAGGTTACCAGCGGCAGTAGATTCCGCGATGAAGTTGGTATGGTCGTCAAGATCTCCGAAGACCGAGTCACTTTCTTGACCGATCAAACCAACACCGAAGTCACAGTCTTCAGCAAAGATTTGCGGGAAGCTAGCGACATCGGAGGACAGGGTTCGCTCGGTCAGTACGAGCTGTTCGACCTAGTCCAGTTGGACCCCACTACAGTTGGCTGTATTGTCAAGGTCGACCGTGAGTCAGTGATGGTCCTCGACCAGAACGGAGATACCCGGCAAGTTATGCCTTCGCAGATCGCCAACAAACTGCCAAAGAGGAAGATCGCCGTGGCCGCCGATAGAAACGGCTCCGAAATCAGACTCGACGACGTGGTCAGGGAGTATGGCGGTCAGCAACGCCAGGGCAAGATTATCCACATCCACCGTGCCTACCTCTTCCTTCACAACACCGACAGTAATGAGAATGCTGGCGTCTTCGTGACCAAGGCTGGAAATGTCAACACAATTGCTGCCAAGGGTGGGCGTGTGCTATCAGCCGGCCCCAACCTGGATCAGATGAATCCCGCCATGAAGCGCAACCCCAACGGATCTGAGAGCAAGATGGCGCCGCCCAAGAGCTTTGGAGGACGTGATCGTGCTATTGACAAGACAGTCATTATCCGAAAGGGCGGTTACAAGGGTCTGCTCGGTATTGTCAAGGATGCGACTGACACGCACGCTCGTGTCGAGCTGCACACTAAGAGCAAGACAATCACTGTACCTAAAGACCACTTGAGCTTCAAGGATAGAATCACGGGAGCCAAGATTGAAATCAACGGTCGTGGAGGTCGTGGAGGACACAGTGGTCCTCCGAGTGGTGGTCGTGGAGGACATGGAGGGGACTGGCAAGGAGGCCGAACTCCCGTTGCTTCTGGCGGCCCAGAGAGGACCCCGGCCTGGGGTTCAAGGAGTAAGTCAGCCCTCAACTTTGCCATTCTCTTGAATACGGTTGCTAACAAACACAAGCTCCTGCACCTACCGGTGGACGCACGCCTGCTTGGAAGTCCAGTGGCCCAGATTACGGCGGATCGCGTACTCCAGCCTGGGCCGATGGCTCTCGAACAGCCTACGGAGATGGCAACCGCACCGCGTACGGCGGAGGTTCAAGAACTCCTGCGTGGCAATCAGGCGCAAAGACACCAGCGCACGACGCGTTTGGCCTTGGTTCAAAGACGCCGGCGTACGGAGGCGGTGATGCTTGGGGTTCTGGATCCAAGACACCTGCTTATGGCTCTGCGCCTACACCCGGCGCCAGCGGAGGCGACTCATGGGGTTACACACCCGGCAACTCTTACGACGCACCGACACCCGGTGGTGCTCTTCTGAGTGCACCAACACCCGGTGCTCTCAACGCCCCTACTCCTGGTGCTTACTCGGCGCCTACTCCAGGTGCCGCAAGTGCCCCAACTCCAGGCGGCGGATGGCAAGGTGGATGGGGAGCAGATTCGGCGCCCACACCGGCTGCCGGTGCTCCGACTCCGGCCGCCAGTGGCTTCAACTCCTCATCAGCCTATTACGGCGCGCCGACTCCTGCGGCTTATGGCGCACCCGAGACTCCGGCAGCCAGCGGACCTAGATACACCGACGATGACTAGATGCCAAGGGTGTCGAGCTGAGAGGAGGCCGTCGGAGTCTCGTAGCTGGCTTGTGCATTTGGCGATGGGAGGCAAGGCAAGGTTGTACATTACCCGGCGTTTGTGTAGAAAAGGAAGATGCGCCTAAAGTCGTGCGCGTTTATAACAGGAAACATACCATCTGTCACTTACCTGAGTTTGAATCTGGGTGAAATTGTATTCTGCAAAGGGCGTCACTCATTGCTTCTAAATCTTTATCCTCCGAATCAATGAGCAGTACACTTTCAATCGTGCCCAGTTTGAGATGTTGTCATGCCCATTCATCATTTTGAGTGTCCATAATGCTTTTGCAGCTTGCTCATCTACCCTTCTCACCCATCTAACTAGACTTTACAATAATGGTGCACAAAACTTTGTTGCCTCAGAGATTCCGCCGTTGTAGGTTAGGGACTTTCTTTACCCATAAGACGTGTCCTCGACGAGCCAGCACCGAACTGCTCTGGACAGTTCTTGCTGCTAGTTGCGGCAGTAAATTGCAGCTCACTGCTAACTCGTCATATTGCGGTTGGACACAGGTTGTTTGGGGCATACGAAGGGACGTGGAGGTGTTTGCAATATCACCTCGATTTGGGTTGTAGACTACGCGCCGACACTAGCACTCTACGGCCGCATTCGAGCTCTTGAAGAGTGACAAAATTGAACAGAAGAAAACACCGCCAAATCCCCTTTGGTTGTTGGAAAACCATATCATTGGCGTGAACGTCGAGTAAAAGAATGAATCAAGAACAAATGGATAATTATGAGCAACAGGCTTCGCTTCATGAATCCGCAATACGCCTCCACTGCTTCAGATATACTCCACGCGTATGAGAAACTCCCGCAGCCATCGATAAACTCTCGTCTCTATCCTTCTTCACCTACTTGGCTGTCATTTACCCACTCGGCCTTCTTCTTCACATCGTATGCCGACTTGCTATTTAGCCACAACCATGGCCTTGTTGGCACAATCGGAGCAAATCTTCAGACGGTGCCACGCGTTGGCCAAGTTTCCTCGCTGATTGTAAATTGCCGCGTAGCTCTCAGGTTGCGAGTTGTACGCCTCGTCCGTGGCCTTGACGAGCAGGGTAGTGCACTTCTTGGTCCCTTCACCTGGCTCGCCAAGCGGGATTGCGCCATCGTACCTCCAGCGTTTCCATGCCCAGGACTTGTGCCCGGTTTTTGGCGGGGCTCCAGGCTCGTCGAGTAACTCGGCTTGGTCCCAAGTCTTGCCATTGTCGACGCTCACATCGACACGAACGATTCGGCGACCGCCACCAGAATACGCATAGCCCATGAGAGACGCTTCGCGGACGCTGCCTGTATCCTCATTTGCCGCTGACTCACTTGCTGCTGCTTTCCAGTCACCCAATCTGACGGTGGTAATGGCGCTTGTGATGGGCATCTCTTGAATCGGTGCGGCGCGGTCCCAGTCGGGGCTCGTCTCGTTGGGGCCAAAGCACTTGTAATCTTTGCGCTGCCATTGGCTATGACTTTCTTCATCAGAAATGGTGATCTGGCTCAGCCACTTGACGGAACGAGCGGCGACGTGTCCTGGCACAAGAGCACGGAGAGGGTATCCGTGGTCTCGCGGCAGCGGCTTGCCGTTCATCGAGTAAGCCAACAGAACATCACCACGCGGATCCAGAGCAGATTGGATGGGGATTGACGCGCCGTAGGCTTCGAGCGCCATGAATTGAACGTGCTTAGCCTCCGTATCTCCAGTCATGGCCTCGAGTATAGGAATACCGGCATCAGCAAGTACATCGGTGAGCTTCACGCCCTGCCATTCCGCACAAGAGATTGCGCCAACATTCCACTGGAGTCCATTGGTCTTCTTCGCGTTACGGGTCATGTCGCTTCGGCGGTTTCCAGAACACTGCAAAACAGCCACAACAGTAGTAGGCTTGAATTTGGTCTTTAGGTCATCAAGGGTGTACTCCTTGATGGTGCCATCGAGGAGCTCAATCTTGAGGGTGTAGTCCGAGGTATCGTCGACCTGTGGAACCCACATGTGGTTGCGCACGTAGAAGAGTTCATTGGGAGTGAGGTAGCTGTCTGCCAGGCCTTCGACGGGTGTCTCTGCATTGCGAGGCTTGGGAGTGAGGGTGATGAGTCTCTCATCACGGGTAGGATCGTGCTTGAAGGGGTCTTCTATTTCCTGAGCAGCGGGCTTCCCGTCGACAAGGTCGTCCGAGTCGATGAAGCCAATCAAGTACTGTTGGAGGATTTCATAAACGTGGGGCGACTTGTGGATGGTGAAGATGTTCCAGTAGGGATCAATGCTACCTCCAGCGGCACGGAGGATGACATCACCTCCGGGGTGTGCAGCAACCCAGTCGGTAATGTCGTAGACCTTGTCGCCTTGGGTAACCCATGGGCTGCTGGATTTGGCATCATGTTTTCGGATTTCGGAGAGCCTGAAGCGAGGGATAGATGGGTCGCGGTCGTCGGTGGACGGGGCCGGGTCGGAGGCATCTACTTCGTCCTGAGTGGGCACATGGAAGGGCTCCGAGAGACCGACGAAGAGAGACAAGAGCCCGCCGCTAGCAAGCAATGTACTGACGGTGGCCGGACCCTTGCGACGGCGTGGGTGCTGGGGCTCACGTTCGTCTCCGCGCTCCCCTGACCAGGTACCGGTAGTGTGGTGTTTCTGGGTATGTTCCTGTCCACCGACCAAAGGCGTCGAGGAGGAGGAAGCGGATATCGGTCGGGGGTGTCTCGAGCAGGCAGAGGCGTGTAGAGGACGACATCCTGGAGGAGGAGGAGGAGCGTCAGGGATGTAGCTCGGTCGCCATGCTCCAAGAGTCGAACGAGGAGGGACGGGCCGCCTGGTCGAGAGCTGTAAAAGCTCGCTAAATAGACGCCGCGGCGCTTGCATTGGATTTGGATCGAGGTGAATGGCTAGATTGGGCGAGATGGGCTTCGTTTGGTGGTGGACGACGTCGAGAGCGCGGCTCTGGTGTGGAGCTTGGACGATGAGGTGACTGACCGGGGCGATGGCGTGATTGCGCCTCGATGGCCTTTTGGCTGTTTTGAGAGGAGGGAAAAACTCGAAAGTGGGTCTGCACAGTTACGTGTGGCACGTGTATGGCTGCATAAATCAAGGTGAGGATACCTACCTTTGTACCTTACATATGTCGTTATGCAGATGGTATATGTCTCTCACCGGGGACCACCGACGTCGCCGACGGAGGGATCCACTTTCGGCTTCTTGGTCCTTAGGTAAGCAGACCCTTTGGCCGGACGGATGTGTGAATGGGACCAGTTCCAGGAAGAACGCATCAGACCTGCTGGACAAGCTGGGCGCGACATGGGGGTTCCTTCGCTTTTACATGTCTCAATCCATTGGCCTTCCACATGTCCCGACCCACGTCGAGGGCACGTTATCAGACTTTCAGCCGACAATAAACTCGAAACCATCAGAGTTCGTGTGTCATGGTGCTCCAAGTGCCCGAACGAGACCGACGAAAGCCGCGAAACCGCCCACGTGGACCCCGAACACCGTCGCAGCCCGGCCCGCATACGTCTCAACGTCCATCCTAGGCCCTGTTAGTCGCCGACGTGATGGAGACGGCAGTCACTTACAGACTCCAGTCTAGGTACTCTCAATTTGTAGCCCTCTCAATACTACCATACTCTTGGATCTGCACATGTCTGGTGTAGACACAGCACTTGTTTCCCCGCAACTTTAAATGAACCTCGCTTGGTATGTATCCCGGGTCATTGGCGATAAACCGGCCATCCAGGCTTCTTGGGATATAGGCGAATCGTGGATAAGCCAGCTGTTGGTAACGCAACTGAGTGGACAGTCAACCATTCCAAGCATATTGTTCAACGAAGCCACCAGAACTGTTCAGTGGATGAGGCTATTCTTTCATCATGTACTCAGCAAAAGAGCTCAACAAGATACCTTACGCTCTGTCGTAGCTAACAACACTCGCTTCAAGCTCCCACCATATCTCTCACTCATACTCACTTCACCACTCACCACCCTGTCATCGCCCCTGAGAACTCGCGCCCATTTTGGCCTTCTTACGATGCCTCTCCTGTGTCTTATCCTTGCTCCCCTTGCTGCCTTGTCCTGATGGCCCCGCAGTCTCGCGCTTCCGCTTCGCACCGGAAGATCCACCAGAAGTACCAGCTCCATCGTCCCCGCTCTCTGATACCAACTCCCTGTCGCTAGTCTGGCTCAGATCGTCCTCTTCTCCACGGTCTCGGTATGTCGGGTCGTAGGTGAGAGATCCACGATACGGCTTCCGCTTCTGCTTAGCCCGATTCCCGGAGCCGCCTTCGCCGTTGTCCTCCTCCTCCTCCTCCTCCTCCACCTCCTCCTCCTCCTCCTCACCATTGTCTTCGCCACCTCCGTCGACCTTCTTCTCTCCCCCTTCATCCTCTTCCTCTTTCTCATCGTCGTCCCCAGGTTCTTCATTCTCTGGATGGTAGTTCCGCAAGCCGTCATCCTCGCTCTCATCGCTGTCATCATCAGTTCGGGGCCGAAAACGCAATCCCCAGTTCTCTGCGTTCTTGGGATGATTCGGATCTCGCGTCCACAAATTCCTCATATCCGTAAATCTGTTATCGGTGGGGTATATGGTCGTCTTCAACCCTGGGTTATTTTTGACAAAGGCTTTTCTGAGTTTGGTCACACCGCCCGCTTTAACAATTTCTTTTTGCGTGATCCAACCGACTTTGCTTGGCAATATGGCCTTGTCTTCACGGTCAATTTGTACCTGGCCTTGTCTCGCTGGAATTCGGCAGCTACGTCTCGGATCCGAGTGTGCCTAAAGGTGATGAGTTAGCTCTGTATACCTCAGAATTACATAGTACTCACGTCTATCTGCTCTTGTTTCGAAGGTTCGCCATTCGGGCTACTCTTGGGAGTCGGACGCAAGCACCGTGAACAGTACATGTCGTCAGCCGGCACAAACTTAGCCGTGGGCGTTTTGCCACCTGTCTGTGGCGTTTCCTTGACACTGTTGGGGTCCGTAGTTTCTTTTTCAGGATCTTTAGGAGGGTTCTTTATCGGGCCCTTCGGACCCTTTGGCGGCTTTTCTCCTCGATGAGGTCCATTTTCTAAAGCGGTAGCTGTGCGCGGTTTGGAACCTGTAGGCGGAGGTGAAAGAACTGGCTCATGGTCATGAGGCCGGCCGCCTCGATGGCCTTCGCGAACTGCATTCCCGCTTTCTGGTCCTCTCGCTGTACTATTCTTGGGGCCGGGTACCTCTTGCTGAACGTTGTGGGACTCTGGATCATTCTCTTGATCTCCACTGGGCTGGACACTGGGACCTGTTCCTGTCTGCGTCTCGTCTGTTGCAACTGGCCCCAATTCCCTGTCTCGTATATCTTTGGGCGCCGCCAGACCTGGAATCGGATTCTTTCCCTCGCGAATTCTCTGCTGTCTTCTTCCTTCGCGAGCAGCCGCAATTTCAGCGTCCATGTCTCGGACAACCTGTGCCTCAAGGGGCTCGATAGCGTGCGCTTTCGTCAAATGCTCGTTCCACTGGAGTTGGTTCATGAAGCCAACCATGGCGCCACACTGGTCAAAGTACGGACAGCGCTTGTCACGTCGATCCAGTGCGCTCTCGTTCTCGGGGTCCCAGAGACTATGGCCCGGGTTGAAGGGTTCCTGATTGACCATGGCGGGAGGCCGAGTACTGCCAGTCAAAATGTCCCAAAGTTGAAAGACGTGACACTCCATGTGGGAGACCTGGTCTTTCCTGTCCTCCCACTCCCCTAGCTCCGGATGCTTCTCGCGATCTTCTTTGGGCCTCTTGAATGACAGATGGCAGAGCGGACACTGTTTCAGGGGCTCCTCAAAATGCTTCTTCTCAAAGTGTCCTAGAACCTCGGACGGCGTCAGGCCGAAAAGAGGTTCCCGGCACCCGGCGGCAGGACACTCAGAAGGTGGGTCTGACGTAGGAATCGGTCCCGGCTTATCATGCCATATGAGAGGGTGGCTAAGATAGCGACTAGAAGCGCGAGGACGATGCTGTTGTTTGAACAAGGCCGCGGAGGTCTCCGCCGCCCCCACGAAGAGAGGGTCGACCGACTTGTCGGTGTCTTTCCAGAAGACTTCTGAATAGATGTCCCACGGTGTTGGCTTGGCGCCCTCTTGTTTAGGGCAAGCAGTAATATGATTTTTGATGCCATCAATAGGCTCCTGTTTTCCATCGCTTACAAAGGATCTCTGGCAGTACGGACAGAAACAACCCAGGGTACCGTAGAAGCCCCCACAGAACTTGCGATGCCTGTCGATTTTCTCGTCGGAGAGTTTCTTCATCGAAAATCCGCACTTGGTGCAATGTGGCTTGTTTTCGTGGAGAGTGCCGTGGCACTTGTGCGGATAAGTGTCGAAAGGTGCAAAATTTGTGGCATCTATCTCAATCTTCCACTCACGGTCTCCGCAGAGTTTACAAAATGTACATCGCCCAGCTCCCTCGGCCAAGGGGACGCAAACACGATCATGATGCTCTCGGTCCTCATAGCTCTTGAGTTCTTTGTGGTCACGACCGCAACGATCACAGTATTGATAGCCTTTCTCCCTGTCGCTGGCTTTCGCTGGCTGGCCTGGCTGAGGCAACGGGCCAACTGGAGGTCTGATTTGGTCGGTGATTGTAAAGGTTGGAAGAGATTTCGTGGCCCCTGAAGGGCCATTGCGTAGCCTTTCGGAGTTGGCCTTTTGGCTTTGGGGTGGATGCGACTTGGGTCTCTCAGGAAGCTGGAGCACCTTTCGCAGCTGGTCTGCGTGCGATTTTCTATAGTGTTCTTCCTTCTGCCTGTAGGACCAGTGCTTGAAGAGCTGGGTATCACACCACGGGCATTTCTCTTCGGCATGGGTCTTCTCCAGATGCACCAGAAGCGTCTCGTCCTCGTCTTGGCGATATGTGAACCGGCAATTCTGATACGGGCACGCGGCGAGCCGGGCCAGGTTGACTTTGGAGAGGCTCCAGACTTTGTCCTGTAGTTCCCACTGCTCACTAGGGGTGAGAACGTTCTTGGTAACCATTGGAACTCGGCCTACCCCGGTCCTCAGAACGGCCTCCACCGGCGGCGCGTTGATTGGAAAGGCTGGGCTCCAGACACCCATGTCGAAGATGCTTGGCTGTCGCACATAGCTTCGCTCACGGGGTGTCTGGTCAGGCTCTCTTGGCATAGAGTGAGCTGATTTCCGAGGAGTAGAAGGCGGCGTCTTCGGTTCATGGAAGACCACGGGACGGAGCTTGCCAGGGGGAACGATTGCCGGCAGGGATAACTCTTTTCGAAATTGCGCTACTTCGCCATACCGAGGACCCCAGTGATTATTTGGCTCTGTTGATTTAGCCAGTGTTTTGACTACACGCATCTCAGATTAGCTGCGACCTCAAGGAATATCTAGGGACCTTGTTTCTCACCAAAGTCCAACTCGTCATCTTGCAAGACGTCTGCTCGCACCACCTGAGCTAGGATGAATCGCCGGGCCATGGCTGCCTCGGAGTCGGTGGCATCCGGTCGAAGAACGAAGCTGGCTGGGCTCCAACTCCTTCCAATTGTATCCTCATCGAAAAGAGACTCCATGACAACGCTGTCATTTTCAGCGTCATAGACGATCTCTTCATCTCCAGTGTACAGAATTTCCAGTGTGGATTTCAACACTTTCATAGAAAGAGGCTCCATACTGAATTTTGCCTGGCCTGTTAGTCCTTCAACCGCCTCAATCGTGCATGGATCCTCAGCTCCGTCCACTGGCTGGATCACGAAGAATTGACAGGGTTCATTCTTGTCGTCGACAGAGCGGGCAATGAGCTTTGACAGCGCCTTCTGAGCTTGTTTCGAAGAATCTTTGTCCCGATGATCCCATCGAACTGGGCTGTAGGCTCCAACAGGGTGACTGATCAATGGGTTGAAATAGTCGACTCCGCGCCAAATCAGGTAGTGAGAGGCCTCCATGGGCATTATGACACTTTTCGTCATTAGGCCAACCTTTTGCAGGGCATCTGGATAGGGGTCTCCAGAGCCTGTTCGTCGAAGGCACTCTCGGTTCTTGAGAGTTCTAGCGTCGTTCGAGTTTCCTGGTAGGTAGAACACAACGGTATCGTTGGCCAAGGGGCGAGTTTTGACCCTGAAAGCTTGACCCTTGCTGATAAGAGGATGCATGCTGTCCCAGAGTTCACGATGAATCTCCAGACCACCATAACACGGTGGTGATGATCCTTCTGGTTCTTCATCATCACGTGAAATGACAAGATCACAGTGGCTTCCTCCTGGCTGATCCGGTCTTCCCACCAGCACTTCTTGCGCCGTCGTGATAAAGGGCATGTATTGATTGGAACCCCAGGGTTTATTGGCAGGGTAAATGTAGCCTGGTTGCTTGGGGCCAAAGAAGCTTTTGCCATCGGGCACTTTGAGATACGAGAGGTTTTCTCGCCCGTCGTCGTCAACATGGGTCAACTTGATGAGCGTGGTTAAGAAGAATAACTTCGGAGGCTCCCATTCTGAGGGAATTTCTTCGCCTCTACGAAGCACGAACCAGGCCGAGCTGGATGCGGACTTGGTTGCCTGGCCCAGGTGTTCCGCAAGATCACTGACAGGGTTGAGAGGAATGTTATCATCGAACTGCCGCAGGACTTTCGCCGTCTTGAGATCAAATTCAACGAGGACGATATCGCTTTGCTCATGTTGGCGCAGGGACAAGAGCTTTCTCGCAGCCTCCTGAAATGTGGACATGTCGTCCGTATCAAACATGATTCTGCCTTGGAATCCAAACAGGGGAACCCAACCATGTGCTTTGTCCGATTCTGGTGAAGGTTGCCCGGTCTCAGAGGCCACTGCCGATTGCTTTTGGCGTCGCCTCGAGTCAGGCGTGGCAGTGTCTCTTCCTAAGAGGACTTTGTTTGATATGCCCGACACAGGCATCGTCACGACCTCACTGCTGGGACCGCCACCCAAGGAATCGTCGTCTTCGTTTTCCAAAACAATGCCAGTCTGTACTGGACCAAAGCTTTTGTCTACACCGTTGTCTGGCGGATAGTCCACATCTGCCATAAACGCATCGTCATCGTCGCCCCCTCCTCGAAGGCTTAGTCCTTCGCCAGTGGCGTCTGGCATTTGAGAAGCTGCCACAGGGATGGTGCTGTATTGCTCCTCTTTTCCTTTTCTTCGTCTTAGCTTGACTAAGTGTGCTTGGATAGCAGTTACTAACCTCTCATGTAGTCGTATCCAAAATTTCTCTGGTCGTGGGCTGTCAGAAAGTGCAGCGGAGGGCGGACTTCGGCAGTGCAGAGTTCATCCCAGTCGTCCACATCAAAGTCTGGCTTCATAAAGCGCGTCAGCTCTGATAAAACTGGTTCGACAGGCAGACCGAAGTAGAGCATCGTGAATTTCATTGCGAGTGAGGGGTGGCATTTTTTGAATCTGTTGCTAATCAAGCTTTGGTATCGTCGGGCGCTGTCTTCTTGACAATCTCTCAAACTTCGAGGCTCCGTAGCTGGCATGAAAAGCTTCCGCTCATGAGATGTAAAGTAATCCTCCAAGACTTGTCCCATGCGCGTGGTGGGCAAGCTGAGCAGACCCTTGAAGTGACCATGAATGGTATCCCAATCCTCATCAGTTGGTCTAATAAGAGGATTGTACCTTTTCTGAGGCTCGAGTATCTTTTTGTTCGGTTCAGACATGCCGAGATGTGGGAGAAAATGGAGTTTTACAAGCCAAAAGTTCGAGATAGTAGGTAGTGTACGAGTCAAGGGCAGAGCAGAAAAGGAAGAAAAAGAGTGATGAGTTGAGCAGAGGTTGAGAAGAGAAGTGACCTGCATCGACCAACAAGCTTTGCAAAAAGGCGTCTCAAATATCAACGAACGGGTCTATTCAAAGGGATGAAGCATGTTCCTTCCCCCTTTGCTGGACGCAAGATTTGAATGGCATGCCGAGATATTTCAAGCCTTTGACAAGGTCAAAATGTCTGCATTGGCGAATGTGGCAAACCGATGCCCATTATCCATTGTCTATCTACCAAAGCTTCGTCAGGTTCAAGGCCACCGGTGAGGGATCGAAGCGGAACGTCTTTGTTCGTACTGGACATCCCTTGCGAGCATACACGAGCCAGAAAGATAGGAAGCAAACTTTTTCCCGCTTCTTATGCCTTAACCGGGCAGCTGAGGCACGATGTATGTTAATTGATTTATTTGGGCACCTAGACAAAGACTACGGTGTGAATAGATCCCCCTAAACCATCTCGATCTCTAGAAGCTTCGGGAACGACATTAAAGATTCGATGAACACTGACAATGGTTATGCAGCTTTGATCCAAGAAGCAAAAACAAAAGAAAACCCGAACTTCAATGACGCCAATGTTCTTGACGTCGATTTCGAGAGGGTTAACACAGCTTTGAAGAGCTGGTTCTTAAAAATAAAATAAAAAAATAGCAAAAAATCAAAGTCGACACATGAAATATTGGACAATTACCCGCACCCCATTACAGTTGTTGGATCGTAAGGACCTCTTTTGGCTCAGGCTCAAAATCGATATCGATATCGAGGTCGAGTTCGAGGTCTCTGGACTTGCCTCCCTCCGTCTTCTATGTTGAGTCCCTTGCTGTCTCGTACATCAGATGCAATATGGGAACATCCGCAGCAGCGGGAAGCAGTAGTGATGGACAAGAAGCAGGAAAAGACCGCATGGGTGACATGGAAGTCCGAATTTTTCTCACTGATGGCTGCTCAAGTAAAGTAAGAGGACAATGTAGGCAGGAGGGGTAAATTCCTTACAGGCAACAAGCAGCAGCAAAGATGCGTGGTATAGAGTGCCAAACAGCAAACGGCCGTGACAACCAATATTTCAGTATTGACCAACCCCACGAGTGAACGAGATGTCAATCGGGTAACGAGCCCAGAAGTTCAAATCGAAGCACCCCAAGCCAGCTATGAAGAAACGACTCTCCAAAACACGCATCGTCTCAATCCTTGACTCCCAAACGCAGCCACTCTGTTTTTTGGTATCAAACCACCCTAGCTACTCGTGGAAAAAGGAAAAAAAAAGGAATAAAAGCAAGTTTTTATGATACGTCCGTACAGATAGATATTACACAAACTCGCGGCTTTTGCGCGCGAGGACGCGGACGTTGTCAACGAATGCCTCAACAAGTTGCTGATATTGATGCGGCTCGTTCCTCATGGCGCGGCGTTGTTGATCGATGACGATTTCGGGTGATAGCTCTATTTCCAGTTCGTGTTCCTTGCTCATCTGCGAGGTATTCTTTTGTCTTTGTTAGCAAAGTTCAGGGGCCACACTTCCAAGCAAGAGTTGACTTACTCCTGGACCAGGCATCATCTGTGTCACTTGCGTCAAGTCGATCTGGTAGTGATTTTGCTTGTAGCTGAGACGGTCCTTGTTCCGGTCAGGGAACTTGTCTGCATGGCCGACAGCCACGCTTTCCAATTCCTCAACGGAACCATCCCATGCCATTTCGAGATTGATACTAAGGCGACAGTCGAGTGGGCATGTGGGAAGATGTAGGTGGATATCTGCCACGCGGGCCTTGACAATCTTGGCCAAGACCTGCTGCGTCTTTTGGTCATATGTGACTCGGACCTTGATTGAACGCCTGTTACCTAGCAGAGAACGGACGCAACCAGGCAGACGTGCCTGCAGGGCATTTGGCAGCTCGTAGAACTTATCAATCTCTCGTCGGTGTTTGTATTGTACTTGTACTCGGCCGCGTGCGTTGGGGTTTCGGGGATCTGTCTGCACAACCATGGTGTTGAGAAATTCGTTGAGACCCTTGTGCTGAACCTGCAGAGAAACAATGGGATTAGCTATTGTGATTCTTGCCCAGAAAAGATCAGTAAACAAACCTCGGTCATGCTGCTTCTGAAAGCCAGGCGCCCGGTATCGTGCAGAACGCATTCCGAACCTATCGCTCTCTCGACACGATCATTGGTGTCTCTGTCGATGAGCTGTCCCATCTTGGCCTCGATTTCAAACTGCACGCCACGTCCTATTATCTCCCCACTATCAGGATGGAGCGTGACATTTTTGAATAAGAAATCGGCGATCGTCTTGGACAGCTCCTCGTAAGGTCGGGTACCGAGGATGCTTTCCTCCCAAGGACCAAGCAGACTTTCGGCCTTGGGCGGCGGCGGCGGCGGCGGCGGCGGCGGCTCTTGAACTGGAGGAGCGGTGGATCGCGCTGCCTCTGGTGAGGTGTGGCGGCTGGTGCTGTCCTGCTTGACAGACTCGGACTTGCCATTGATGTGCGGCGGCCCCCGTTTCTGGAGCTCGAAATTGGCAAGCTTGAGCCTCTTATTTTCTCGGGCATTCCAAGTCTGAGCCCAAATGGGGGGTGTCGCGTGGATCTTTCTCTTTCGTTGCATCACGGGTGACCTAGAGATGGCAGATCCGCCATTGAGCTCGGCAGGCGGCGGCCGTGGCTCCTTCCGTTCCAATTCCCTGGGACTCAAGTCTCGATCGGCAAGTTTTCTCTTGGCGGGTGTCGCAGCGCGTTCGCGTTCGGGTTCCACCATGTTGGTGACGCTTGGGTGTGGTCGCACTTCGGGTTCCGTCTGCCCACCAATGCTGCTCGGCAAACTCGGTATTCTGGTCTTGGGACTGACGCTGATACTTCGGTCGCGTTCACTATGTGATAATGATCTTCGTTCGTGGGTGCTGTGGGAGGAACTGGGCATGCGAACTGGTGGAGGTGGTGGTGGAGGTGTGGCTTGGGCGAGGTGTGAGGCGGACAGTCTCTGTTGATACGGGCTTTGTGGTTGTGTAAAGCTTGGTGCAGTGGAAGATTGTCGAGGCCCGGTCTGGGGCGGGCCCAGTGGGGTCGGAGGCTGCGAGAGCTGCCGATTGAAATCGGGCGGCGGATGCGCCGTCGCCACAGGACTACCGTGAAGAGGATATTGCTGGCCGTGATGCTGCGGATGCTGACTATGAGCAGATGTAGGTGTAGGAGTTGAATGGTTTGATTGTGAGCGCTGATGGAGATATGGGTGTCCGCTAACAGGGGTCCCAATGGGCGGTGTTTGAGGCATATGCTGCTGCGGTGGCGGCGGTTGCTGCTGTTGAGCGTATTGAGGCACCGTTGCACCAGATGGATGAGGATAACCTTCTCTCGGGGGGAACGCGTTGGACGGCGGATATTGTTGGTGTCGTTGCACAGGGCTGGCAGCTTCCTGAGGCGGGCCGGTCGGCGGGAAGGGATAACCTCCACTAGGACCGCTCACGGAAGATGTCGGCGTATGACGATACGGAGACGGACCTGGCATGGATGCACTCTGGGGTGATCGCGCATCGGCATAAGGGGCGGGAGCACCAGCTTGAAGGGGCGGCGGCGCTGGCCGGCCGGGATACGGGCCTGGGGTCTGATAAGGCGACTGCGGAGGATACGACGGGGCAGAGGCCTGAGGATGTACCGCATATTCCTGAGGTGCTGGCGGTTTACCAGGAGATGAATGCAATGCATGGCTGTACGCCGATTCTCTAAAGGCATAGGCCGTCGTAGCCTGAGAAGGTGTCGTGGGGGCCTGTTGCTGGTATGGTAGCTGGGGCGGCGGTTGTTGCTGCTGTTGTTGTTGGTGCTGCTGTTGCTGCTGCTGCTGCTGCTGCGGATGATGCTGATGCTTCGGCGCGAGATGTTGAGGAGGTGCGTGAGGATGCTGGTGACCATGGGCATGGGCATGAGCAGGGTGGCCCGGAGGAGGGCCACCAGCGGCAGCGGCAGCGGCAGCGGCAGCAGCAGCACGCGGCCTCTCCCCCCCATCATCGGACGTGTTCATCAAACTCCTCAAATCCATTGTGTGTAGTGAAGACAAGGCGTGCCGTGGGTGTTGTGGGCTAGAATCCCTTGCTCGCGTTCCTTTGTCTGGACCAGCGCTCCGCCCAGCTTCAGCTCAAGTGCACAAGATTCGGCTTCGGCCTCTCAAACACGGCGGTTCATGTGTGCGACGAGGTAAACAGCTGGAAAGAAGGAGAGATGTGATGGCAATCGGATGAGATTTGCGGTTTCGGCGCGGTTCTAACGAGACGGAATGGATGCGCAAGAGGCATTCATCACGCCGTCGTAGTTCAGTGGTGAGTCAGTTCGCGAATATGGCAGAGGTCGGTTTCGGGTTCGTCGTGTATGTCGGGATTCGGAGAGACGGGAAGGATTGAAGTCCAGAGATAGCTCCCACCGAGGGCAGCAAGACATGCGCTGAGTGTAGAGAGCGGCGCTGTTCAACGTCCAAGGAGAGACGTAGGAGCGCAAAGGCGGCTAGTTGTAGATCGAAGTCGAGGTCGAGGGCGAGGAAGAGGGGTCGTTTGTCACTTGCTCGAATCGGCGTGGGTGTTTGATTTGTGGCAATAATCGAAGACGGCGGGCTGGTAGTGTGGTGAAAATTGTCGTCGCGAGTTGGTCGTCGTAATCGCTTGGAATCGGGCGGAGGATTTGAACGATGTGGACGGCACGTGGTTGGAGGGAGCTGAGACGAGCTATATGGGTGGATGCGAATGAAGATGCGCGCTTGGGAGTGGATTGGAGAGGGCGTCGCAAAGTGCGAATGGAAGCTCTGGTGTTTTGAGTGGCCGGGTACGGGTGCGTGTACGTGTGCGTGTGCAGCCTTGTTGCTTCGATGCGCTTTGGGTTGGTGGTAATGGTGGTGGTGTGCAGAGACGAAGCGGGCGGATTGAAGATGGGGAAAGATATCTCAGCAAGAAAACATCTTGTCCTCTCCTGTTGGGTTGGAACTTGGCGTTGCGGCAGTGGCTCAGGGAAGTAGGTACTGTAACTGTTCACAGCCTGGGACTTTGGCCCTTGAGGTACCTAGGCAGTAAGGCAGGCAGGTCGGCAATGTACCTGGTGCTAAGGTATAAAGTGAGGTATAGGTGAGGTATTGGTAGCGTGCCCAGGCGAGAGCGAGCAATAGAGAGAGGGAGAGAAGGAGAGAAGGGGCCAGAGAGAGGAAGCGTGTGTGTGTGTGTGTGTGAGACAGAAGGCGACAGGCGTGTGGGAAATTTGGAGACGAAAAGACAGGATGAAAATGGATTGGTCGCGCGCCGATCGCAGGTCAGGCTGGGGCCCAGTGAGGTGGTCTGGCTCTCTGCTCTGCTTTGCTCTGCTCTCTGGCACTGAGAACGGGCTCGCTCCACGTACATAGCTTGCTCGAGGCACCTTGACTTCAGGGCTAGGTAGTCAGGGCATAATTACCTTGGATTACCTTAGTAGACAAGCATTGATATGTGGTACTGATGGATGCTGCCTGGTCCAAGGTAGCATCTGAAGCTGTACCATATCACTTGCAACTATCCGCGAGATACGACTGGTAGGTTGGTAGGTACATTACAGCAAGGTACGGTGGCTATCAATGTATTGGATACCCAAGGTAAGTATCTAAAGCAGACCTTAGGTTGGTGGGGAGCTAATTACAACCCGTACGGATGGACTGCAAAAAAACCAGTGTAAGCAGCCTGGCATAAGGTAGCTGGGAGCTCCCAAAGAGCTTCAAGCTCAAGCTGACAGGAGACCTGTTGAAGCAAACCCAGCACGAGCTGGGCGAGCAAGTGGACAGCCTCGTCAGAAACCCTTTACGAATACCTAGGTAGGTACGAGTACAGAGTAGTGTAACGGGTGGTCCAAGACTCCAAGGCAAGGTCTTCAGAAGGACAGGGCAGCTTTAGATGGTGTATCCGTAAGGTACGGAGTACAAGGCAAAGCCACGGCCACGGTGCGCTGCTTGAGCCCGGCCTCACAACCTGGCCTGGCGGCCCTGGGCCATCGACGTGCTGACCTGTCGGGGATTTTTATTTTGTTTTTCTGTCCTCGCTCCAGGGCAATCTGGAAATGACAGACTTGTCCTTGCCCCCTGTCTAGGTCTTTTGGCCGGCCACGGTGTCGCACTCCCGGGCCCCGGCTCCACCTTTCTGTCTTGCTGGAACGGTGGAGGAGATGAGGTGACCGCCGGGGGAGAAAACGATGATCCGGATCCAGTTGGGGGCTGCGTACCTTACCTTACCTCACCTTACCTTACCTTACCTAAGGTTGGTAGGTACCTATCGTGCTAAGGCACCCGGCTAGCTTACCTCAGCATCATAGCTCCCGTCTGCAGGGCAACTTAGTGCACGCAAACAGACAGAGAAACCCGGGTGCGGCTTTGACCTTTTGCTCGCTTAGCTAAGCACGCTGAGCAAAGCTTGCTGACTCATATCTACCTGGCACCCAAAGGGAGGTACGTACCTGGAACCTGAGTCGGCAAGGCGAGGTACGGATAGGCAGACTTGCCTGACGTGGATGCGTTCCCTTGCCTTACCTGAGTAGTGCGTAGTGTCGTGCCCTGGAACTCTGGCTGCATTCGCGCCTTTGCTTTCGACGTCCTTCTCTCCATCATCATCGCTTCCTTTGGAGCTCCCATCACCACCAACCCCAAATCCAATTCCATCCCACCACCCCGCCCCGTGCGATACCATCCTATCCATCCCGGCCACACTTTATTCGAACCCATCTCCCTCGCCCATCATCGTACCCCGCAGCTCTTTTCAGCTCCGTCTTCCTGGCCACTTCTCACAATGCCTGGCCTGGTCTCAGCTACCGGAGTCCTGGGCTTCCTGGCCGATGAGGAGCATGACCTCAAGGTTTTCGCCCTCCAGACTCTCAACGACGACATCGACACTGTCTGGACCGAGGTCGCTGGTGCCCTGAGTCAAATGTGAGCTCTCTTCCTTCTTCGCCACGCTCCCTCTACTCGCCTTGTTTGGACCCTGTTGACCACCTTGATACAGTGAGGCTCTCTACGAAGACGACTCCTTCCCTCAACGACAGCTCGCCGCCCTCGTTCTCGCAAAGGTCTACTACCATCTCCAGGCCTACAATGAGAGTATGACATTTGCTCTCGCTGCTGGCGACCTCTTCAAGCTCGATGCTCCCGGCGAATTCGAGGATACCATCATTTCAAAGTGCATCGACCAGTACATTGCTGCCTCTTCCGCAAAGCACACTGCTCCCGAGTCACCCCAAAACGATACCTCACTCCCCGCTCTGGCTACCACTTTCGCCAGCGGTGCTGCCGATGGCTCCGCCTTGATCTCTCCCACAACCCCATTCTCCCAGACGACCCTCCCCTCCAAGTCTCTCCTCTCCCGAGTCTCGACCGACAACACAATTCTCGATCCCACATTCCAGCCTGTTAAGGAAGGCCGCTCCGCATCCATCGCCCCAATCAATGACCAGGCGACTCAGGTTGCTCTGCAGCGTATTATCGAGCGTCTGTTCGAGGCTTGCCTCAAGGATGGCAGGTATCGCCAGGTCATTGGTATCGCCGTCGAAGCCAAGAACTTGGAGGTTCTGCGCCGTGTCATCAAGCGCGCCGCCGATGACGAGAAGCATTCAAAGGCCAAGTCGTCGGATGGCCAGGGCCCCGCCGAGGAGCTCATGGACTATGCTTTGGGCATCTGCATGGACGTTGTTCAGGAGCGAAGCTTTCGCACTGAGATTCTGCGTCTGATCCTCGACCTCCTCAACGACATTCCGAACCCAGACTACTTCGCCATCGCCAAGTGTGTCGTTTACCTGAGCTCCGACGAGGAGGCTTCGCGCATGCTGAAGCAGCTCATTACGAGCGGCGATCGGAATTCAATCGCCAATGCCTACCAGATCGCTTTTGATTTGTATGATAATGGCACTCAGGAGTTCTTGGGCAAAATCATCAGCTCGCTGCCGTCAGGGGAGCCTGCTAAGGAGAGCGACGCAACTGAGGAAGAGCCACTGATCGAGAATCAAGAGTCCTCAGACGAGGAGCTGTCGGAGGAGCTTTCCAAGGTTTACAAGAACATTCGGTCAATTTTGGACGGCAGCAAGACCATTCAGCTGAACCTCGAGTTCCTCTACCGCAACAACCGCACCGACCTGAGCATTCTTAACAAGGTCCGCGATAGCTTGGAGGGTCGCAATTCCATCTTCCACACAGCCGTCACCTTCTGCAACGCTTTCATGAACCAGGGCACCACCAACGACAAGTTCTTCCGCGACAACCTCGAATGGCTTGGCAAGGCTGTCAACTGGTCCAAGTTCACCGCCACCGCAGCTTTGGGTGTCATCCACCGCGGCAACCTTACGCAGTCTCGCAAGCTTCTAGAGCCCTACCTTCCTCGCCAGAGCGGCTTGAGCAGCGGCTCCATTTTTAGCCAAGGTGGTGCTCTCTACGCCTACGGTCTGATTCACGCCAACCACGGCGCCGACGCTCTTGACTACCTCAAGACCCAGTTCACATCCGCAGAGGAGGAAGTTATCCAGCACGGTGGTGCTTTGGGTCTGGGTATTGCAGGCATGGCAACTGGCTCTGAGGAGATTTTTGACAACCTGCGCACGGTTCTTTTCACCGACTCTGCTCTCAATGGCGAGGCTGTTGGCCTTGCCATGGGTCTCATTATGCTCGGTACCGGCAACGTGCGGGCCTTGGAGGACATGATTACCTACGCCCACGAGACGACCCACGAGAAGATTGTTCGTGGTCTCGCCATTGGCATGGCCTTGATCATGTTTGGCCGCCAAGAGGGTGCCGACGCCATGATTGAGGGCCTGCTTAACGATCCTGATCCTACCTTGAGATATGGCGGTATCATGACTGTTGCTCTCGCCTACTGCGGTACTGGCAGCAACAAGGCTATCCGCAAGCTGCTTCATACTGCCGTTAGCGACGTCAACGATGATGTACGCCGTGTCGCCGTCATGAGCTTGGGCTTCATCCTCTTCCGTAAGCCCGGCAGCGTTCCTCGCATGGTCGAGTTGCTCTCCGAGTCGTACAACCCTCACGTGCGTTACGGATCTGCCATGGCGCTGGGCATTTCTTGTGCCGGCACCGGCCTGGACGAGGCCATCGACTTGCTCGAACCTATGATGAAGGATCCCACCGACTTTGTCCGTCAGGGTGCGCTCATCTCTCTGGCCATGATCATGATCCAGCAGAACGAGGTCATGAATCCCAAGGTCGCTTCTATTCGGAAGACTCTGAAGAAGGTCGTCGGCGATCGCCATGAGGACGCCATGACCAAGTTTGGCGCGTCGCTTGCGCTGGGTATTATCGACGCGGGTGGTCGCAACTGCACCATTGGCCTCCAGACCCAGACCGGAAACCTCAACATGGCCGGCATCGTTGGTATGGCCGTCTTCACCCAGTACTGGTACTGGTTCCCGTTCACCCACTTCCTTTCGCTCGCTTTCTCGCCCACCTCCATCATCGGTCTCGACCACGAACTCGAAATCCCCAACTTCAAGTTCCATTGCGCCACCCGTCCCAGCCTCTTCGATTACCCGCCAGAGCAAGAGGTAAAGGCTGAGGAGGGTCCTACCATGGTCGCCACAGCCGTTTTGTCAACAACTGCCCAGGCCAAGCGCAGAGCTCAGAAGAAGGAGCGTGCCCAGCGTCGTGAGAGCATGGATATTGACTCTGCCAAGCCAACGGTGTCCGACAAGATGGATGTGGATGAAAAGAAGGAAGAGACCAAGGAAAAGAAGGAGGGTGAAGCTGGAGAGAAAGAGGCATCTGTTGCTCCCGCCGACACCAAGAAAAAGGTAGAGAAGGAGAAAGTCGGTTACGATATGGAGAATCTGTCGCGCGTGCTTCCGGGCCAGCTCAAGTTCATCAGCTTCCCTGCCGGACGTTACAAGCCGGTCAAGAAGGTAGAGTAGTCCCAACCCCTCGACTGCAAAGTATTTTACTAACTATTCTCAGCCTACCGGAGGACCTCTGCTTCTGCAGGACACGCAGCCTGACGAGGAGAAGACGCTCATCGAAGAGAAGTTGAAGAAGGTGACAACAGAAAAGGCCCCAGTCGCCGGCCAAAGCAACGCAGGCGGATCATCGGCGGGCTTGACACCGCGCCAACAGCAGAACATAATTTCCCAGGCCCTGAGAGCAGGTGCTGGTGGCGATCTTCGCTCGCTGAATGAGCTTAGCGAGCTCCTGGGTCGGCAAAGAAGAGGTGATCTTGTAGGCGCTACTGATGAAGGAGGGGCGGCTGCTGCAGCAGGAGTGCTGACAGCAGTGGACGAGGATGGCGAGGGAGACGAAGAGGCGGACGTCCCACGAGAGTTTGAATACTTCACGGACAATGAGGAGGAAGATGATGAGGAGTAGCCATTCTCGCAAGCGAACCACCAGTGTTTGTGACTCTAGGCTTGAGGCCATAACGGTGTTTAGAGAATAGAATGGGGGCGGCGTAGAGCTAAAACGACTGCCATTCTGCCAAGGACAGTCGGGGGCGAAGAGATTTTGCCAGGCTGTACAATAGTGTAACAATCGAGTTATTCGTAGAGGTTGCTTCTCACATGCGTGTAGACCCGTGAACGCGCCATGCGACAAAGCAAAGGATCGCAGCGAATATTGGAATGTCTTGACGTATAGAATATGAGGATCAATAAATGATTGTAGCCAGTTTCGTATAGTGACAGTAAGCTGTCGAGGGGTAGCTATGTTTTCGCACATGGCGCTTGGGGTTTCCTAAAGCAACACCTGCAAGCTGTTTTCCCAGCAAATGCAGACAACAGCAACGCAGACGACTCGCGGAAACCTTGTGGGGAACCCCACGTTTCCCCTCCTACATCGTCAAGCTGGGAGTAGTAAACCTACTTGACAGTGACCACGCAGGGAGACAGACGTGTATGAGGTTCGCTTGCGTTTTCCCGTGTCAGGAGATCAGGAGCGGTACACGGAACGCTTCCTCACGATGTCTTCTAACGGCATGTACATTGCCCGCGGGCCCCTTATTCGGGGCTCGAGCTTTGTGGACTACACAGAAGCTCCTCACTCCCGCAACACCGTGGGGAGGGTAATGCGGGGTGTCCGGTCTTCCTCCGAACTCCTCTTACCTTAGCTAAGAGAGACCAAAAGACCCTCCCACCTCAAGGTACTCTTCCGCGTGTTCTAGCCTCCAACCGAAGTGGTCCACGTCCATAGCTGAAGCCGGCGGGAGAAGAGAAGTCTCGCCGTGACTGATCAAGTCCTCAACACACCTTCTGCTTCCCCCACGATTCCTTCTCAACACTTCGTCTCTTTGGGAACACGTCCTTTTAAGCCAACTGACGGCCTTGTGTTGAACTAAGCCGGCAATCTAAACTGCCTTCCAGGTTTGAGAGCTTCTTCCGATTTGCTGCCACTTCGTTACTACCGTACATTGCTTTGCATTGATTGATATTGCCCACGCGCAGCTATTATCACCCGTCATGGCACAATCCAACTCCCTGTTAGACACGCTGAGGTCCGTAAGCCAAGTCGACTGTGATACTCTTGACGTTGAAGGCAAGGACCCTCCATCACGGCCCTAATGTGCTCGGTTCTGATCCTGCTTTAGTTGCTAAAGAGCTGGGTCCCTTCGTCGATCACACCTCCAACCAGGCAATCGCCTATGGCGAGCTCACCAAGACCACAGCAGATGGCAAGCTGTACCACGAGCAGCTCATCCGGGACTCCCTCAAGGATGCTCAGGGCTGGGCTCATGCGGCCTGGCCAGACATCGACCCGATTCTTCTCGCAGTCGAGATTATGGTACCTTGGCTCGGCAAAGTTCTTGACAAAACTACCCACCATCGCTGACACGTTTGTAGATGGTCAGACTTTCACTCAAGTTCATCCCGTATCTGACAGGATATTTCCACATCCAGACCAACACAGACTGGTCCTATTCAGTCGAGAAAACTGTCAAGAATGCCGAGAGTACGTTACCATACAGGCCTACAATGATCAAAGCTAACCGCGCTGCTCTGCTTCATAGGAATCCTTGAGACCTTCAAGAAGGTGGAGCCCACTTTCGACGTGAAGCGTGTCTGCATCAAGATTCCGTCCACCTACGAGGGCATTGCTGCTTGCAGAATCCTCGAGAACAAGGGAATTGCAACACTGGCGACGACCATGTTTTGCATGGAGCAAGCGGCCCTTGCTGCTGATGCTGGCTGCACTTACATTGCGCCGTATGTGAACGAACTAAAGGTTCACTTCGTCCCTGGGTAAGGATGATCTCATATACAGCCCGGACACGGCGACCCGAGCAGGACTGAATGACTGACGCTTGGGCACCCTTAGTTATGTGGACGGGAACAAGGCTTTCAACTTCTGCAGACAGGCGCAGGCTTACTATGTCGAGACAAAGGCCAAGACCCAGGTCCTGGCAGCTAGTCTGACTACCGTTCCCGAGGTGATGCAGTTGGCCGGCATTCAGCACGTCACCGTCTCGCCGCCGCTCCTCCGGGCTCTTTCGGCAGCGCCGTCGTCGACCTGGACGGAGAATGTCGGTAGCTATTTCGCAGACGGGCCAGACGAACGCTGGATCAAGGACTTCCAGGCTGCTTTGAAAGACGAGGGCGAGTGGCGGTTTGCTTTTACTCGTAGCGGCAACGGCAGGTATGAGGAGAAGCTTATCCAGGCCATTAATATCTTCTCCGAGAAGCAGCAGAGCCTGGAGGAGCTAGCGCGAAGCTACTTGTAGACCAATACCTGCTACATATAGAATCACCGCTTGCAAGTTCAAGGCGCAGACAAAACCATCATTAATCAAAGGGCCTGGGTAATTTGATGCTACTTAGACATACCGTCTATCGATAATTTGAACCCAACAAACCTCCATTCTCTTTTCCTCCTCGGTCTTCCTCCCAGACCAGGATGTCAAGCACCACCCTCCCTACGCCATCCCCAATGCCCTTCTCTTCCTGGCGATTGCTGCATGAATGCAGCAAAATCAGTCCCGGCGAAAGGAGACATTGGTGTTTCCCTCATATCGGCATTAGTTTGTCTGGAGTCGTCAAACACCGGACGTCGGGCACGAAGCGCTTCCCTTCCAACCCAGCTCAGATATACAGTCTCATGGACCTGTATAAGATCGGGCCCAATTTCCGTAGTGCCCCGGCTGCTTCTATCTGCCTGCTCGAATTCCGGCTTCTTCTCCACCACGAATACTCTATGGTCCTTCCTCTCGATATAACGAGCGACAAGAACGAAGCCGATGAACCAAGCAACACCTAGACCGATGATGATCCATGAGACCGTGGGAATCACCCACCAGGGATTCAATTGCGTAGATAGGTACTTGGAAGGAGGAACCCAGTTGGTGATCACCGGGTAAAGCCCACCGCACATGTATACGAAAGCGCAAAAGACGGACAGGAAGGGACGGAAACGTTTTCCAGTCATCTCGGCCCAAGTACGCGGCAACTGCGGCGGGTCTTTCCCAAATGTCGAGGCGTCGTCGTCGGTAAGGGTAGTCGGAGGTCCGCGGAACCGTAAGATGAGAATGCCCAGCCCCAGGAACGTCCCGATGAAGGCATTGATGACATAGGCGCTCAGGGATGTAAGCAGTGTGTAGGCATCTTTCGGGCTCATATTGTAGGTCGCGAATATAAGGATGGTACAGCTGACGAAATGGAGAAGCAGGGCTCCGACGGGAGTTTTCTCGCTGTGATGCTCTGGCGAAAGCCACTTCAGTCGAAGAATTGATGAAAACAATCTCTTCCTCTGGAACCAGCGCAGTACACGGCCGATGCTCATATCCGTGTTTTGTGCAAAGAACTTGGGCCACGGAAGCATTCCCTTATCGTTGTAAGTTTTGGTTCTTCTCATACATTAGATACCAAGGCTTCACTCACTTCTTTCGCAATCTCCTGCTTAACCCTGGCAGCTGTGTATGTCTGCGAGAATGTCATCGGCCATGTCAGCGGACGTACATGGCGTGAATGTTCTTGGAGACAATTGACTGACCATGACGATGATGTTGCCTAAAGACGAGATGGCAAGAAAGGCGTTGAAGATCCGGGCCCCGGTGTCGCTAGCTGAGCCAAGTGTCCCAAATGTTAGTTCGAAGAACTTTTGTGCAACATTTTCGTTGATCTGGTCCTCTTTTGGGACAACAACCATCTAACTCGAAGTCAGCAAAGCTTTCTTCCCCGCTCCCGATCCCGAATGTAGGGTGGAACCAAGAGCCGAGCAAATGAACTCACATAGCAAATATTCACCGCAAGGTAAAGCGTCACAACGGTGCCAACACCGGCACCCATGGCGATAGGAAACTTCTTCTTCGGCCTACTGATCTCCCCAAGGACATAGTTGGGCTGCTCGAAGCCGGAGAAGCTGAAGATGATAGCGAGAAACGCTTGAGCGTAGCTGTTGGCATCGTTTGACGCGTTTTTGAAAGAATTCTTGGGCGAAGTGTTTTCGCCAAAGACATTCTTGGCACTTGGAAATCCTCCTGCACCAACGACAATCGTTGCTACAATGATGAGAAGCATGATCATGATTTTGACGACCGCGAGGATGTTGTTGAGCAAAATTCCCCCGCGTCTAGAGAAAGCATGGATTCCACAAGAGAATGTAGCTACAGCAAGGGCGATGCCGCGCACAGGGCCGTTTCCTGGTTCCGATATGCCGGCGGCTTCGAGAAGTCGCATGGCAAAGTGAATGCTGTTGCCCGCCATGTTACCCAAAATGATAAAGCTGATGCCAAATATACAAGTCGACAAGAGCAAAGTGTTCTTCCGGTAGGCTGGCTTGCGGAAAACGTATTGTAGGTAGACGAGGTCACCACCGCTTCGCGGGACGCTGTGGTCGTGCCCATTGATCAGATATCTGGGCACGTTCAAGCCATACTCAATGTACACATGGGTTCCGCAAAGACAATATATTATCCCGGCCAACCAGAAGAGTAGCGTTGCACCAACACTTCGTGTGCCTCGCATTACTCTTTGTGGGGACATGAATATACCAGTTCCTAGATTAACCATCTAATTTAGCGCTCCATTGCGTTGGAAAGGAAGATGAAGATGAGTTGTTGTTTACAATGGTTACCTCCTCATGGTGTTTCTGGTAATGAAGACATGAAACCGTAAAATAATGTCAGGAAAGGGGGATAGCACAGTGAACAGAATCTTCCATGCGTACAGAAATATCAACGCATGCGCCGCTTGAGAGGGCGGAGGGCCGGAGTAAATCAATCGTCTTGGTTTTGAGAAACCCTTACATCCATAGGTAAAGAATCAAACTACTTACCAATCATACGGTTGATGACTAGACAGGCTACGTCGATGTATCCTAGTCGGAAGCCCTCCTTTGGAGCATGCGTGACGATGCCATTGCCGTCACTGATGGGGTCAATCACCTCGTCAATATCACTGTGAACTGAAGCCTCTTCAGCACCCCGTGGCTCTTGGTAGAAACCAATGGAGCTGGGAAAGTCGTTCATCTTCGAAAACGTATTGATCTGAAAAGAATGCAAGTTTTAAGTCCGAGCCTTGCGGTCGCTCCGCAGCAGGAAATCAACGCAATGTCCGTATCTCTCGCTTTTCACAAGATACATGACAGGTAGGCCCGCCATGGGTGTCTTCACATTATGTATGGCACACTTCTCTCGGCTCGTAGGTGCGTGTGTGTGACGAGCTGCTGGCATGCATGTCGGGCGTAATCTAGAAACAGCACGCAGCTGGGGCGCGCACCACAGAAAGGCAAACAGGCAGACTTGGCCATGGGTTGATGGTGGCTCGCATGCATGCCGAGGCAGCCACTATCTAGGACGAGGGCTGGTCGAGTCACTCGTGCCACGACAGCCTCGTCCAGAAATATGCCTCGCAAGGCATGCCTGAGGTCTTTCTTTGCGCGCATCTTGGCAACTTGGACACATGGGGTCTCAAGAACGTGTTACCTCATTACCAAGACTCTGGCGACTACACAGCTGTCAAGTTGTACCCGATCTAGTGAGTGGTTTAGTCTCAGTATTCAAGCGTTGATAGGTCTAGCGAAGCGAGCACGAATGGGAAGGGTCCCGGGGAAAAGGTCAAGGTGACACCCCCTTCTGAGTCTTACACCGAGGTTGGCACGTCGGGAAGTTATCCAACCTCGAAGCCATCAATCTGTATAGCTCACTGACACCGCCACATGCATTGCACGCATGGGCTGAGTGCCGATCATCGTTCTCAGTCAAGGGTATATAAGCGTATTCACTCAAAAGCCTCGCCCGAAATTCCCTTGAGCATAGCCAAATACTGGCCCTGACTGATGTTCGCTCAGCAAGTTCAGATTGCTTCTATTTTGCTCTGGGCATGACAGCAGGTATAGTGCAATAAAAATATTTCTGCATCCGGGCTTGGCAGTGAGAGTGCCAGCCACTCACGATCAAGAGTGTCCGGAACCGAATAACTCGTTAATCACCAGGAGGGGAGCAGACGACTGTAAAGACCCCCAAGTTTGCGGGGTTGATGACTGTATCAAGGATAAGCTTCTGTCCGATTAGTTCATCCCAATTACTTCGAGATGTGAATGGCACAGCGGCGCAGTTCAGTAGCTTATCTCGCAATCTTCCACTTCCGCCGCAGACTTGCATACCTCCCAGCAGCTGAGGGTCCAGCCCAGATTGACGGGATTGGATATCATCGTAGGGGTGTCTCGGGTAGCTGAGACCGCGTGACAGCCTTTTCTTTCCCTCCCTTTCTGAATAAGACCCCGGTTTCCATGTGCGGAGGAAATCCGCGCATGAGAATAGGGTGGGCTTGCTCGTAATGGATGCGTAGGAGGTGAGACGGACATAGCTTCCAGGCCATCCGGGAGTCTTTCACTCACTACGGAGTAGATTTGACTCGAGCTGCTACCGCTTGACTAGGTAGATAGGGCTGTCGAGAGACGACAACCCAAATTTGTGCTCGGCTGCTCGGTACTGCCACGGTCGACGCGCGCAGTCACACTTCGAGGACGAGAGACAGCCGACTTGGAGGCCAAGCAAGACCAGTTGAGAGAGCCACACGAGGAGGGCAGAGGAGGGCATTCTCCCCTGCTGCCTGCATGGATGCCCGCACCATCCTTTCTCTCTCTCGGTGTCGATTTAGGTAGAGCTGTCTGGGCCGGCGATCACAGACTCGGGTTGGTCTGAGGCAGCAAACACAGATATGCCCATGTCGTCGCTACTAGCCTCACTATCTTCTTCCACGTCCGCCTCCCGTGCCTCTTTCGCTATCCGGCTGGGGGGTTGTCGCTGCTTCCACTTGTGCTTATTCCATATGCTCGTTCCTCGTCCTACTGCCCACCCCTGCGTTCCTTGGGGCGGCTCGCTCTCATCTCTGTGACATGCCTGCAGCTTGGTGGCGTCTATGGTTACTCTGTCGTGTGCTCCCACCCTGCGGTTAGACTTTACTTCAAATCTGCCTTCGTTCCCCTCATCTACTTCGCATCTCAGCCCTCTTGGTGAAGCCCGCTTTTGGGAATTTCCATTAGTCGTCTTCCTCGCACGTATTGACACCATCGCCCTTTCAATGCCAATCATCTTATAAGGCGCATTTCACAGAAGAACTACCTGCACCTTGCCTCGTTACACCCAATGGCAGGGCCAATCCAGCTGGGAGATGTTATCAACTTCAGCAAGCTCGCGTGGGACGTGTACAAGTTCGGTTGGGATAATGACTTCAACGCCAGTGAGTTCCCCGGCGCAATGATTATCATTTTCTAGGGCTGCCACTCTCATCTCATCGCCATGCCATACACAACATGTAGAGCTCTATTTGAGAATACTTTATGTATTTGGTATTCCTCTGGAAACTGTTGGCGCCGTTAAAACACAAGCCGTAGCTCAAATCAAAAAAACCTATAAATCCACAAGTCAGCACTGACTTGCGGTGATCGCAGCCCGACAATACGCAGAGTTCGGTCGCGACGTTAGGGGATTGGCCGAGAACCTCGACATTCTCGGCCGCGTAGTAGACAAAGCCGCCCAGTCATTTCACCAGGAAACGGCGTTCAAACTTGAGCCATTGCGTTGGGATCGTTCGTCACTCAACGAGATCATAGGCGACTACCACGAGACCTTGACAGAATGCTGCACTCTGATAGAGAACAACCATCGCTACCGCCTCAGCAGCGGCCCACTGAGAAACATCGAATGGAATGTTCTCGTGGCGCCGGCGGCAGATCGTCTGCGAGCGCGCATAGCCTTACATAATTCCAAGGTTCTTCACGTGCTGAAGCCTTTTGAAATGTCAGTTCTACCTGATCCCATCCGTTTCAGAGCACTAACAGAGCCAGCGACCTTCTTTGTCGGATCCATGAAGACCTCGCCGGACGTATGAATGCCATGCACCTTGACTTACGTCGCTTCATGGGAGTTCTCGTGCCTGATATGGAACAGGCCCTTGCTCAACAGGTTCACCGGGAATCTTTTCAGTTTGATGTGCCTCCAGATATCGAGAATGGATTTCTGCGAGCGTGGGCGGCTGACAGACCGGATGACGCTTTCAAACCAAGTCTCCAGGAGATTGCAGATGCTTTCGTTATTCATTACCACAAGTCCACCGTCGGGTTTACTGCCGGTATCCTGGTGGAGAATAGGGTTCCCGAGTTGGGGCAATATATCAGCCTTTTGAAGTGTGTCTGGCTGATGAGACGGATTCGTCGTTCGAACGAACTCGCTCAGCAGGGCCGGACCTTATCCCATTGGCCCTCCTACATCCAGGAGCTGGAAGACGTAAGTCGAGTCTTCAATCTCATGCTACCTTGAATAGTACTGACATGTGCTAGGGTCTTGCGTCGCAATGCGATCGATTCAAGCAAGAGCTCATGCCACCAAGTCTAGCAGGTTTAATACCTGAGATGTTTGACATATGGCCTGAAAAAGAGCTTGCTCAGCTCGTGGACGTGGTGACGAGGGATGCTCTCATGGAAGAGGTCATGGATGCGTAAGTTCTGTCCTGAGACCAGGCCTTGACATGAGGGCGGTAACTGATACCAGTTTCGCGCCAGACCATTGCAGGGCGCCACTTCTAACGTTGAGAGGAAGCTTCAGCTGCTTCGCCGAATGGGCGCCGATGGTAAACGCTTCAGGATAAACATATCAGGCGTTGAATTAGGGGGGTCGAGCAGGAATGCACGTCGTCAAGGTATGGATGCCCCAGCCAGATGGAATCGTCGAGTTGTTAACAACCAATAGCCGAGACCATCGATTTCGACATCACAACTGTCATACTGAATCCCCTCTATGCAGTGCCATCTAACTCTTTCGGCGCATGGGACATGATATTGCGCAAGGATGAACGGATTGCCAAGCTGGCTTTTACGCAGTTGAAAGATGCTGCCAAGTTCCAACAAGCCGTGACTGGTTTCAAGGCGTTTGACAGTTATAGCCAGTAAGTGTCATAGACCCACACACTGAAGGATGTCAACAGCTAACAACACCGATAGATACAAGGCTATGGTTAGCTTCGTTGTGTCTGGGAGAGGAGATCCGATTGTCGAGGGAGCATGTGTACAGTTGTGGGTTCCAAAGCAACTCGATGGACAGCTCGTTACGAATAACGAGGCGACGCTCGAGCAGAGCACGTCACCATCCCAGTCAGGGGTGTTTTCACCATCTAGCACAGCATCAAGACAGAGTACCCTCCGCAGCGTGTGGAACACCGCAAACCCATTCACCACCAGCCCTACCGAGACTGTGTCTATGTGGGGTAACAGCGGTCCACCGGTCGTAGGCGCATCACGGAATCGTTCGATGCCATCACCGCCAACAATGACCGGCCCGTTTGGAGTTCGGTCTCCCATGATGATACAGAGACGGCCAGTGGGATCGGGTAGCACGCAACCAACAACAGCATCGCCACCCAGTGCTAATCGGCAGGCAACGTTATCGACGTCACCTGCGAGCCCTCGGTCTTCATCCCTGCTTCCGGGTTCATGGCAGTCAAGAACACCATCCGTATCAACAGTCAACAGCCGGCCTGACCGGACCTTTAGCGTTTCAAGCAACTACTCGGCGACGACATCACCGTCGAACAATAGTTCTAGTGGAAGCGACGCGCACACCGTGACTGTAACGATAGGGGGGCACACGACTGGAATTGTTCACAGGCGCCCTCCCAAGCCAATGCTGGTGCTGTTCACGCAGAATACGCAGACAGGAAAGCGAGCATTGGTAACCATTGACATTGACGAAGACACCGATGTCAACCCAGACCGGTGCAACTGCCGCCGGTCAGGAAGAGACGGATCGTCGTGTCAGATTGCTGCCATTGAGCAGAACCGAGGCAACGCCGAGCTATCGGCGCGAAGATACGAGAGCCGGGACGATGACATGGACTGGAATCTGGCCAAGTTGGCACTGGGGCGGCGAGGGGAGAAGGAGTATGCTGCTGCTGTCTGGAGGGACGTCCGGCGCATCAGCATTATGTTCCCGACTTCCCAAGACAGGGCAAAGTTCGGGGGCACGCCGAATGTATGCCAGTGCAGCGCGAAAACAGAAGCCGAACTGAGCAAGTGTCTCAAGGATAAACACAAGGGGCTGCTGGGGTTTGTCCGGGAATCTGGCCGGCAGCAGTTGAACGAATATCATCGGGTGCGATTCGAATCGCAGCAGGACGTGGTTCGTGGGATGAGAGACGACTATCGATGACAGCTGCTGGAAGAAATTTCGATCAAAGGATAATGCGGTTGAGCTGTGTATATGCGACTGGATTGAGGAGGTGCCTACCTTAAGTTAAGTAGTTTTTATCGCGGCATCTTTAGATCGCGATCTAGTTCTTTTGGTGTTACGGCGTCGGCGGCGATGATGAAGCGAACGATGGGCCTGCGTGTTTCTAGTCGAACGATAAGATGAAGGAGATCTAGAAGAGAATATTCGTCAAATCATAAGAGAAAGTAGGAGAGAGGGCACCTCAAGGTGCTGTATCTTGAGGAGATGATCGGGAGGAGGACTTGCTCCAGCTTTCGTGAGCCGGGAGATCATCTCTACTTTTCGTCAACAACTAGTATTAGATAGCTTCACGCGCGTTTGCAAGAGTGGCCTTTCCAGTTAGATGTCTGAAACAGTCTGATAGCTAATTATCCCTTCAACTTACTTGAATAACTCAAACGAAATTAGGTTTCTTGTTATCAAAAGGCGACGGTTAGGTCAAGTCGGATAGGTAATGGATCAGGAGAGCCGGGAATTAGTGATGGTTCAGCTTTCCGAACCGGAGATAACCTCAGACTCACTGGTGAGCCTCCTGAGGTCTCTTCGGCGAGACCCTTTATGGGGGCTCTCCCTTGCTGTCGGAGCCCGCCGATGGCAGACAGAAGCTCTCTGGTGTCTTTGCTGTTTCTACCAGAGAGCGACGCATTTATTGCAATGCTTCATCCCGCCCAGCCGTGCCGAAGAGCTGCATCTCCGAGTCTCGGCAGCAGACTTAGCCAATGAGATGGGCGCTGTGTCGCGGGTGTCGACGCCTCTATCTCCTGGGATTCCCTCCTTGACTCGATTGGGGTGCTTTCTTATCTCTACGGAGACTTGGTGCGCGCTTCTCTGGGGTGCCTGGGTGGCCTGGTCAGCTCTTATCTTTACGCCAGTCCGGATCTAAACAGTTGGTCTGCTTCTTTGGGGCTCTTGGGGGCGGCTCTGCATTGGCATCTGTTAGAAGGTGTGTCGCGTAAAAGAATGTCTGCCCATAACCTTTCGGTGGGCAGAGTTCAAGCCTGGGTAAGAGGCATCAGACGATGTATCTGAGGCTGAGGCAAAGCAGCATCGTGTGCTTCTTGACGTGTTGAAGAGTCAGAGTTGAAGGTGATGAGTTGACACTATCCATAAACCAGGGGGGGAGACCATTATTCGCGCACGAACCATCTCCAACTTTACCCACGAACGACTCTTATCAAGGTACACCCGAGTTGCCAATTTCTCAATGGCATGATGCATCTCTCTACGGCACCACACGACCGTGTTTGTTCCGCCACTGTCTGTAGTCAAGAAGGATGGGCCGTAGAAACGGCAACATGATCTGGCCGGCGGCGAGCAGCGGTCATGGCATTACGCCGGGGAAGTTCGCGGCAGGATGGAACCTACAGAGTTCATCGGCCGCCGAGAAAAATGGATAATTAATGAGACACTGACAAGACAACTATGCTGAGAGCCTGAGAGTCGGGACCCCCGCGGAGATCACACAAGACGAGCCACTGGCAGTTGATCCATCATCCCGCTCTCTGGCGCCGCATGTCGCACTTCGCAGCTCGCCGCATCTCTCTATTACTCTGTAGCTTGATCTCCCTGGGCCCATGTAGGACGTGCCCGAACGAGTACTCAGAGGATGAAGGCGGGATTCTCCTGGTGTGCCACGCGGGAGCGATGCCGGGGAGTTCCCCCACACTCAGGCCCTCCCACACCCCCAAGAAGTTGTCGACGTTGGTTCCGGATACTTTGCAGTAGCGCCATTGCTGCTGTTGGGTCGCTGTATCAGGCATGATGGAACATGTCACTTGCAAAATACCAAGTTTGCGTTCTACCTAGTTGTTTGCTCTCTCTGCCTCTCAAGACTTGACATGTCATCTACATGATTACGAGCTGTGATTTCAGTAGCAGAGAAATGTATCTCCAGACTCTCTTTCTCTCTCGCCATCCCTTGTTATTGGCAACCCACCTTCTCTCCCTCCAAACCCCCATTCATCCTAGGTATTTCAGGCCCGTGTCTGGAAACAGCCGGTGTTACTCTGGATTCCTGGACTCGACCGTCAACCTTCTGCTCGCCCGGCACCCCGGCCGGGCACGGCACCCTCTCGAGTCTCTCACGCAGCTACGCAGCTACGCACCCGTGGCACCCTACTCCAGAACCGGGCCCGCTCCTCTGGGGATACACCATTTTTTTTATTTATTTTTTACTATCGCTAGCCATTCACATCGTTCCGAGCCGCTTATCCCACTGATAGCGGCTGAAACTAATTGCTCGATACCATCAACTAAAAGGATCTCACCCATGCAAACAATGATCGAGTCAGATTGATATATAAAGAGAGATCCACAACCCTGCCTTGGGATGGTGATTCCGTGGATACTGTCGGGTCAAATTCTATTGCCTTACCTTACCTTATCTTGTCTTGTCTTGTCTTGTCTTGTCTTGTCTTGTCTGCATCATCGACGAGTCTGACTCCTCTTCTAATCGCAAAACCGACGTGGTCTGGGTCAATTACAGTCACCGCCAGCACCAAGCGCCGATTGCACGACGCAAAACGACGGCGACATCATGGATGAAGATCAGGGCCCAAGCCAAATCGTCCCTGGGACAGCTCCCAAGCGGACAATGGGAGACCGCCTTCGCAGCACCAAGAACAGATTCTTCACCAAGGAGGGCCTGATTGGCGACTACGACTATGCTTTCCTCTTTACCCCGAACTTGCCATTCATGAGGAAGAGTCGCAAAGCCGCTCCCTTCTTTGGCTTGAACGACCGGATGCCTACGCTCTTGGCCCTGTTGCTAGGGTTCCAGCATGCCCTTGCCATGTTGGCTGGCATCATCACGCCGCCTATCCTGCTGAGCGGCGCTGCAGGTGCCAATCTCACTGGGGAGATGCAACAATATCTTGTCTCAACAGCTTTGATTGTCTCCGGCTTGTTATCCATGATCCAAATCACCAGATTTCACATTCTGAAGACTCCGTAAGAAGAAGAAATGCATCCCTATTGTGAGACATTCGAACTTACATCTCCATGTAGCTATTATATCGGAACTGGCTTAATCTCCGTAGTCGGAATCTCCTTTGCCATTATCCCGGTTGCTCAGGGAGCCCTCTCTCAAATGTATGCCAACGGATTCTGTCCGATGGATGGGGAGGGAAACAAGCTCCCGTGCCCCGACGGATACGGCGGTGAGTCTTACTCTTGAACCTTCGAGCATCGCTTGTTCAACTGACAGAGTGAAGCCATCATCGGCTCCAGTGCCCTTTGCGCTCTGATCGAAATTGCGATCTCCTTCATGCCCCCTAAGGTGATGCTTCGCATCTTCCCGCCCATCGTGACTGGCCCGACAGGTAAGCCCCTGAAACGTGTAAATCCGTGAGAGCCGGCATCTAACGTGCTCAGTCATGCTCATCGGCATCCACTTGATCGAGACTGGTTTCCAGAACTGGATGGGTGGCTCCGGCCCTTGTGCCAACCCGACTTCCGACTTCTTCGCCCGGTGCCCCAATATCTCCGCGCCTCATGCCCTCCCCTGGGGCTCCGCCGAGTACTTGGGCTTGGGTTTTTCCGTCTTCGTGACCATCATTCTCTGCGAGCGATTTGGCGCGCCCATCATGAAGTCGACATCCGTTGTTATTGGTCTCCTCGTTGGTGAGTAGCAATCCTGCGTCTTTCGCCATGCCTATATGCTCTGTTGCTGACCTGCTCCTAGGATGCATCATCGCCGCTGCGACTGGTTACTTTGACCGCTCCGGAATCGACAGTGCCCCTGCTGCCTCTTTCATCTGGGTGCACACCTTTAAACTCACCCTTTACGGGCCGCTCATATTGTAAGCCTCAAACTTCGAGTCATAAGCGAGCGTGTGAAAACCGAAGCTAAACATGTCAAAAGGCCTTTGTTAGCCGTCTATATCATCTGCGCCACCGAGGCCATTGGTGACATTACTGCTACCTGTGATGTCTCTCGCCTTGAGGTTGAGGGCCGTCTTTTCGAGTCCCGTATCCAGGGAGGCGTCCTCGCTGATGGTATCAACGGCGTTCTTGCGGCCCTAATGACCATCACACCTATGACAACCGTAAGCTGATGGAGTCTGCCCAGCTCTGAACAACTTGAAACTGACTGAAGGAAGTTTGCTCAAAACAACGGAGTAATCGCTCTCACCCGCTGTGCTAACCGTAGCGCCGGCTACTGCTGGTATGCTTTCTACTTCCACTTCTCAAGAACCTCCCTGCTAACAGTTGTCTAGTTGCTTCTTCCTCATTATTATGGGCATCTTTGCCAAATTCGCTGCATCGCTCGTCGCCATCCCATCCTCTGTGCTTGGAGGTATGACCTCCTTCCTCTTCACGGCTGTTGCCGTCTCCGGGATGGCCATCATCACAAAGGGTGTGCCTTTCAACCGACGAAACCGCTTCATCCTGACCGCTGGTCTCACACTCGGCTATGGCGCCACTCTCGTCCCTACGTATTTTGACAACGTCTTTACGTATGCTGGTGACAACCGCGGCCTGAGGGGGTTCCTCGACGCCATCGTACTCATCATGGAGACGGGCTTCGCTATCACAGCCTTCGTCTGTATGTTCCTCAACTTTGTGCTCGACGAGGAGATTGAGGACACAGAGGGCCATGATGTCATCCCCACCACTGGAATCGTTACTCCAAAGGACGTCAATGGCGGGGAGAGTGCGCGGGGAGCTGATTCAGAGGATATTCAGCCCGTTGGGCATAACACCACCGGCAAGCGTGATGAGAAACTGTCTTGAAGCCGAGGGCTGTGTTGATTTCAATGGAGTGGATGGCTGTGCGATGTTGCATTAAAAGCTGAGGGTTTCGTGTGTTTGAATGTGTTTTTGATCATGTACGAAGTATGAATACCCGCCCTCACTGTCTCAAATTCACTCTGAGCCATTGTTGTGCAAGCCATGTATCTTACCGCAACGAGACTTTACTGTGCCCCTTGCTTGGAGTATCTGGTGGCATTATGTCTGACTACTAGCCCTTGACACTAAGTATGGGCGAGAAGATCGCGCTTTAAAGACTTCAGCATCATAAAGCAGATCATCAAGGTAGATAAGTGACAACCGAATTGACGCCACAGAAAGCTACGCTTCGGATACCTGACGTCTCATGCGAATGCTGCATCGTCGCCTTAACAACGCCACACTAGGTAGTTTCGGTTAACAATTGGTCTTCTTTTGCACAGGCGGAATAGCAACATCGAGGGTTGATAAGAAGGCCGACGGCAATTGGCCACGCGAATCCCACTCTGGTGCGTCTACCCCCTGCGCTGTTGATCGAGTGCCTGGCATCCCTCCATGTCGCCTCGTTATCTGTCTTTCCCCAAAGACCAGGCCATCGGGCTTACTTGGTCGACTTGCTTGCCCAAGATAATCGTTTGAGAGCATGGCTGGATAGCCAACCCCGACCAAGTAATCGTTGGCGACATGGCCTTGTGTTCTTTGGGTTGCAGGGTGCGGAGCTGGCCGGAGCGAATCCCGCAAATGCAGGTCGTATACGGAGTACATAGAGGTCGAAAGGTCACATCCGTAGACAAGTTGCTTTGCATAAAGCTGGATGCTTTCGGACTACATAGGTGTGGCCATGTCTCACTCCTCCTCGGCGTGGCTTGGTCTTCTGCAATCGTGCACCTACGAGGTTGTTGGCACACCTCGATTTTCTCGGAAGACCGTTTCTAATCACAACTTCAATCAAGGATTGCGAGGGCGACGGTATTTTGGGTCTGCGTGAGGACTCAGACAGCTTCAACGACAAGATGAAGGGCATAAATATGCAGGAAGCGAGGCGGCGATTTACGTCGATGGAGGCATGGGAGCTCCCCAAGCACCCCAGCGCCATTGCGCCAGAAGGCGTACGAACCAACCCGGACATGGACCCCGTACCGGTGCCGATGCGGACTTGGTCGCTGTGGACTATCCTGGCGTACTGGAGTACCGACCTTATGAACCTCTCAACTCTACAGACCGCCGGATCTATACTTGCTGTCGGACTCAGCTGGCGAGAGGCGATTCCCATCATGTTCGTCGGAACGACGTGTATCGCAATAGCAATGGTCCTCAATGGAGCCATAGGAAGTCGTCTACATGTCCCCTTCAGTGTCATTGCTACGGGTAGCTTTGGGTTCTACCTAAGGTATGTACTTTTGGTTGAAGTATACTTGAGTGATCATGTAGTATACTCAGCGCTTGGAATTGAAGCTGACTTCCATCTCAGATACTTTGCCATTGTCAGCAGAGCCATCCTTGCTATGTTCTGGCTGGGTGTACAGGTATTGACTCGTACGCATCACTTCAACTGACTCCAATGCTAATATCAGTCTTCAATGACAGTGCGTCAACGGGAGTGTATGTGTGACGATCATGCTGAGTGCGTGGGCTCCCTCTTACGGACGGATTCCGAATGCGCTACCCGAATCGGCGGGCATCACCTCCATGGGAATGTGCTCGTGAGTCTGTTCATGGAGGCTATAGTTGTATCTCGGAGTACTGACAAGTGACCCAGATTCTTTCTCTTCTGGATCATTCAACTGCCGTTGTTACTCATTCACCCAACTAAACTTCGACCGCTCTTCTACGTCAAGTTACTTGCTACTCCAGCCGTGGTTTTAGGGACCTTGGGATGGGCTGTCAAACAAGCCGGTGGCGGGGGTGATATCTTCAGGTTGGAACCCGAGTTCTCTCCAGGGACTTCCAAGTATGCCTGGCTTTGGCTGAGCTGCATGTCGTCGGTCTCGGGACAGTGGAGCACGATGGCAATCAATATTCCGGACTTCTTACGCTACAGCAAGTCCAGGAACGCTCAAAACGTTCAGCTCATATTTGTCCCTATCGTTTTCACCCTGTGTGGAACCATGGGTATTATTACCACTTCGGCCACGAAAGTCTTCCAGGGAGACGGTGATTACCTTTGGAACCCGCTCGATATAGTCAGTCTTTGGTTGGGAAATGGCTCAGGAGGACGCTGTGCTGCCTTCTTTGGGGCTCTGGCATGGCTTGTTGCAACGATCGGCACCAACGTTACGGCAAACAGCATCAGCGCAGCCAACGATCTGACTGTCATGTTCCCGCGCTACATCAACATCAGAAGGGGCAGTATAGTCGCTGCTGTGATAGGTGCCTGGGTTATTGTACCGTGGAAGATTCTTGCCAGCGCCGCTACGTTCTTGAACTTTATGGGGGCATACGCTGTCTTCCTCGCTCCTCTGAGTGGTATCATGGCTGCTGACTTCTGGCTCGTTAAGAAACAACGATACGATCTGCCCGGTATGTGCAGTAACGATTCCCTATTTGAATCACCTTATACTAACACCCCGTCTTCTTTTTAGACTTATACGACCCTCATGGTCGCTATAGATACATCGAAGGCTGTAACTGGAGGGCATTTGTTGCCTTCATCGTGCCAGTTGCCCCCAACTTGCCTGGGATGGCCTTGGCAATCAGTGGCTACCCTGCCGTCCAGATCTCCGAGGGTGCTCAGAATCTCTATAGCTTTGATTGGCTATTTGGATTTGTCGTCTCGATATTCCTTTATACCACATTGAGCTGGGTTGTACCTGCAAAAGAGACCTTGGTTGAGCAAACAATCTTGACCAGGGGAGACGGAATCGAAATTGAGGGAACGCGAGAGGGTAGTGACATCGAGAACCCAAAGGTGCCCGAGAAGGTGTTGACCACAGCGGAAAATGGCCGTCACACTCCTGACTCGAGAGGGCTTTAACGGAGGAACCGGGTGAATTCAAGAATGGAAGCTGGAGGTAGTGCCGACCAGGAGCGATGTACTTACTTGATTGATTTCCCTCATCTCAGCTACTATGATGGTAGTAACATCCAACATATCCACTTGCTTTACTGAGGGCAGAAATAAATTGATCAACGAAGCACATAAAGCCTAAGCTTTTAAAGCGAGTAGAAAATTTCGCAGTTAGGAAGGATGCGGGTGTCAAAGGAGCATGTGAGACATGGGGTCAATTATTTTTACTCGTTTATTAGTCGTGTACGTTGCTGTGGTATCTTGGCTAGCAGTATAGAATGAACTGCTCTCTCGTCATAGTCTCCTGTTATCATTACTCCATGCCCATAGGAAAGAAATCTTAGGGCTCCTGCTCGACAATATTGTTCAAACGCGGCTGCAGCTGTGCAAGTGCGGAGCGGTCGTGTCCGTCGGGATAGGCACGGAAAACCTCTCCTCGCATCAGCCTACGTGGTGCTCGTCTACCTGTGAATAGCTCAAACTGAGCGAAACCCTGCTCAGGCAACAGATCAAGACCGTCCATAGTAACCCAACCTCGGTGCGATACTTTCCTCGCTTGGTTCAAGATCGGTGTATCCAATGTCTTGTAGCCCAGCTCAACCAGACAACCGCCAGTCGGGCTACCCAGCCATGCCTGTGGCGCCTCGAAGTTGGGTGCGGGGACATCGCCAATACTATGCGTCGGGATGCAAGAGACAATCATTGTCGGCAGTCGGAAGTCTTCGGGCCATGGCTCATCCAGGTTTCGGATAATGTGAAATTTCGTCTCCACGTCCGAAGTTGCGCTGAGGAGTGGTAGGTCGTGCCGTTTTAACAGGCGTGCGAAGTGATTGACCATCTTTTCCGCATTCGTAATTGTCCGGTTGTAGACAACAATATTCTTGACTCCGAGCTGCAGCATGCTGTAGGTCGCCGCGCGAGCCATACCACCAGCTCCGATGATGAGACCGCAGCTCGAGGTTCGTACAGCATTGGCGGGAGAGAGGCCTCTGCGAATGCAAGCCCGGATGCCAATCCAGTCCGTGTTTTCTCCATAGAGCGCCCTTACCGGCCCGGCGCGATTGCGGCAGTTGAAGAGCTTCTCGTCTTCTGGAATAGTGCCGTCGGGATTTAGTCGACGAACAGGAACGAGTGTGTTGACTGCGCCTATCGCCTGCGCGTGTCGGCTCAGAGAGTGGGTGAGGGTGATGATTTCGACTTTGAAGGGCAAGCCAACACTGGCACCCGCGAAGTAAGGATCCTCAATGAGCTCTCGTAGCCCGTTCAGGGAAGGCGTCGAGAACGGTCGGTAGAGGTGCGGGATGCCGCAAGCCTTCAGAGCGGCATTGTGCATGGCTGGTGATAAACTGTAGGAGACGTGGGCACCGAAGACGTAAATCTTCATAGGGTCGAACAGAAACGAGTTGTAGAGTGCCTGCGTCGCTTGAGCTGCTGTCAAGCATGGCTGATTAGGGTTGTGAATCGATGGTATGGGCTTCTCTGGCACAACACTGGTCAGGACGTGGTTCATGGCCGCCGAGTGTCTGCCACGAGGTCCAGAGTTGTAAGCGATGAGTGGGATTTTGTGGCCGGTAGATGCCTCAACAAGGGCCTTGAGGTGGCTGATATCAAAATTGTCCTTAATCGAGGTCACTGGCTTGACAAGCCGAACCAGATCGCATCCTAGACGCCGTGCTCTATGATATTGTGACATCCAAAAAGGGTCTGACCAGGGTGGCGAGTCGGCCGCAGGCGTCAAATGACCAATTATCTTTGAGCGCCTCTTCATAGAGATGATGTGCAGCAGTTGGAAGTCGTTTAGGCGGAGGTCGACAGTGAGGTATTCAGGGCAGAGTCGCAGGCCGTGTAGTATGTAATCGGTGTACACTGACTCTGAAGAATCTGGAAGAACAACGTGGTACATCAATGGTATCACGGTGCTCCTCCTTATGGACCCTATGATTCTGGCAATGTCGGCGGCTCGTTCGGAGTCTAATGACTGTGCACCAGCGATTCCGTCGAGGACGATCTCAATAGCATCTGCTCCGGTCTCGAGCTCTTCAATGGCGAGTTCATTGTTCAGCAGGCTTGAAAGAGAGACCGAGATGGCGTAAGTGAACCGTCTGTCCTCGGTAGGTATGGAAGCCAACGGGAAAGCCGACTCGATGAACGGAATTGAACCCTTAGGCATGATGAGACTGAGGAACTTCAAGAAATGCCTCTCTGCCCGCTTCAAAGTCAGGTAGGGAGCAGGTGGCTTTTGACCACCAGCGTGAGCCTCAATTCTCGCGGCATCGGTTTCGATCCATGGATCGGCCGTCTCGGAGACGTTAAAGAATTCAAGATTGCTGCATGTCCGGAAAATGGTGCTGCTGGCCGCCAGCAAATTTCTTGCCTTATCTTCGTCCTCGATCTTTAGGTGCTCTTGAATAGCCTTGACGTCCCGCACGATATGGACGACGGGATGTGTACGACAAAACTCCCTCAAGAGCGTCTGGACCCCGCGTTCCATCCAACTGCACACAATCAAGGTGCTCTTGGAGTTCTGGTCGAGGAGGTCTCGAAGGACATCTGTCTGCCGGCGGTGGCATTCAGCGGGGCCATGGGCCCTCTTATACGCGAAGCTGGTCAGGCCAGTGACTTGTTGGAAGGCCTTTTCGCAGTCGACGGCCCTCCGTTCCATGGCGGTCGAGGCAATGATGGCGAGCGTTGATTTGCCTGCACCGCGAATGCCGGCAAGGACAATGGAGGCATCGGCAGGGAATGGCGGAACCTCGCTAGGAAGATGGGCCACGGGTGTTGCTGGTCTCGTGATTGGCGTCTCTGGTCGTGAACACGCAGCCATGGAATATCTGCTGCTGCTGTTGGTCCTCGGGCTCTGGGGCTGGCTAGGCGACGCAGAGTGGCCATTGCGACCGTCGACGCGGATGAACTTTGCAGGATTCTCGAGTTGGTGGTGGTGATGGTCCTCCTCATCGCTCATGGCGGTGGCCACGTAGGACCGCTTCACTCCGGCTGTCGCCATGGCTCCTCAGCCTGCCTGGCTGTAGCAGTGCAGACGCAGGTGGGTTGAAGAGGAGGAGGGAAAAGCCCAGGATGCATGCGCACGCGCTGGTGTCGAGTTGAGACTCTGAAAGAGAGAGCGCGGGAATACCTTTGTCGTTGTGCTATGTTTCGTGCAAAGCCGTTCAGCTGTGGTCCAACAAGGTCAAGCTCTCTCTGGAGAAGAGTCAAGTCAGTCAGTCAGTCCACGTTGAGTCGCGCCCCAAGTCCTCCGTAGTACGAACGCACCGCGGCAGAATTGTTAGGTCACTGTGTGGGAGCAACTTCAAAGCCGTTCCCCAGTTCCGACCTTCGGTGCTAAATTGGTGCCCCTCTCCTTGCTCGGCGCTAAGGTGGGATACTCTGATAAATGTTTAGCCTTGTGCTTGGAGTTAGCGAATTACTTGCGGTCGTGGGGGGTGTTCTCGTGTGAGTTGAGGAGAGGAGACTCGGCTGTTTGAGGTTTGCGGCGGGATAACTTGAGATGAGCGTGGAACTGAGTGGGATGTAGCCTATGAGGTCTTTGCCAATGCCCCTTGAGTCCAGGATGTGCTGGCAATTACCAGCTAGAGTCGAAGAGTTGCCATCGCCAACCCCCTGGTCTTGACTCTTAGATCTGGATACCAACTGGAGACATGGCCTCACTCAAAGTATCCCCTTAACACCCCGCATGCTGAGTCGTCCGTACTCACCATCTCGCGACCAATTAATGCCACAGAAATGCCAGCTGACCAGCCTCTCGAGCCTGACCTTTGTCCCATGAGGTCCGAGATCTAGCAACAACCTTTGAGGGCGGCACCGCGAGCGTCGGCCTGTGAGGTTACCCCAGGATTTCCCCACTCTCTGTCCAGCACAGCGCGAGGGAAATCTTGGAGAAGAAGCAAAGACGACGTCAATCTCATCATTGCTTGTTGTTTGCTGCGACCGCTGTTGAGTCTGATACCACTGCTGCTACTATCCGTACTGCTGGCTGGAGTTGCTGCTTCTGCTGCTCAACCGTGTGCTATCATACCTTGCTCGTCCCGCTCGCCGTAACGCAACCCAACATCCACTCGCAAATCACAACCCCAGTCGCTGCTCACTTCGCTTCAATCATCGCCCGCAGCGCGCGCTCTGTTGCCCTCGCAGCTCCCTCGTCGACATCACCGCTTCTCGTGCCGCGCCCTCATGCCGTCCTCCGCGGCGTGAGCCATTGGAGCTGCCCTGCCGCTTGCGGCTACGACTGAAGGATGCCATCCAAGAGAAAGGCTCAAGATGCCGAGACCAGTGCCACCTCGACCTCTGTCCCAAAGCGCCAGAGGGTATCTCGAGCATGCGACCAATGCAGAAGGCAAGCAAAATCCAGCACCATTGTTTCTCATTCTCCCTTTCTCTTATCTCCATCGTCTTCTTGCCGAGCGTTTCTTTCAAGCGACTAGATGTCCAGGGAACCACAAGTCCAGATGCTTCTCCGCTGCAAGCGTTTCGACGTAGCTAATGCTATGCCAACTACATTCCGCGCATTGCTTGCGATATCGGCCTGGTGCTGATCTCAGTAACACTGTCGCCAGCTTACTACATGTGCGAACCGAACTTGTGCTAATTATGAGGACAGTGCCCGAGAGAAGTGTGATGGCGTCCAACCTCAATGCTTCTCCTGTGTTACCTTGTCGCGGCCATGTACCTACAATGTCGCACCGAAGAAGCGCGGCGTTCAGACCGGCTTGATTCGAACCCTCGAGCTTGCCCTCGTATGGCTCTTCGACCAGGTTCCTGGAACAGAAGAAAAGCTGGCCGGTCTACTCACGCAAGAGGGTGGTGGCGGCCAATCTCTCCTTCTCGACAAAGACAGTGAGGCAGGCAATCGCCTTCACAAGAGATGGAGGAGATGCCGCGTCCACAAGGATATTGACAGGCTCCTGTCTGGTAAGGACGGCATAAGTCCACGACAGGATACTTCCGGAGACGAATCGGATGCCGAAGCTGATGGCCGCAACAAACGGAACGGGGAGACTCCATTAGACGGTCCCGACGTCTCTCCGCAACCTAACGTCGTCGACCGCAAACCAGATGCCCAGAAGGAACCAGTACCGAGGCAACGGCATGGCTCCAGGTCCCGGCGAAGATTCAAGTTACCGAGGAATTTCCCTCGATTATTAGAGGTGTACTACTCGTACACCCACAGTTGGCTTCCGATATTAAACTCCAAAGAGACTCTCGATAGCGCTGCGGCCTCCTATCCTCCAGACGGCCTCGATATCGACCCGGAAGACTCGAATAACAGTGCTACTCATGCCGAACTCTGGTGCGCTCTTGCTGTCGGGGCATTCCAGGATGCGGCATCATCACGGCCTCCAGGAGGTTCAGAACCATCTGACCGGCCTAGTATGATAACAGCAGCAGCCCGTAGCCTCATACCGGTAGAGACCGACATGGCACTGGGCCATGTGAAAGCACTTCTAGTACTGTCTTTGGTGAAGCTGGGGCAGGACAATGCCGGGGCGGCTTCTCTATTGATCGGTCTAGCCGTCAGGGGCGCCATGGCCCTGACAGATGGACGATCACGAAACGGCGGGAAAGACTCGATCTCGGGCCTGTCGGCTTCTTCGACGCAAGAAGCATACTCGATAGCTTTGGACCGGGTTTTGATGACCTGTCTTATGCTCGACACCATCGTTTCCCTAAGGCTTGGTCAGACGCCGCACATGAGGACAAACGACATGAAAGACAGGCCAACAGAGGAGAACGGGTCAGAGGAGTGGACGCCATGGGCCCCCAGAGCTGGATTCGGATTGGAGGACGTTGAAGCTGCTGTACAGCCTGCACAGTCTTTGAGCTCCTTCAATCAGCTCTACCAATTCTTCCGCACCCTGAATCAGAGTGTTGAGTCTGGGGGCGCGGGGCCCAAAATTGGCGCCGCGAACCTTGTTCAAGTGCTTGATCCCCGTTTCTCATTTTGCAATTCAGTAGTCTTTGGAGCGTCGACGATACCCATCCTCCCATCGGCTTTCCTCATCCAGGCCACCTTCCTCGGTGCGACCTTGACTTTGATGGCCGACCCTCGAGTGTCTCTGATCTGGAGTCTGATGGAAGTGTTGGAGAGTTCGATTTCCCACTTTGGTGCAGCCGGCGTCTCCCCACTCCTGGTCACATATATGAGCATCGCAAATACCAAAAGTTGCGTCAAAGCTCTTCGGGACGATGACAAGACGCGATGGAACTCACTGATGGGTAGTCTGATGTCTGTCTGGCAAGATCGGATGACGAACATGGATTCTTCTCCCATGGACGCAGAACCGAGCGAGCAAACACCAGCTCAGGCCGAGCCGGCCGTCAATCAGTTCTCACAACACTCATCATCTGCTCGCAGAAACTCACAATTTCCGCAATTTTCTATGCCCGCGGACTCCTACCATCATCCCAACAGCAACGGATTTTTACCAACAGCATCATCCGTCAGCCCATCGACGGCGAGGACCATGCCATTTACGCCAGGAAGCCAACTGGATGCATTTCCTTCAGGCTTCATGGGACATTTGTCGTCAGCTCAAGCACCCTATCTTATGGGGCAAGGCGCTCATGGCGTGGATTACGACGCCATCATGGACGAGCTTGCTTCTATCGACTGCACAGATAGTATGGAAGCCGACCCGCAGTTTATGGCCAATCTCGGCTTTGCCCCAGGGTCAGACTTGACAGATATGCTTCGGGGAGAGTATGGGGGAATGTGAGAGAAGTATAATGTATTATGACCTTTAGTAGAAAACGAACATTGATTCCAGTCTCTGGAAATACTATCTGCACCTCACTGTTGTCTCATTGTCCTCCCTGTTCTAACGGATCAATGCTACAGTGCTAGCAACCAAGTCTTGCGGTGTGACGAAGAAGTGTTCATCCAGGGCGGGCTTCGCCAAGGGCAGTGATTTGTGCATTTGGACTGTCTAGCCTCTTTCGTCCCTTGCCCTGAAGAAATGCCAGTTGGCTTATCTCTCTTATTTGTTGACCCTCCTGCACCGCCGACAAGACTAACGGGTCTGGCTTCTTCCTACATTTACTCACGAGGACTTGGGGAACTTGGCCCCGGCAGAGTGAAGAGCAGCCCATCACGGAATTACAATCATCAGGAACAGGACTGGACGCCAAGTGCCGCATCCAACTATCTAACAGAAGCACAACGTTTTACCAAAGCAATTTGGAATCGCCAGGCCGTCCGTATCCTGATTTAGCTATTGGAGCCGTGGCCAGGAGGTGATTTTGAAGCACAGCCTACGAATGTGCCCCGACATGCCTCCACTTTCATTGTTTGATGGCACGTACCAAGTCTATGGATACCAACGAGAACCATTTTTGTGGCGACGAAACTATTCACGTGGGGTTATTCAACGCGGAGACTTGAGGTTAAGATGATGCGTGTGAGGTTTAGTCTGGACTCGCGTGGCCTAGAAATACCTCAAAATCATACAGAGAGATCTGTTTGCCCCCATTGCCATCACACAATCGAGTCGTGTATTTGGGGCACTCCCCCCTGTGCTTTATCACAGGTGAGACAAGTCAACACCAAGAAATCACAGTCCTTGGCGGCAGAGAACTTTCATCCGGGCGATGATGGCAGGGTTGAGAAGTTGTCTCCGCCAGCAACTTCCAGGACAACGTGAGCGAACAGTCCGAGTGAGCACAGTTGAGTTGTCGTAGACTCGTGGTCAATGATCATGTGGCCAGGCCTTGGAGAGCGTCCCGGTGGCTTGGTTGGCGTATCTCAACCGGATATTCTCAACTCCACCTTGGCGTATCTCTCTCTCACGCCAACAACCTGATTTGAGCCCCTGCCAACTTGACAGTCACAGCATGCACCCCGTAGGCCAGGCATCTTCCCCATATCTGCGGAAGGTTACAGGCAGAGAAAGCTGGGGAACAGTTTCTTCACCCGCATTGCTGTCATTCCGTTGCGTTGGGATTGGCACAAGTTGGGACGTCGGACGACGTCCACGTGCAATGCGAGACAGTCGAATGGCAATAGAGACGCGCTGACAGGATAAACATTCAACCCACAGCCCCGGTCTAGACAGGGGTTCTCCAGCATTTGGGGGTCTATGATATTGGATCTAGTTCGGAAACAGATAGTTGGTGCGGAGAAGAACATGTCTGCCGGGCTCCACGCGTTATGGAGAACGAGTCAGTCATAGGTTGCAGATTTTGCTCCGGTTCGGAGACGGCGCGCCAGTCCAACAACCATCTAGTTGGAGGGAGAAGCGTTCACCCCAGAGTCAATATTCCGGAATCTCCATACGCATGAGCGAGTTTGTTCGTGTAGCGTACCCCAGATCCCATTCGTCCACGGTCCAGCCGCTCGATTCCCTCCCCGTGGGATGACCCAAATTCCGCTGCTCCAGACCCCCAGACTTTACCCCAGACGAACCGATACGTGCGCCACCTGTCAGTCAGTCTTTACCAAGTTGTTGGAGAGCCAGAGAGCCCTGACGCATCCATATAACAAAGGCAACCCTGGACCGTCGTAATCTGATTTTTTCTCCGTCCCTCCTTAAGACTCTTGACTCTTCAACCCCAACCTCTAAGACTTGGGGAGTTCAGACGGTCTCAACTTCGCCTCGAACACCAGCAACCGCCAAACACCTCCAACCAAACCATCACCATGGCTCTCCTCACTCTCGTAGAGGACCGCCCGACGCCCAAGGCGGTTTACAACTGGCGCGTCTACTTCTGTGCAATCATCGCGTCCTTCGCCAGTTGCACCATCGGCTATGACTCTGCCTTCATCGGAACCACTCTCGCCCTGCCCTCCTTCATGGAGGAGTTCCAGTTTGCCTCCTACAGCAAGGACGGTCTTGCTCTGCTCAAGTCCAACATCGTTTCTGTCTACCAGGCTGGTGCCTTCTTCGGAAGTTTGTTCGCCTACGTTAGCAGTTACTTCCTCGGCCGCAAGAAGAGTTTGATGCTGTTCACTACAGTCTTCCTCCTCGGTGCCGGCATGATGCTTGGCGCCAACCGCCAGCGTGGCCTCGGTCTCATCCTCGCTGGCAGAGTTCTGGCGGGTATCGGTGTGGGAGGCTGCTCCAACATGACTCCCATCTACATCTCGGAGCTCTCTCCTCCCGCCGTGCGTGGGCGTCTCGTCGGTATCTACGAACTCGGATGGCAAATCGGTGGTCTCGTCGGCTTCTGGATCAACTACGGTGTCGATTCTACCATGGCTCCCAGCCACAGCCAGTGGCTCATTCCTTTCGCCGTCCAGCTGATTCCTGCTGGCCTCTTGCTCGTCGGAGCTCTCTTCATCCCCGAGTCCCCCCGTTGGCTGTTCTCCAAGTACAAGAGAGAGGAGGCGATGAAGGCTCTTTGCTGGATGCGGTATGTGCCCCACAATCCATTATTGCGCTCATGACTCTCAGGCTAATCACTCTTAATTCACAGAAACCTGTCTCCTGAAGACAAGTACATTATTGAAGAGGTTCAATACATCGATGCCGACCTCGAGCGCTACCGCCAGGAAGTTGGCGCCGGTTTCTGGAAGCCGTTCGCTTCTCTCAAGCAGAGCAAGGTCCAGTGGCGCTTCTTCCTTGGTGGTATGCTTTTCTTGTGGCAAAACGGCTCTGGGTAAGCGACCAATCTCCCATATACACCAACATGTGGCGGAGTCTCTAACGTAATCCTCAACAGCATCAATGCCATCAACTACTACAGCCCCACGGTCTTCAAGAGCATCGGCATCACCGGTACCAATACCAGCTTCCTCACCACTGGCATTTTCGGTGTCGTCAAGACGATCGTGACCTTCGTGTGGCTTCTCTGGCTCATTGACCACCTTGGTCGCCGCAACCTGCTGATGATTGGTGCTATTGGCGGCTCCTTGTGCATGTGGTACATTGGTGGTTACCTCGCTCTCAACCCGGCATCCGGAACCGGTGGCGGCCTTTCCGGCGGCGGTATCTCGGCTATGGTTTTCTTCTACCTCTGGACAGTGTTCTACACGCCCTCGTGGAACGGTACCCCTTGGGTCATCAACTCTGAGATGTTCGACCAAAACACTAGGTATGCCGGAATCTGCATCATGTACTCCGTGGCTAAATCACTAACATGTATCCTCAGGTCCCTCGGTCAAGCTAGCGCAGCTGCCAACAACTGGTTCTGGAACTTCATCATCTCTCGCTTCACCCCGCAAATGTTCAATGCGTGGGGCTATGGAGTCTACTTCTTCTTCGCCTCGCTCATGATTTGCTCCGCCATCTTCATCTTCTTCCTGATGCCTGAGACTAAGTCCATTCCTTTGGAGACCATGGATCGTCTCTTCACCATTAAGCCTGTCTGGAGGGCAAACAAGACCATTATGGCCGAATTGGCGGAGGAGCAGGGCTTCAGACAATACTCCGACGATGGATCCGGAGAGAAGTCTGATGATGCAGAAATCAACCAGGTAGAGAGGAAGGACAGCGTTTAATTAATGGGTTCACGGTTTACTAATATGATATGAAGGACGTTTGAATGGTTAGAGCAGCTAGTGGATATTCCAAGATTTCAGTCGCTAGGAATTCACAAGCTTCCATCCCGAGCCGATTCCCCAAGTGACCTATAAAGCGAATAAACGAGTCACACCCGAGACACAAGTACAAGTCCCCAGTCTACACACGAGCGGGGGTAGAGCGACCGAGCGAGGGTGTTGAGAGTTGAGAGAAACGGGAGGAATACAGGCAAACCAGGGTGATACCAATGCCAAGCCGAGGCGCTGCATGAGGTGTAATAATGGGCAAAGTAAGCAAAGTCCCGCTCTTGGCTATCATGACAAGGCGGATATTTTCGATGGTGACGGCTAGTCGTTTGGCCACCCGTCTTGTGTATCCGTATTTGCTTGGTCTCTTTGGCGCGAGAGAAGAGATACTCAAGGTCGAACAATTATAGGTAAATCAAAGCTGGAAAAGACGACTTCAAATACTTCTACAGTTCTAGATCAATAATGGGCCTCGCAATACGCGAGACATATTGTACATGTACTTCGTAAGACCTGATCATGTTTCGTAAGCACATCGTGGAGAGTGAATGATCCCATCTGAGCCCGCGAAGGCTCAATTGTGGTGCGAGAAGAGCGTCGGTACAGGGGTAATTTGCGGCTTACGAAGACAAGAACGCACGCCGGGTAAATGTTACTGAAACTCGCAATGTATATGCACGGTACAGTTACAGACCAAGGGTTACGAGTCGCTCTTGGCCCATTCTCTGGAGACAAAAACTGTCTGGCCACTGTGATGTCGGGCAGAAGTGGAAACGTATATCCTGAAGGAACTCAGGGTCACCCGTAATGTTTTCGTCCCGGTGCCTACGATATGTACAATCAATTTGCCAGGACTCGAAATCTGGCAGGATTTTGCTCAGGTGGAAAAATCATTGCGAGGAACATGGATAATTGCATGAGGCGAAGATTGCCTTTCAGATTTGTGAAATGATTTCGAAGCACTTTACGCTGATTACGGTTGCTGGGTGTCTGAAGCACACCCACCGAGTATGTTTCTCTGTTCACACGAAGAATCGACTTTTTATCCATTCAAGCTAGCTTGTGATCACTTCATTGGAGCGAGCATCAGATAGAACAGAATCAATGCTGGTGCAGCAAATGCGAATATTTGGACGCATGCATCAATACGGCTCTTTATCCTAGGTTGACTTCATTCCGCGCGCCTCAGTGCTTACTGCACCTTACACGTGGACACAAGATGACACATCTTCGAGTGGGATCATTACTAGACTTAGACAAGTTGGTGGCACTCTCCAGTGTCAAAATCGTTGCTCGTGTATGTATGGTAGCACATTCCATTCAAAGGAAAAAAAACCACTACCTGTCGTACGAATACTGCCTTGGCCCCTGGGCTGAGCAACTATGCTGATCCGCCGCTCAGGTAGGATCACAAGGACAGACGTAATGTGGAGAAGTGTAGGGATCTGAAAAGTGTGTGCCGGCCTGTGGGAAAGTGCTTACCCGGCAGGTCACCAGTCCCTATTCGGCGTTTGTTATGCTAGTTTGCATTGAAAGGTCAAAGACCATCTAGCCACCTAACCTAGGTGCCTGTCTAAACACATTGACGTGACACCAGGCACAAGTCCAGCTCAGGTTGACTCAGAAATTATGAAAGCGTTGTACGGATCAATGGTCAGGAAAATGCTGTCAGGGCTATCAAGCACCATTCACTCAGGCAAGATCGTAATAGCATCATCTCATAATCCAGATTTCATGAATCTTCATCAAAAGTCATCTTTTTCTGTTAAAACAGTCGCTGAGAATCTAGCTATGCAAGGCGTCTATGGTGATCATTATTTTCTACAATTTTGAGTGTTGTGACAGCTTTGCCGCAATCACGTCCTTTACTTTTTGGACGGTGAGTTCATCAACCTCCTTGCCAGTCCAGTATCGGTCCTATCGAGATGTTAGAAATGTGTGTGAGACACAGAGTTCAAGTTTTGTGCAGACTGACTTGTTCGAGACCTTGGTAGATCATGGCCTCAGTGCCCAGAATGACCTGCCAGCCAGCATCCTCTGCGAGGGCACCGATTTCCGTGTAAGGCGTGGGGTTGTAGCACATCTCGAGGATAGCACCCTTGCGATCCTTGTTCAGGAACTCGACAATGATCTCACGCGCCACAATCTCCTCTGCTGTCTTGGGAGTGAAGTTGGGCACGCACGCCACAATAGCGCCGGGGGCTTCGAGGTCTCTCGCCTCCTCGACGGTGGAGACGTGATACAGATTGTCTCCATATCCCCGCGCGGAGCATTCTTCGATGACGGCGTCGACTTCGCTCTTGTCACGGTTGACGAGATAGATATCAGTGGCCTTCATCCACTTGCGCAGGGCGTAGACGGCACTTCTGGCCGCACCGCCGCCTCCGATAACAAGAGCCGGCTTGTTGTGGTAGACGGCATCCGGGTCGGTGACGTTCTGGACAAAAGACTCACGAACGCCGATAACGTCCGTGTTGGTGCCGCAGTATATCCGCTTGCCATCGCGTTCTCTGATAAAAAGTGTGTTGCAGGCGCCGACATCGCGGCACTCATCCGTCAGCTCGTCGAGGTGAGGGATGATGGCAACCTTATTGGGCATGGTGACTGAGCTGCCGTAGAATTTGGGGTGCTTGATGAGTTCCAGAAACAGCGGCAAGTCTGCCGAGTCCAGTCTCATTTGCTCCCATTTCAAGCCAATACCCTCGTAGATGGTGGTGTGTAGGAGTGGTGACAGGGAATGTGTGATTTTCTGGCCAAACAGGTAGCCGTGGCGGTCAAGCTGCTCAATCTTAACCGCAATAGTGTCTTCCACCTGGTCAATGGGAGTAGCACTGGCCATTGTTGCTTGATGTGAGTTGGCTGGGTTTAAGAAAGTCAGTGATATCGGGATGAGATCAAGGGTCGTATGTCTCTCTTTCTCTCTTAGTCGGTAGTTTCGAATGATATCTGCAAGGCTCTTCTGTGCAACTGACTGAAGAGTAGTAGGAATGGCGTTATGGCAACATGCAACAAATGGAGAAAACCAGGGCTCTTTTTAGTCTAAAATCGGGTGGGAATTGTCAACCGCAGAAAATGGGGGGGAAATGGAGTCAGATGGAAGCCACTTTTTGTGCCTCGCTCTTATTGCCTTCTTCTTGTCTCCAAATGGAGTGTCATCGGTCCAATGACAGCTCTATCGAATTAATCATTCTTGCGGAATACGGGGAAAAGTCCGGGGCACTGGGACGGGCTTCTCGAGATCGCGTGGAATCCGCATCAGGGCTTTTCCCATCGGCATCTCGCCGCGATTTCAGAGAGGGACTTCCGGCAAAGAACTCTCCAGCCAACAGCCAGTGAGAAGTGCCGGACAGTCTAGGCCTCGGAATGGTGGGCATACGACACAAAGGCCGCCCGCCCCCCCCCCCCCTGTTCGCTTCGCGCTCCCACTCATCCGAGTGTCAGCCTGGAGAACGTTTATCCTTAGGGTTGGAGAAGTGTTCTTCCTGACAACCGGCAGCGCCTGACAGGTACGACGTTACCAGTCGTCAGTCTAGCTTCCTATCAACCACCACACTTGGTGATGGGCGTCGTACATGCCGCTGCCACAGGCTCGGGGTGTGAAGACGTGCGGCAGCGCGTCATTCAGACTGGCCCGGCTACCCTCGGGCGCCCCAGAAATCCCCAGATCGGTATGCTTGCAAACATCTGACGCCGATAAGATGGGGTAGCTGGCGGGTGAATGACTTTCCTCCTCCCTCCATCGCCCCTCGGGCGTCCGGTGTGACCCGGATACAGCATGGCAGCAGACGAGATCATTGGGTAAAGCTGCCTACCGTTCTTTGCGAAAGAGTTGCCGTATGGGTCTCCCATTGCCATGCTGCTTAGATACGGGAATCGAGAGCTGCAAATAATCTTCCCGATCCCCTGCTGCCGAGGGCAAATGTATACCAGTAGACGTCCACCTCTTTAGGCCCAGGTACTCCCTCCATTCTTCACCTAAGTCCATCTTGCTACTCCTCTATACCAGAAAGACACATAACACCTTATTATTGAATTGTCTTTGTGTTGTCTTCGCACTCCATCCGCACTAGATACCCTTGCTATTGCATCGTCAATAACCTCACGTCTCACACACAATCACAATGCCTTCCCGGTTAGGAATCAGCACAATGTCGCTCGGCCGATGCTGGGCTGGCCACAGCTTTGAGCACAAGATGGACATGGCCGCCAAGTATGGGTACCAGGGCATTGAGCTCTGGCACGAGGATCTCATGGACGTTGCCGAGCAGTTGCCCGGCGGTGCTGCCTTGATCGACAACCAGCTCGCCGCTGCTGGCATTGTCAAGAGAATGTGCGACGCCCGCAACATCGAGATAATCTGCCTTCAGCCTTTCCAACATTTCGAGGGGCTCATCGACCGGGAGCAGCACGCCCGCCGCATCGAGGAGTTGCGTGTTTGGATCCAGCTTGCCCACGTTCTCGGCACAGACTTGATCCAGATTCCCAGCAACGTCTTGCCCGCAGAACAAGTCTCTGAGGATCTTGAACTCCACATTGCCGACCTTGCTGAGGTGGCAGACATTGGTGCTGCGTCCAACCCCCCTATCCAGTTCTCATATGAGTCTCTCTCCTGGGGAACCCGGGTGGATGTTTGGGAGACCTGTTGGGAGGTGATCCAACGGGTCGACAGGCCCAACTTTGGCATGTGCCTCGATACGTTCAATATTGCTGGCCGCATCTTTGCGGACCCCACATCGGCTTCCGGAAAGGTTGTCGATGCTGAGCAAGCTGTCAAGGACTCTATTCAGCGGCTGCTGACGACTGTCGATGTCTCCAAGATTATCTACGTGCAGGTCGTGGACGCTGAGCGTCTTGCTGAGCCCATCTGCGAAACGCATCCCTACTACAACGCCGAACAGCCGCACCGCATGTCTTGGTCAAGAAACTGTCGTCTATTCTATGGCGAGTATTCAAGAGGCGCGTATCTTCCCGTCCGGGAACTTTGCGCCGCCATCTTCCAGGGCCTCGGTTTCGAGGGCTGGGTCAGCTTTGAGCTGTTCAACAGGAGGATGTCAGAGGAGGACCACGGTGTGCCCGAGGAGTTGGCAAAGAGAGGAGCTGTCGCCTGGTCTAAGCTCGTGAGGGATATGAAGCTGAGAGTAGAAGAGCCATCAGCACAGGTTACGGCGTCACTATGAGGGGAATAAGGCGGCATGAAGAATGAACATTTTGCATAGCGATTGTATAGTATTTACACTACTGTTTCTTTTTTCTTTTTGATGAAAACAATAATCGTATTGAAGTCTTCAGATCAATCTTGACTCCCGCTTTTTGGACTCCGTGTGCGTGACCTCATGAGGTCTTTCCACCTCAAAACCGGTCGAGATCTCATTCTCACACAGATATGATGTGTAAACCTACTCATCGAGCTTTGATCATAGAGTTTTTTTTTTCTTTCTTTCTTTCTCAATTCTTGAACAACGAAAGAGTTGTCGCGTAGTATTGATCCAGGGTATCAGACTAATCGCTCCTATCATGCGTTAATCTTAGGTTTGGAGTGAGCCTGGTCAATTGGGGGGAGGGTTTCCCTTGGCAAAATTGAAGCCAGTTAACTTGGATGAGTTTCCACGCTTAGATCTGAGGTACACTGAGTGAGTCTCTGAGTTCACAATTCGTTACCTTCTCAGGATGCTCTTACATTAGAGCTTCACCGATGTTTACGCGACTGCAAGGGAACCGCCGCGTCATTTCACATAAGAACCTGGTCATCCCTCTCTTGTGTTTCATTTCGTCTTCAGTCATCCTGGAATCTTCGAGGCAACAATGGTGCAGACGGGAGATGGCGAGTGAGTCCAGAGCCCCTCCTTTCTCGAAAGTCCACCACGCACCAGCCTTAGTAATAGACCTTTTGGTAGTGTTCCTTCGTCGCTGAGGATACCCATCTCCAGGTACCTTATCCGTCCGGATAGCGGCCTAGGGGGCCATTTTTGGGCTCTACAGGCGGGGTCCTGTGCGGGGATGCCCCGCTAATAGAGCACCGGACGTCATCCGCAGTGCTTCCGCAGTGGCTCATTCTTCGGTTGGCGGCGGCCCAGCCGTCGAGTCACCACCGATTTACAGCTTAGCAGGTGCTCTGATAACGCCAGCTACCTTACCTTACCTTACCTCAAGGTCCCATAGGTGATGAACCCGGTGCCGACTGTGGACAGCTTGTCTCGTTGCCTCGTGCTATTTCTCGCAGTTTCACACAACTCTTTCCTTTCTGAGTCTTCCGTTCTTTGGCGTGCTTCCTCCATAAGCAAGCTTTCCCGTACAGCTTGTTCAACCGATCCTTCCAGTCATAGATCGTACGAGTCCTAGAATCCGTCAAAATGGCCGACATCAGCGACGCCGAGCTCCGCGAAATCTACGACTTTGCCGTCCAATTGGGCAAAGAGGCAGGAGAGATGCTTATGACGGCAGCCAAGTCAAGATGGGGATCCGGAGGAGAGACGCAGGCATTCACGGAAAAGGATAACTCGGTCGATTTGGTGACCAAGACAGACACTGGTCCGTTGACTCTGCATTTGCCCATGTCCCAATGCTCGTTGAGGCAACTTGTCTCTTGCTGACAGCACGGTTGCCCACTGCTAGAAGTCGAAGCTTTCATCCACACATCCGTCGCAAAGAAGTATCCCAGCCACAAGTGAGTTGACTCACCCCTTAGCTTCGCTTTGCAACGTCTCGAACAGTCTGGCATTGACAAACTTGCAGCTTCCTCGGCGAAGAGACATATTCGGCTGGCGCATCGCGTGATTACCTAGTCGACGAACGGCCGACTTGGATCGTTGACCCCCTCGATGGCACCGTTAACTTCACCCACCTTTTCCCAATGTTCTGCGTCTCGATCGGTTTCGCTATCAAGGGGAAGCCCGTCATTGGCGTCATCAATGCCCCCTTTTTGAACCAAACTTTCTCGTCGCTCAAGGGACATGGTGCATGGATGAACGAGACACAGAGGCTGCCGCTCGTTCTGAACCCACTGCCCGCCAATGCGCCCAGCGGCTGCGTCTTCTCCTGCGAGTGGGGCAAGGACCGTCGAGACATGCCGGACGGGAACATGCACCGCAAGGTCGAGAGTTTCATGAACATGGCTGCTGAGCGCAAGGGACGAGGCGGCAAGGGTGGCATGGTACATGGCATGAGGAGTTTGGGAAGGTGAGTCCGATCATGTCTGCTGCGTAGCATTGTTTAGGTGGGCTATTTTGCTGACGATACAGTGCTACTCTGGATTTGGCATATACAGCAATGGGGTCGTTCGACATTTGGTGGGAGGGCGGATGCTGGGAATGGTGAGCTATCGCGACTATCACGGACTCAGTAAGATACCAAGACTGACGTCGCTGCTTTAGGGACGTTGCTGCAGGCTTCGCGATCCTCGAGGAGGCCGGTGGTCTCGTGACTATAGCAAACCCTCCCGAAGACACGAGCGTAGTCCGGGAAGCCAAGCTGGGCGGAAGGCTGTACCTCGCCATCCGGTTCGTCGAGCCCTCGGACGAGATACTAGACATTGCTGACACTACATAGACCTGCAGGATCGACCGAGACCGAGACGGCACGACAGGCACAGGAGAGAGTGGTGCGGGAGACGTGGAAGCGAGTGAGAACATTGGACTATTCGAGACCCGGCGCGTAGATCATATAAATCGCAGAAGCAGAAGAAAGACAAATGGAAGGAATCCAATCCAATCTGATCTAGAGATCTGTCTTCGCCTCCTCCCCAGCCCATGCTCTGCGGATGATTTCACGAATCGTAGCCTTCTCCGAAGGACGGGGGTTCCAATATGGCTTATCGCATGCCACGTCAGCAACGCGATCGATGTCTTTCTCCTGCATACCAATATCCTGGAGGCCCATGGGTATATTCAAGATTCGAAGTAACTGATTTAGACCGGCTACTATGCCCGCAGGGGAATCTTCAGTACTCTGCGCAAGAGCGGTAGAGAGCCTGGTTCTAGTGGCCTTGGGAAAGGTCTGCGCGTTGAACGCCATACTATGGGGCAGAAAGATCGAATGTGTCTCGGCATGAGGGAGGTTCAGAGTGCCGCCGGCCGCGTGAGCCAGCTTATGCTGCAGGGCGATGCCGGTTGCTGCTGCCAGCAAGCCGGCCAGGAATGCGCCGTACAGAGCCGAGGTGCGTGCCTCGAACGAGGAAGGGTCTGACGCGATTACTGGTAGGGCACTCGACAGTGCCTTGATGGACTCTAAGGCAAAATGGTCCGTCAGCGGGCTAGCCTGGCGGGAGTACAATGCTTCAACTGGATCATATGTTAGCTCCAGCTTGAGGTTGACACTTGGGATGGGTGGACTACATGAGTGTGCCATGGCGTTGAGACCACTCGGACCGCTGACCTTGACCGGCAGATCCATGGTCAGGTTAACGTCGTAGATGACCACCTTGGGCAAGATCTTGGGATCCGTGGTTGACGTCTTCTTGCCATTTTTTGTCTCTCCAATGATGGGGGTCATCTCGGAGCCTGAGTACGTTGTCGGAATAGCTACTTGAGGCATGCCGGTGCGAAGAGCGATTGCCTTTCCTAGACCAACGGCACTGCCGCCTCCAACTGATACGAGAACATCGCGGCCCTGTGCCCGGTCAACCGCGGGACCGATGACATCGCTCGGGTTATGAACAATGGCAGTATCGAGAATATCAACGTCTGAGAAACCCGTTTCTCTCAATTTATCCCGAATCGTTGTGGCCAGAGAAGTCCGAGACGGGGAGCAGATGATGAGAGGTTTTGAAAGCTTGCGGGACTGGAGCTCGCCGGGCAGCTCATTGACGGTACCCGGTCCGAACAAGACCTTGGGGGTGGTGATACCAAAGATGAAGGAATTAATGGCGTCCATGGCATATGGTAGCTATTTAGTTCCTGTGCTTAGAGAAATGATTCCTAGTGAAGGTCGTGATGGAAGATATAAATGCGTTTATGTAGGAAGCCTGCCGTTTATTCTGTCAGTTGTTTGTCATCGGCGGGGAGCGGGGTCCGATCGCTGCGGAGGTTACTCAAGTCCCGGGCCCGGCGCTGAAGATCGGCAATCGACAGATGGGCCGGAAGGAGGACGGAAAACTATTTCGTCAAACGTCTCCAAGCCCTCCGGTTATTGCGGTTAAGCCGCCACTGCCGCCAGGACATTCTCGGTCATTTTCATTTCCCCCGACAGGCATAGATCTCCTAGGATACCCAAACGCCGAGAATAGTAGTCACGGCTTCATCAAGATGTAACAGAGTCAAATTGGTTTCATTAGCGGCTCATCCTTCACTACAGATGGCACTGGAGGGTATCATTAAAGAGATGAAGTCTCAAACTAGTCCAAACCGTCAAAGCCTAGAATGCCGTGCGCGCCCATGGGACCAAGCTTGTCGGCTCCCATGTTCTGGCGCTTGCTTCGCGGCTTTGCGTCGTCGTCACTATCGCTATCATCGTCGCTGTCACTGTCTGCTCGACGCTTGCCAGAGGTCTCGTCATCGCTGCCGCTGTGGCTATCCTCGTCACTGCCTTCGGCCTCGCCCTGAAGTTCCGACAGCTCCTCCCACACCTTCACCGTCTTGCCACCGGCCGTTATCAGGCGTTTCTGAGAGTCGAAGGCAACGGAAATAACACCTTCAACATCATCGTGTCGGAGATTCAAGGACTTGTCGACTTCCCTGGTGACCAAGTCAACCACCCGGAGGCTTCCGTCACCGAGGCCAACGACGAGCTTCTTCCCCAGCCCAAGTTCTTCAGGGACCAATGCCATAGCGTCCAGACTCTCGCCGCCGCTCTTTCCGCCGTCGACAATGATGCGCTCTTGTTGGTCATCCCATGCACCCTTGTCCCAGACCGTGACCACTCCAGAGCCGGAGCCGACGGCGACAATACCGTTGTTTCTGTTGTTCCTGGGGCCGAGACCGGGGACGTAGGCAGCAGATAGTAGCTCGTCTTCTTGGTCGTCGGAGCGGACAAGAACGCCTCTGCGCACGTCTGTCACAGCGAGCGTCGTGCCGCCAATGGAAACCCATTGCTTGGAGAAACCAGAGGTGCTCTCGGCGGACGGAGGCAGCGGGACGATGGCAGAGACGTAGTCGGAATGAGGGAAGTGTGTCTGGGCAGGCTTGGCCGAGGGGACGCCGTCTCGCAGGTCAAAGATGTGCATGGCTCCAGAGTCGCAGCCGAGAAGGAGGCTTTGGGGGCTCAGAACGTGCATGAGAGTCGGAGCGTCGATCTGCTTGTTTGAGGAGGGAATGATAACCTTGGAGATGACCTTGCCAGTCGTCGGGGAGAAATGCTTGATCAAGCCATCGGTACCGGCGGAGTAGAGAGCTAGCGATTCCAAAAACACAAGTCAGCCACGGCTTCGGGGAGGAGATTCCCTTAATGTGTGCAGCGCATTTGGGGCATGGCTACTTACCAGAACCATCGTGGCTGTAGGCCAGGGCTCTGCAGCTTCCCTTGTGACGCCTTGTGCGCCAAACGCTGTCGATAGCCCCCCGCCCTGTTGATGTTATACTCGTGTCCGGGTCATCGGAAGCTTCGGATTCATTGTCGCCCGAGGAAGGAAGGCGGAAGGTTTCGACATGGCCGGTAGACAAGCCAACGGTCAGTAGCGGCTCGGTAGGGTGGAGGACCTGGGTGAAGACCTCAGCGGAGAGGGGGAGAGTGCAGAGGTTCTCAAACATGATCGCTGCATCAATTGAGCAGGAAACACTCTAGAGAAGAAATCAGCTTAGACGGTGTGAGAAGGAGTTCGAGGGGAATTGAGTCGAGGTCAATTGCAGGTCGAAACAGGAACAAAGCTGATTGACTTAGACACGCGCAGGCGGGATGAAATTTTCAAGGTGAAGAGCTCACCGAGAGTTGGAGGACCCCACCAGAGCTCTTACCGAAGTACGAGCCTTAGACTAGGTTACTTCTAGACAAGGTGAAGAACGGACCGGGGGAGGCAGGACCTGGTCGACATGCACCCAATGCGCAATGTTTGGAAGCCACAAAATGCAGAACAGAACACCCGAGCGCTCGGTTTCGTATCTTTTTGTTGCTGGTTCCACAGAGAACAAGGGACTGGACCGTTGAGATACCTTCGTTACCTTTCGTGGCATGAGGTATCCGTACCCGCAAGTAATTGCACTATCTCACAGACTTACGAATAGGTTCGTCCCTCTGCATCAAAGTTACATTCAAGCTCCATGGTAAGGTTCCCTTTGCTGCAACACACCAGCCGGGAACCTATTCGGCCATTGCCCTGTGTACCTTACCTTACCTAAGGTGTGTACGGATACTTCATTAGCCGGCGACTCGAAGATTGTCCCACCGGCAGAGTTGCCAATTGATTCGGAGCAGACACCTTGGGGCTCGGGCGCGAAGCACCATGAGTATTGTTGGCAGGTATTGTTTTCCAATTGCAGCACATCTTTCTAGTTTTGAGAATCCCGTCCCTTACTCGACGTTTCCAGCCTTGGGATGAACAACACCGACTCACTTATCATCTTTGGTATGGAAGGTTCCTTATCTTTTTGTCTTCGAGGTTCCTTCCTCTACTGACCTTACCTTAGGTACCTTGAGGTACCTTTCCTAGGTTGAGGTGTTTGCGAATATTCGTATCTGCTCACCCTGGAAACAACGTCCCGTTGCCTTAAGGTTAATTGCTGCGGGGTCCTTCCCCCTAGCTAGCAGGTGCGTCAATGCCGCCAAACACCGCGGGAGCACCGTCTTGGGGTACCTCCCCTCTACTGCTAGGTAAGGTAGGGACCTAAGGTACCTTACCTTGGGATGCATCCGCCACAGCGGGGTTCCTGCACCGAGAAGATCCCGGCGAAAAGAGGAAGTTGAGGAAACATCGGACACTCGGCAGCTGATTCACCTGTCGTTTCTCCTTCCCGATCGCTTCTGTTTCGCCCGTCTTTACTTTTGGTCTGTTCCTTTGTGTTTAAGTCTGCTGACCGTCATTTGACTGTCTATTCCTGACTTTGACGCCCTCTCGCACTTTTCGCTCCTATCCTTCATCTCCAAGTTCATGCCCGCGCTCTGCGAGAGCTTCCACACCTCGAAGCCATCCTCTCTTACCACATTGACACCGACATGAGGCTACTGTTCACCGCTCTGGGCGGCCTGCTCATACCTCTGCAGTATGCCGCAATGGCCTTCGCCCAAGAGACTGCCGGAAAGGCTGCGTCCGATCTCAAATGCGTCATGTATCTCACCGGGTGAGTGACCACTAAAGCTCATCACAAGGCGGCTTCGGTATGTAGCCATGGTAAACGGACATGAACCGCTAACGCAAGCCACAGCCAACACCCCAATGTCCCCTCCAGAGAGCTTGTGTCTCACATCACCCACGTGGAGCTGGCTTTCATGAACTCGGACACCTTCAACAAGGACGTGGCCGAATGGCCCCTCTTCACCACCGTTGATAAGGTCCGCACACAGTTTATGCCTGGCACAAAAGTAATGGTCGCCATTGGCGGCTGGAGCGACACCAAGGGCTTCGACACCGCCGCCCGTACCCCGGAGTCGCGGAGGAAGTGGGCCCAGAATGTTGCCGACATGGTCAAGGCAACAGGTGCTGACGGCATTGATATGGATTGGGAATACCCTGGGTGAGCTTCAATCACCCGACTACCTGGGGCTGCGGCCACTTCAAGGAACCACAGCAGAGACAATCACTAACCCCCAGACCAGCGGCAATGGCGAGGACTACAAGGTCAAGAACAGCACCAACGAGGACAAGAAGTGGGAGATTGAGGCATACCCCTTACTGCTTGAGGAGGTCCGCAGACAGCTCCCCAAGGGCAAACTCATCTCGGCTGCAACTCCGGGTCTCGAGCGCGACATGATTGCTTTCACCAAGGAAACGGTCCCTCGTATCGTCCGCAGCCTCGACTTTGTCAATGTCATGACCTACGATATGATGAACCGTCGCGATAATGTGACCAAACATCACACTGGCATGGAACTGTCCAGAATTGCCGTCGACAACTACATGGCCCGAGGAGTCCCGGCTCACAAGATCAATCTCGGCTTTGCCTTTTATACCAAGTGGTTCAAGACGACGGATTGTCCAGAGGGCAAAGAGGTTGGATGCCCGACACCCCTCATGGAGGATCCCGTCACGGGTGGAGATCTGGGCCAGACGGGAGGCTTCAGCTGGAACGACGGGGTCCAAGAGGACGTGAAAGCTTCGTTCGAGAGAGCGCAAAAAGAGGGCAAGTATGACAAGGAGGGCGGAGGCTACTACTACCTTGACAGGGCCGAGAAGCGGTTCTGGACATACGATACTCCCGACGCAATCCTTCGCAAATTCCCCGCCCTTGTCGACGACAAGAGACTCGGTGGCGTATTCGCTTGGGGCCTGGGCGAGGACGGCCCCGAGTACAACAATCTCAAGGCGGTCAACAAAGGCCTGGCGGAGCGCAGGGGAAGCTTCCCTTGGGGCCCTGGCCCTCACGAGGCTGATGAGCTGTAGGTAACCCCTAGACAGAGCCTGCAAAGCTTTGCCGTTACTTTCCGTTCCATTATGTGAACAATCGTACTCACTGCCGGGTTGCGCGTAGTGCCAATCGTGCACCGTAGCACGTGAACTGAGGACGCTGACTGATGGATCTCAGTCTGCAACTCTGGGCTTGAATGTGGTTATTGGAGTGTGGTTGACGATAAGAATGTTGAGAATTACGAAGTCGAGTAGTGGCTTTCTCTTGCCCACAGTGGCAAGACCCAATGAAAGCGCAGTTGGTTCAAGAATCTGCGACTGGCAAGCTTGGCTCTCTTGTGACGTGCCCTGCGTGCGGTTCTGTATGCATAAAATGTGTCATGGCTCGGACAATTACCTCGTGTTAGGATGACAGGCTGGCGATGTGGTTGCCGAGGCGGATGATGGCGTCTCAAGCTACCCAGATTCCGTAGGTTTTGGGGTGGTTTGGGTAGATAGGTACAACAGTAAGTACCTAGGTATGTAGGCGTGGTAGGTGGGTGATCTGAACACGGACTCGCATTTCTGGAGCTGATGTTCAACATACTTTTCTATTGTCTCTAATCAGACTCTAGTTTCATCTACCAGCATTCGCACAGAGGGCTGGCAAGTTGGGTGTGGTGGGCAATACCCAGGGTTGCTCTACGATCTAACGAGATGCATGTCTCATCCACATGTCTTGGAAAAGACCGCCTCAACGTAATGGTGTTCAGCTGTGCCATGGGGAATGATTGGCGCCGTGAATTCGGAGAAGAGGCACCGTCGTTGATGTTCAGCCATAGAAAATGTTATGGTCTGTGGAGTAAAGTAGCAGGAACAAGCATGGGATTCGAGCGCAAATAGAGAAGAGGCAGCGGGTCGAAAGACACGACAGAGTGAGTCTAAGGGTTCACAGGGTTCACGGGATTCAATAGGGCCCACCATAAAAGGCTTGGAAGACGAGGGTTGAAGCTGGCATTGACTCATTGTTGCAAAAGGGACTCGAGCGAGAGGCGAGAGAGGGCGAGGGTAAAAGGACGCGTAGGTATCCGTAACGGGTTGGCTGAGGCGAGGGGCTGAATAAAGATTGAAGTAGAAGGCGAGGCGAGGCAAACGAGAGCGGAGGGCGATGAAGGGCACCTGGCGGTCTGAGAGGCTGTTGGCACTGCAGTGCGGCACTGGCACTGGGTGGGAGGTTGGCAGTTGGATACCTACTGTGTAGGTACTCGGTAGCTAAAAAAGACGGTGGACTCACGTCATCAGGGATCCAAGTTTTCCCAACCTCAACTCTGGGCCCTCGGGAACTTAATGCTTGGACGCGCAATGTACTTATACAGTAGTCCGTACGGCGGGTGACGGATATCGTGGTGCCGAGACCGGGTGGGGGGACCCGCTCTTTGCCGGCGTTGGCTTCATATGCGCCTGCCTCGATTAAGGCTGGCGACAGTTGACCTCTAGTTTTGAGCCGTCGTCGAGTTTCGAGCTTGTGTGCTTGTGCAGCTTACCTTGGGGAGATGGATGCGCTGGTGTTGCCTTTTGGCTTGGCTAGCACCGGTAGTTGGTTGGAACGTTGGAGTGCGGAAAGGGCGTGTGTGTGAATTAACCTAAGTGGGTGGCTTGACTGAGGGATGCACGGGTCCGTCATCCATGCCTCTGCATCACGGGCCAGAGATTGCAGAATGCAGGGTCGCGGAGAGGTGCGGTGAACCGTGAGGTTTTCAGTGGCTGACCTGGGCTTGGGCAGCGCCAGGATGTTTTTGATTGGGACTTGATTGATGGTTTCACTGTTTGTCTCTCCGGACAAGCCAAGCTGGGAATGCGTTACGCTGACAAATCTGCCTGCTAAAGGTAGGTACCCAAGGTACCTTAGCTAGACATGGGAAATGGAACCAACCTTGAGGGTTGATGTGGAACTACACCTAGGTGCCTTTGGTAGAACCAGTTTCTTTCTTCCTTTTCTCTAGGTATGATTTCCTGTGTTGCCTACCTTAGGTAGGTGGCTTATTGAGAGGAAACGTCAACGGCCTGGGCATCGAAGGGTCGGCAACGACGTTCCGTCTGGAGCATAAGGTAGCAAGTATAAGTACTTACCTGGGTGCCTTACTGATGGAGGGGGGTGCTCCGAACTCTGTACGGACTGTACGGCATAAAAGTCTGGAAATGTCCTGGAGATTACAGAGAGATTTGACGTGACTGGAACATGACATGGCACGCTCGAGTCTTAGACTCTTCCATGTTCTCGTTCTCCACTAGATGTTTGTCTGGTTCCAGGCGGGTTGACAAGATCTTCACTGGGATTGCAGATGATGGAGGGTGTGAGAGGTGTCCTAAGTAAGTACAACAACCTAAGGAACATAAGGTAAGGTAAGGTAAGGTAAGGTAAGGTAGGTAAGGTATGTAGTGACCTACCTACCTATGGTGACGCTTACCTAAAATTGGAGTACGATAGCGGAGACCACCAGCTAGGCGAGTGTCATCCGCCACGATGAGTAGCCTGAAGTGGCTGAGGATTAGCGACGACTTCACTGCTAGCGCTTGTGTTCCATTGGCGAGAATGGCCTGTCAGCCCTGGTGGAGGCATCCCAAGGTCGACAATGAGGTCATGCTCGCGGCTGGAACCACGTCATTCTCGACCTTCCACATCACCACACGCCCCTCCTTCCACCTCATCACCTCACAGGCTCACACCCCTCCCATTACGCATCGTCAACTCCATCCAATGCCCTCACAGGAGGTACTGTACTTTACTGCCTTACACATTTCTCGCCCGATGACTACGTAGTGGTGACTTTAACCAAGCCCAGCCCAACGGGCGGTCTGTCTCCCATCTGACGCCATTCTACCTACTAGTAATTCACACTCCAGCAGGGAAAACTTGCCCAGCTTCCGTCACCTCTCGCCCACTACTTATTCAACGCCATTGCCTCTACCAGCCTACAATCGTGAATCGTCTATCTCTCCATCCACTCATCCAACCCCATCTACTCAGCCATCTCTCGCAGACCTGCGGTATCTCCAGCAGCCTACACCATCCCTGTCAAACATATTACCAGAGGCATCATCTACACGCTCAACATGGTTTCTCTCGTACCCATTGCCCACATCGTGGCTGCTGTCTTCTCTATCATTGAGCTCGGCCTCACTTCATATGGTATGCTCTCTCTTCTCTACCCGCCACATCCTTGCATCAACACATAAACTAACACCATCACAGTTGCCAGCGGTTACAATGGCTACAATGGCTGGAGCGGTTGGTGGTCTCGCTCTCCCGATATCGTCAACTTCCTCATCTTCAACTCCGTCTGGTCGCTGCTCGTCCTTGCCTATGTCGGCCTGACCCCTCTCTACATGACCCGCCTCTTCCACAAGCTCGTTTCCCTCGCGCTACTTGTCATCACCACCATCTTTTGGTTTGCCGGCGCCATCGCCCTGGCCGTCTTTGTCGGAGCCCCTCACTGCGGCGCCAACACATACTGCGGCTCCGCCCAGGCTGCTGTCGCCTTTGCTTTCTTCATCTGGGCCATCTTCATGTTCCTCACCGTTCTCGATACCCTCGAGGCCATGCGCTCTCGCGGCCATGCCACCAAGCACAACCACGCCTACCCTGGTGCTTAAACGACCAACGATGAACGCGATACAGTTTGGCTTGATTTTGAACGGCCTTTGGAATGGCGTGGAAATACCCCAAAGTATGATACGGAGTTGTGGGCTTTTTGTTTCTAGTGTGTCTAGCCACCATACCTACCTTAGCTGGTGTTCCGGGTTGTCTTTGTTATATGGGTGGGCGTACGAGGCTCCAAGTGAACATGAAACTTGATCAATATCTTATTAATACCATTCATGTCACGCGCAAATTCGAAAGACCCATGTGTACAAACAGTGAAGATGAGTTAAGATGCCTCAATGTTCAATAATTCGTCAATAAGGAAATGATTTGAGTGCGTATTGATATTGGGACTTGGCACAACCTCCTGGACTGAATAATTCAGGTATACGACGAAATTTGAAGCTTTAGACCACCGCACCAATCGACGGTAAACCTATCCAAAGTATGGAACCTGAGGCTATTGTCTCATGCGTTGAAGATGCTTGCCTTCTTGAAATGCCTTGAACTTGCATAGATAGGAAGTCGAGCTGGTCAGATCAAGGCCATCGAGAACAAAGTGGAGGGCCCAGAAGCCTTCACGGAATGCCAGGTGCCATTTAATCTGTCCCACCACCTTTCAAAGCTGTAAAATCGGTGGATGATTTTGAACGTGAAGCTGCGGGTCATCTTTGTTTTCATTCCTAGGGTCCAAGGGCAGTTCCTCATGACTTTGGCATTCTGTGTATAGCAGCGAAAATGGTAGACCAAGACTCAAATAAGAGGCTTCCATGTCGGATTCTCGAAGTGCCATGTCTACGGCAGCAGTAAGAAGGCGCGGATCCTCTTGTACTTTGCAATACCCCCAATATCCCAGCCTGCCGGACAGGTTTAAGATTTGTGCAGATGAGGAAGACATTCGTAGCTTTCGAAGCTTATCTTGGTCTCTCTGGGGGGGGGGTCGCTCGCTGCCAATGACTCGTGGGGTTGATAATGGCGTCTTGGCGGTGATCCGCTCTGGTTGCGATACCGTGGCATGGGAGACTACCAGGTAAGGTAGTTAGATTGCGACAGGCGGCGACGCGGTTTTTGGGCACCGGAGACGCCGGCCGCCGGTTACGGGCTCGGCGGCAACGGAGAGCTGTCGGGTCAGAACGGCGAGGTGAGCACCCCTTGCAGTCTGCTGGTAAGCTCCCCGCCGTGGGACTGTCCGGTCGGCCAAGAGTCTGGTTTCGTCGGTCAAGAATTCACCTCGGTGTGCCCATCTGCAGGTCGCGCACGTGCATCGGGTGCAACCAGTGAGGTTCACGATGCAATGGAGGGAACTTCGGTATTTAGGTGCCTTATGGTAGGTACCTATGCAGTACGGAGTACCTCAGGTAAGGCACCTCACCACCTCAGTAGGATAGAAGGCATGGGATGTCAACCTTCCTTATCAGCCCAGCCTTGAAGTGAGGTGGGTGGGATCGGAGTTTGGGATGACCCAATTGACGAATGAGGGGACGTCCTTTCGGCACGCAGCTCTACTCCACAGCAGCTGCGGGGCCGCCAAGGACCTTTGGTGGAGCCGTGCCGCCGTTGACCCCTCACCCTTACCCGACCTTACCTTACACTTACAGTAGGTACCTCACAACCTTCCATCACATTCACAGTACTTTATACCTACTGCGTCAGTTGCGCTGGGAAACAACCTACCTGAAGCTGTCCATCCTGCCTTGCCCGGCTTGCCTGCTCCTGCTTGTTCGGTACGGAGTAGTATTGCTTCATCGATTGTATCTACTCCATAAACAGACTACGGATCCTCTTTCAGGGACAAGATCCTTCCATTGACACGTGCTGATAACCAGCACGTTCTACGGTCGGCCGCCAATTCTCCATCCATCTTATTCCGAGCTGCGGATGCTGTGGGTGGTGCTGACCTTGTCCCTGTCCCTCTAGTGCCTACCTCCTCCATACACGGGACGGAAACATACACATACGCTGCTAAATCATTACAGGGAAAGACATCAGACGGCTATACCGAATGCAAGCATGTGGCCCGACGTATTCCCAGGGCCTGTCCAGTCTCCAGCCTTCCACGAACTGCTCAGCATCATGTTGCGAAACTAGTAATGCATTGGTTATCATAAACCACATAAGTATTCCACAACGGGAAGCCTCCTCAGAGCCACCCGTCATTAAAGCTGCTGGTCGTCTTGGCAAAACAACCACCACGCCCTCCAGGCCCCAAAGAGAGACCTACATAAGACGGGAACACCTCGACTCACCTCTATTCAACCAGCCGACCGATTTGCTCTCTTCGGCTCTCCCACCTCCCGCTCCTGCTCCCGCGGTCCTTCCTCCCTAGGCCTTCCTCCCTCGGCCTTCCTCCCGGCAAGTTCTCTCTTGATCGCCGTCTCTTCGTCGCGCGAGACATCGACCAGTCACTACCGACCGCCAGTCAAGATGCATCTCAACGCCATCTTCGTCTCGGGCCTCGTGGCTGTCGCTTCCCGCCAGGTCAATGCTGTTCCTTGTCCCAAGCCAGCCCCTGTCTACAAGCCCATCACCAGCATTCAATTGGGCCCAAGACCCTACTGGTTGGTCAACGACATGGACGAGGGCCCTCTGAAGGAAAAACTGCAGTCGTGCTCAGAACAGCCCATCAAGCCCTCCAGCTGGAGCATTGGGCATCGCGGCGGCGGTACTATGATGATCCCCGAAGAGTCAGTCGAGTCAAACCTCGCCGGTGCGCGTATGGGTGCTGGCGTTCTCGAGTGCGATGTCGCCTTCACCAAGGACCGCCAACTAGTCTGCCGTCACTCCCAGTGCGATCTCCACACGACGACCAACATCGTTACCATACCTGAGCTCAACGCCAAGTGCACCACACCCTTCACTCCCGCCAGCAACGGTACGGCCGCGACAGCCAAATGTTGCACCTCGGACATCACCGTCGCCGAGTTCAAGACTCTCTGCAGCAAGATGGATGGCTTCAATGCCTCGGCAGTCAACCCCAAGGACTTCTTGCTCGGTACCCCGAGATACCGCACCGACCTCTACTCTACCTGCGGTACCGTAATGACCCATAAGGAGCACATTGCCATGACCAACGACCTAGGTCTTCAGTTCACTCCCGAGCTCAAGGTCCCCGAGGTTAAGATGCCGTTCGAGGGAGACTACACACAGGAACAGTACGCGCAACAGCTGATTGACGAGTACAAGGAAGCTGGCATTGCCCCTGAGAGGGTCTGGCCTCAGTCGTTCTACTACCCTGATATCCTCTACTGGCTCAAGGCAGAGCCCGAGTTCGGCAAGCAGGGCGTTCTCTTGGACGAGAGCGGAGATACCCCCGAGACCTATCCGGGAGCCGTTGCCAACCTGACTCAGTTTGCTGCTGCTGGAGTCAAGATCATGGCCCCTCCCTTGTACTACCTCGTCACCGTCGAAGACGGCAAGATTGTGCCAAGTTCGTATGCGACCAGGGCGAAGGAGTTGGGCCTTAAGATCATCTCATGGTCTCTGGAGCGTTCTGGCTTCCTCGGAGACGAGACCAAGGGCGGTTACTACTACACTTCCATCGCCAACGTCACGAACAATGACGGCGATGTCTATAACCTTCTCCACGTGCTTGCTCAAGACGTTGGTGTCCTGAGCATCTTTTCGGACTGGAGTGCCACTGTCACCTATTACGCCAACTGTTTTGGCCTGTTCTAGGTGCCTGCAAGCTCCGAAATGGGGAGATATCATAGGATAAGCGAAAAGAATCAAAACCAATGCCATTTCTGACGATAATGATTGATATGGAGGAAGAACATGTATAGAAGCATCAATACCAGCTTAGAAGCAGAAAAGTCGGGTATGAAATAGACTATGACTTCCACATAAATAATCATGTTAGTTCCTTTTACACAAGAAAATCCAATGAATATTGCAATATTAGAATTGTGCGGTTCACCGGTGAACGACGAGAGCCGTCCACTGCTTCCCGCAGTGGACTGTGTACTCAGTAGAGAAAGGTAGTTGACCAATCGACTTACAAGAGTTTCCAATTCAAAGTGGGTAACACTCAACCAACAGATCTACACCGAGCTCACCGACAAGGTGAGTCAGGGCCTGACCTCGATTTTTGGTACCCCGCCATCAGCGCAACCCCGCCATCGACTGATTCCTCTTCCTTAACCCGTTTACCAGAAGAAAAAAAGTTTTTCTTCCCCTTGGTCTTTCCAAAAAGCCGGCGGCCATGACAGAACTCTCAGCGGCTCCCGTCCTCTCGACGCCCGCCGAACACACCTTTGAAGACCCGACGCCGACACCACCACCTCCGCCGACCGCCGAGCGCACCCAAGATGAGCTCGCTTCTGTCTATGAGATCGAGCGCACGGCGCGCGAGATCAAGGAGGGCGGCTGGAACCGCGTGGCCCTCCAGTTCCCCGATGCCATGCTACGCGACGCTTCGTGGGTCGCAGAGGCGCTGACGGAAGCTCTGGGCGGTAACGAAACCCATCGCGTGTACATCCTCGCCGACACATCCTACAGCGCATGTTGCGTCGATGAGATCGCGGCCGAGCACGCCGATGCCCAGATTGTCGTACACTATGGCCGTTCATGCCTCTCGCCGACGTCGAGGCTGCCCGTCATTTACGTCTTTACGCGGCACACCCTCGACATTGACCAGGCAGTCGAGGCCTTTTCCAAAGATTTCCCCGACAAGCAGCACAAGGTGGTTGTGGTGGCCGATGTCACATATCAGGACCACGTCGCCCCCCTCACAACGAATTTGCGCTCCGCAGGATACACAGCTTTGCTGCATACCGAAGTGACACATGACCCGACCGGCACGATCCCGAATCGCAAGATTATCGACTCTTCCTCACCAGACGCCCCCCCGACTGCCGACCTGTCCGAGCACTCCCTCTTCCACGTCTCGACACCGCCCCCGGCGCTTCTCCTCGCGCTCCAGACCCGCATGGCCTCTCTCCATGTTCTCTCGACGCCGAGCCTGTCGACCGACGATCCAACACGGACAACAAATGCCCTCCTCCGTCGGCGCTTCGCCCGCGTGCTGACCCTGGCGACGGCTGGTGTAGTGGGCATCCTCGTCAACACGCTCTCCGTGTCCAACTACCTCGGGAGCATCGACCTCCTGCGCCGGCGTATCGCCGAAGCTGGAAAAAAGAGCTACACGGTCGTGGTGGGCAAGTTAAACGCCGCGAAGCTGGCCAACTTTGCCGAAGTTGACGGCTGGGTCGTTGTAGGATGCTGGGAGAGCGGCCTGGTGGAGGAGGACGCCGGGTTCTTCAAGCCCGTCATTACGCCCTTTGAGATGGAGGTGGCGCTGAAGCCCGAGAGTGAGCGCGTATGGGGTCTCGAGTGGTGGGGTGGTATCGAGAAGATGGACCACAACGCGGTAAGGCAGGAGGAGGAGCTGGACGAGGACGAGTCGGCACCGCCGGAATACGACTTGCGCACTGGCAAGCTTGTGGCCAGTCGACCGATGAGAATGCCGGCACGGTCGGCCAATGGCGAATCCAAGACCGGCGACGACAATGGGGAGGATAGCAGCAGCAGCAGCAGCAAGAAGCCTGGTCAGTCGGCATTGGTGAAGCGAGAGATGGGTGAGATGGCCACCATCAACGGCGTGCTAAGCCCCGGTGCCGAGTACTTGCGATCGCAACGGACGTGGCAGGGTCTCGGAACGGACTACGACGAGGAGAGTAGCACCGTCGTCGAGGAGGGCCGAAGCGGTGTCGCGCGGGGTTATACGGTTGGCGAAGATGCTGGCAGAGCCTGAATAAGAGTGACGGCTGACAGGTTATTTTGAATCGGCGCAAGGTGTGGTACCAAAAAGACATATATATATAGGTACTGGTAAGGACCTCAAGATACCAATTTTTTCCATTATGATTTGACATGTCATTGCTACTGTGTTCTGAAGCGCGATTTGGCCTGGACGCACCGCAGAGCACCTAACGGTCAGTCGTGCGGTCGAGCCAACAAGTCGTTCTGGGTGCTGAAAGGAGGAAGGGAAAGTACAACACGGTCACCAGTTCGGAAACAGGCACATAATAATGGCCTGTGCAAAGGCAGAGCACGGCAGAAAGAAGATGTCGTGAATCAATGTCATTAGATTCGTCATCATGAACGGGTATGCCGTCCACTACATGCGCCGGGTCCCTGGAATTACATGAACCATCCCTGAGCACCGGTCCCAAGCTCTCCACATCCTATCATATCATATCGTGGTATATCATCTTGTCTTCTTGTTAATCTCGTTCTTGTACAAGTCATCAAATTTCCCTCTCTCCGAAAAGTAATAAATGCAGCGCGATTGTCGTAAATCTCGATCGAATAGGTCTTAAACGTAGACGCGACGGTGAGAGTGGGAGCTGCGACGACTGTGGGAGCGGTGGCTGTGGGAGCGGTGGCGGCGGTGACGGCCGTGGTGGTAGGACTTGCGCTCGTAGCTGGAGGACAGGCGGTCACCGTGCATCCAGGCCAGAACAGCGGTGAAGAAGAAGAGAATGGTGTTTATGATGCCAAAGACCCAGGATGCCTTGAGCATGGCACAGGGCTTATCGGTGAAGAGGTTGAAGCGGGGCCCAGAGATGGTGACGAGGCCGGGGAAGTTTGCAGACCAGCGGCCGTCGCGAGATAGATTCGTACAGTCGACGTAGTTGATGCCGCGAAGGTACCAGACGGCGGCAATGAAGGCACCAACAAAACCAAGGTCAATGACTGCGACGAAGAGCGCATTTGTGCTGCTGCGGTGGTAGCTGAAGAGGGTGAAGATGGCCCAGGCGAGGGCGAGGACGGAGACGATGAAGAGGACAAGGATGGAGTCGGGAACAATTACGTTGCGCTTTACGAAGCCATCGACGAACCAGGCAAGCATGCCCATGGTGGGGATCTGTGGCATTTTGTTAGTTTTTTTTTTGGTATATAAAGGAGAACAACGTCGGGTAGTCGAGACAATGTATCAATGGGGGAGAAAACGTACCAAGGTGACGATTTGGAGGAATCGCGTCGCCGCGAACATGACGGCGAACAACATGGCGGGCGGTCGGAAGCCTGAACGGCCGGGCAAGGAGCTATTGATTGCTGTGTGGAAACGTTGCGACAAGATGCGTCAAGATGCACCGGTGTTAGCGGTGGTGTTGTTGCCGTTGTTATTACTGCGCTTGCGACAGGCGACAGGCGACGACGGATCGAAGGAGTCTTGAGATGGATAAAGATAACGGCGGCCGATGAAGAGGAGTTACCAAGGAAGGTAGAGTAAGCAGTGAGAAAAGCAGACGAGCAAAGCCTCGCAGACTCGGTTTTTTTTTTTCTTCTGTCGCTCGTGTTTTGTTTCTAGAGCACCTTCAGATGAACGGGTGGGAGGTTGGGATGGGGTGGGAAGGGCGGTTAAATAAACAAAGGTGCGACTTGTGTGTGTGAGAGAGAGGTGTGAGCCAGAAACAGAGCCAATGCAGGTCGGGTTTGGGTTTGGGTCAGCGAGTCTTGCAAGTTGCAAGTTGGGACAAGCCCATCCGGGGTGGGCAGCAAGAGCAGGATTGACCGGGGGGGGGGGGGAGGCGAGGAAGTGTGTGTGCGAGAGATAGAGAGAGAAAAGGGAAGAGAAAAAAAAAAGCAAGGCAAGGCCAGGTTTATTTCGTCGTGGTGGTGAATTGGTGCGAAATGTTGGTGTATGGTACGGTACTCAAATGGGGAGGTTGGGCTGGATCGCGGGATACCAGTCAAGGATGCATGGACCAAGGATGATGAGAGGTGACTGGTGAAGCAGCAAAAGACAAGGTAGCATCCAAGATGCCGGGTGCCCTGGCCGTTTCCCGCCGTGTTGTCATTTCCTGCTAAATTTCAATTTTACGCTCACTCTCAGTCTCGCTCTGGCCTATCGATTTCAATCTTACCCTAGACTCGTGTGCATTGGATGAGGTAAATCCATGAGGTGGACAGGCGGGTGTGGGATGGGATAGAATAGCGATGAATGGGGATGAAGGCCTCACATAAGGTAAGTAGTGCAGGCTTCACATGGATCCGGGAACTACAGTGGTAGAAGAAGAAAGAGGGTTCCGGCTGCGCAGCTCGGTGCAACAGTTCGCGCGGGCTCTCTCTCTCGCAACTTGGGTACGGATACAGATACGCAGACGTAGGTGGGTATGGATATCGATGGCACGGCCTTGCTTGATGGCTGTCTTCAAGGGCCAGGAACGAGCAAACGGCCGTCAAACAATGACACGGACTGCAGCCAAGCATGTCGCAGAGCGGGAGCCCGAGCACCTTGATTCCCCTCTCTCTCAGGTAAGTACTCCGTACCCTACACTCGATACGAACGCGGGAGAGTATGTCTGACTTGAATTTGCTTAGGTCGCGCCCGGAAACTGGGTAAAGGGTAAAGCGCAAGTGAGTTGAGGACGACTGACTGACTGTGAGGTGAGAGATGTTTGCTGAAGCTTGAGGTGAGGTGAGCCTGGTGAGGTGATGGGAGGTGCGTCAGGGCACCGCACCAGCAATGACGTCGGCGATCGGCATCCTCAGTATCCCCTTTTGGCCGAGGTCTGCCACCTGCCCAGTTCCTTCCCTTGCACTTTCCCCCTCCACTTGCACTTGCTTGAAAAAATGGGATACCTACCTTACCTGCGGAGTACTGCGTACCTACACAGTAAGGCACCATACCTTACACCATTAGGTTTGTACTTTCCATTGCCTGCCTACGCAACATCCGTACCTAGGTCCTAGGTAAGGTAGGTAAGTAGGCACGGTAGGTAAGGTAGGTAAGGTAGGTAAGGTACACCAAGGATGGGAAGGTGCGGACGGGTGCACACAAAAACACCATCTTCCGTCATGCGCGACTCCCAACTCTCGCGGCGTCTGTACATGGTCGTCATCTTACAGATGAGGCTGCCTTGTCTCTTCAAAATTCAACTATGGCTGCTGCAGAATGGAGTTGAACCACCGGCCGGCGATGCGCTCATTGATGGCCGAGTTCTTGCCCTGTCAAGACACTGCACTCGCTCATTCGATTTGAGGATAGAAGCCGATATCTCTGTCAAGGTAACACAACTTCGTACGCATACATCTTACAAGGCCTTGGTTTCCCGGCCAGCAGAGACATACCTTAGGTAGACAGACTCATGGTCCAGACTCCAGACTCCAGACTCCATGGGAGCCCCCAACCGTCCAACGGCAAACAACTCATCCAACGTGGAGTTTTGCAATGTTTTCAGCCAATCCTGTGTCTTTTCGGAACCCCCCCCCCCCAACCGGCACTTTTGCACAAGGAACCACTCCAACCTAAAATCGGCGGGGCTGGTCATCATCATCATCCTCATCATCATCCACTCTTAGCTTGTTTCCAGCGTTGTTTCTCTCTTCCCATCTTGCCATCTTACAAGGCACGGATACGGGCATTCAGTACCCGTACTCGTACGGAGTACTTATAGACATAACTCAGCAATGGAAACCATCTCATCCACTCTGATACGTTGCCTTTCTCGCGTTAGTGACCAATGTACTCCTTGACCGCCAGTGAAGCATACCGACAGGTACTCCCTAGCGATTTAAGAAAGAAATAAAATCAAGAGTGGAGATGATGAGGTGGCTGGGGTATGGGGTATGAAGCATGAGGCATGGGGCTGGGCTTACGCTGGCCTCGACCCATCCCACTCAAAGCCCCATCGTGGCATCGTCTCCCACCTACCGGTACCCTCGCGCCTTCGTACACAGTAGACTCGTATTGTACGGAGTAGGCTCGTGTGGTCTATTTCATATACGTAGTAAATGTACAAAGTACGGATCCCCTCGAGTTTCCACTCCGCATTGCCGGCGACGGCCTCACCATCACGGCAGCAACACGGCCCCAGGCCTGACGTGGAGTAGTCTCAAGACTACGATAATAACAGAATGGGTACGAGAAGCTACCGAGTCCGGCCCATCTAACCCGAGCCATCCTCTCCACCCCATCTCACTTCCTTTACGGACTAACCTTACTTTACCTGGGGAATTGCAACCTTAGTCACCTTGCAGTGTAGATACCTACCTTAGGGTAAGATGTAAGTAAGTAAGTAGTATCTGTAAGTAAAGTAGGTAAACCACGTCACCGCCGCCGTCGATTCTGACGACCAACAAATGTCTCTGAGTTGCGCCTTTTCCTTGTGCCGCAGTTCCCGTGATCCCAATCATCCCTCTTCTGACCTCCAACCTAAGTAAGCAGAAGGGGGCCATTCGGTTAAGGTTCCTTGACCCAATTAACCAATCCGGGACAATCCAGACAAGCTACAGGCTATCCTACATCACACCTTCAATCATACCTACCTTTCTAATGCTATCACTATGTATCTATTCAACGTAGGTAGATCCGACTGGTGATGATTAGGTAGCGATTCGTGTCTCATTCGACCAAAAACAATACAACTAAAATTAGCGGGTATCACTCAATCAACACAAAGGTACTAACTAAACTATCCCATCTTCAACTTTTATATCCATCCCCCCAAAAAAGGGAAAACTCAAAGCCAACCCAAGACATCTACAGCTGGCTACCTGATGAGATATCTCGCTTGCTACATCATGCCATCGTCCAGCTCTAGTTCTCTTCAACGCTTTCCCTCTCCAAGCCATGACGTGGTCTGGCCCAGGAATATATACAAAATTCCATTCGTCCCATCACGCCAGCCCCATCTCCAAGATGGCTTGGCTGGCCCGGCTTCGTCCACCTCACGGCTCATGATCATCAATCACATCCAAATCAAAGTCCCGAATTCGCGGCGTCATGCTGTCCGTCTCAGACTCCTCGCGCTTCACTCGACCGTGATTATACCCGCCCCGCGCGCTCTTCCTATCCAACGTGTCGTCGAGTGCAAGGAAGCCTCCTGACCCCGTGATGTTGCTTGGCAAGGGAAGCGATTGCTGCTCGTGTTGCGAGCCACCACTGGAGCGTGCATAACTGCCGTGGGAGCCGTTGGCATCCAAAAAGGCGCTAAAGTCACGTCTTCGAATGGGCAATTCCACTGCCTCTCCTCGGTCCACGCCGCCGGCGCCGGTGCCGCCAAATGTGGTGGCACTGCGCATGCTTCCCGCACCGCCGCCCAGTCCCTTGACATTGTCTCGCGACTGTGCTCTCTTCATATTTGTACCTGGCCGACTGGATGCAGGGGTACGGATGCTGCTGGCCGTGTCGCTCTCGCTAACGACGCTGTACGCTGAGCTGAAGTGAGGTGCTGAACCCGTCGAGTGGATGGAGCGGGTCCCGGTCGTCTGGTACCCAGACCCCCGCGATGTCGTCGAAGCCGGGGCGCGTGGATACGCAAAAGGGCGAGCGAGGTTATGCACGGGACTGGTGTTGCCTGATCCGCCCGAACTCTCGGCGCCGCTGTTGTTCGGCGTGTTCCAGCCGTGCTGTACCATCCAGCAGTGAGACAGCTCGTGCGAGGCCTCGTCTGTCGTGCTGGAGCCCTTCCACGGAGGGACCCTTGTGCCTCTGAGGCGCGGAGACAGATGATACGGCACTCCGTCGCGGTATCGCACGTTGGGGGCGTCCACTGACACACTCGCCAGCGTCTGGAGAACACCGTAGATCAGAACCCAACGTCCCCGTCGGGCTACGGCCGGGTCAACCTCAGTGACGCTGTCGCTCTTTTCAAATTTCACAAAGGCGTCAATCAGATCCGATTGTGTAAAGTCAGAACCGAGGATATAAATGTTCGTGGCCTCGGTGTACGCCAACTGAACTCGTCGCTCCATGGCACCCGCTCGGACACCGTTGTTGGCACCTGCGCCAGTCTTCTTCTTGAACATGGAGCTCTCCTTTGACGGCGCGGGCGGGATGGATTCGGGTACCATAGGGTATGGGTGAGGGATATGTGGAAACCGCAACTTGTTATCGAACTCGACGAGAATGTCTGTGATGGGAATGTCGATGTCGGCGTCAAATCCCTTGTCCTTTTCACTCTGCATCATCCATTTGCGCCCTGCTCGCGCCTCAGACATATCCCAGACAATATCGCGGTTGACGAGGTAGTCGTACAGCGCCCCAAAGTCCTTTTGCAATGATTGTGCCACGTTCCTTGTTAGCCACATGTCCTCGCCGTCGGAGTCTGGAAGACCGGTCGTCTGCGCCGGCGGCCACGCTCCTTGCGAGTGCAGATAGTGGTTCAAGAAGAACCTTTGTAGACGGTCTGCAGCAGCCTTTGCCTGACCACCAACACCTGCTGGCCACATGTCGCCATACTGGAACTCTACGAGTCTCTCTTCCGCCGCCTGTACGCGGAGTTGCGTCTCGAGGCATGCTCGCTCCAGGAGCGCGCGGGTGATGGGCGTGAGGTCTTTAAAGTCGGCACATGTCTCCAGCTGGCTGTACATGCCGGCGCAGTGTAGAAAACTTTCCCGCCAGCCCTCCTCCCACCGCACAGCTGACCCTTCAGACCATGCCAGCAAGCTGACAGCCGTTTCCGGGTCGTTGCGAACATCGTCGATTCCCCGTGCTGACAGATAATTCAGGATCATACCGACGTTGTCCGCGTCCGGTGGCATATAGGCATCCAATCGCATGTGGAGGTCGGAGAGAGCCTGGTGAAGGGTCAACCCGACCAGAGATGCATGATAGAGCAACGCAAAGACGTTTCTCGTTGTGATATGGCTCCTGAGCTGTTCCGTCTTGGTCATGTTTGCGGGAGTTGGGAAGTACATTTCGTACGAAATTTGTCCATCAGCTTCGCCGAGATCCTCCGAGATGGGCGGTGTCGGTTGCCCACCGCGCATGTGTGGCCGAAGCATGGGTGGTGCGCCCTGTGGAGATGGCGGCATGTAGATGTCCTCCTCGGTCGTACCCTCCCGAAGCAACGTGATGAGATACCTCGATTCGGTCGCTTCGATTATGTGTGAGGAGAGCCTGAAGGATGGGTTCGGCCGCGGGGCTTGACCCTTGTGCCCGAAGAAGACGAGAACATCTCCATTCGGATCCCACAATTCGGGGTCTTTGCGCAGCTTATTCCACCTCTGAACAGGTCTTCCGGCGCCGATCCACCGCTTGATGGGCGGCGTGGTCGGGACAGGAGGCAACTTCGATGCTGGGGGTGGCGATGTAGGCAGATCCATATCCTGATGTCGCATTTGTTGATTCATGTGCTGCATGTGGTGTTGTTGATGCTGCTGCTGCTGTTGCTGTTGCATGTGCATCTGCCGCTGCATCTGCATCTGCTGCATCGTATCCATGTTGAACTGTTCATAGGTGTGGTCGAGCTCGGTGGGCGACATCGGGGGCGGATTCTGATGTTGACCCGGGCGTACTGTGGCAACGGATTCGGGACGGAAGTCGGGCTCCTTGTCTTTGCGCTTAAAGGTAAAAGTCTTGGCCAGGCCTCTCCGTACATCCTCGCTCTTCTTGTCCAGCCTGCTTCGCAGACCCGACTTCTCGATGCCCGAGACGTCTTCCGTCTTGATGGTGGGTCTGCGGGCGCGAGCATAGGCGAAGTCGTCGAGGGGGCCGGAGCTCCCGTCACGACGGCCGCCCTCACTGCTTCCACTGCCACTGCCTATGCTTGGTGTGCCTGGCTTGATGTCGCGGGGAGGCTCTGAGAACTTGAGGAAGCGTGCATTTGTGGTGCCGATGCCGGTGCCAACGGGTAAAGAAGCGCCAGTCTGGGGAAGCGGGAACTCGGGAATGTTGAGGTCTTCATACTCTCCTATTATGCCGCCGGTGTTTGATCTTGCCCTCGCCTTCTCTCTCTCGGCCTGAGTGATCTTCTTGCGCACATAGGCGCTTCGGCCGGACATGTCGGCGGGTGAATCTACCGGGGAAGAGACCTTGCTCACGAGGAGCCGCCGCTCACGCGCTGTGGATGGGCCAGTCCCGGTCTGGACGAGTTACAGGTATCCCGGGAGGTGCTTGCGGTGGAAAGAATGCCGTAGCGACTGCAGCTGTCGCGGATGTCGATGTCCAAGACGTAAGAAGAGCTGCACAAAGGATGTTCGTAGGGTAAGAGGAAGTAATGAAATTGGGAGAGGGAGAGAGAGTGAGAGTGAGATACGGAGACGAAGACAGACAGATAGATGGGCGTGACTGGATGGCAGCCCACCTCCCAGAGTGAGTCGAGATAAGATAGGCGACTCAAAAGTCCCCTAAAAGAACCTGGCAGGTGCTTGCCTTACCGTACGTAGGCCCTATGGTGCACCGCTGCAGAGTAAGGTACCTGCCTACCTATCTGAGGTACAGGATGGACTCGGTACAGTGTACCTCAAATACAGATTGCCCTAATTGGGCAAGGTGCTGGGTAGATAAGGTAAGGTAAGGTACGTTTGGGGGCCACGCTACGTAGTCGAAATGAGCAGTGAGGGGGCTCACTCCGATAAGCTAAGGTAACCAACGTAGGTACTCCGTACGGTACCGCGTAGGAAAGGGAAGGGAAGGTAAGGTAAGGCACGGCAAGGTAGGGTACGGGATAGGTAAGGATTTGTCGTAGCCTGGTAAGGAAAGTGAAGGGGTGAGTGTGAGCGTTTGGGTGAGTGTGAGAGTGAGAGTGAGAGTGAGAGTGAGAGTGAGAGTGAGAGTGAGAGTGAGAGTGAGAGTGAGAGTGAGAGTGAGAGTGAGAGTGAGAGTGAGAGTGAGAGTGAGAGTGAGAGTGAGAGTGAGAGTGAGAGTGAGAGTGAGAGTGAGAGTGAGAGTGAGAGTGAGAGTGAGAGTGAGAGTGAGAGTGAGAGTGAGAGTGAGAGTGAGAGTGAGAGTGAGAGTGAGAGTGAGAGTGAGTGTGAGTTGGTGAGCAGAGGGAACCCAGCCGATTTGGGGTAGAAGGTTCCGGGCAATGGCGCTGCTCCTGTGGCGTGTCGTTCCCCAAATGACGGTCCGTTTTAGGGTGTCTTGAGCGGTTGTGGTGCGTCTGTTGCGCCCGCTGAGATGGGCGGATGCGGCCGAGTTTTCCCTCGTTTTGTTCTTTCTTCCTCCTCCTCGTCTATCACGTCTCCTCTTTTGCGTCTGTTGCGTTTTGTCTGTTCTACCCGTTGAATCTTCTCTTTCTGCAGCAGGTTGTGTATCCAAGAATGGGTCGTCTTCCTTCTCTCAGTGTATTTCAATTCAGATGAATAAATGGAATCTCGGATGACGGGACTAAAACGCAGTCACTCATCAGCATGGTTCAGAGGGCAGTGGGAAGAGGAGAGTAGCTTCGGGCAACAAAGGGAAGGATTCCTCACGTAAAAAAAAATTATAAAATTTTTTTGTTGATCCTTAAACACCCTCAGCCAGGTAGGTACTCAATGCCTTTTGGTGAGATGAGAATTGTGGGATGAAAGCAGTGTACTCCGTAGGTGAAAACAAGGATGACAAGCCAAGATCACAAATGAGACCTCTTTGCAGCAGCACCCATTCAGTTCTTTTTCGACGACAGAACGACGCCAAGACGATGTGGTGCGTACTCGATTTATAAGTAATAGCCGACAGAAAAGATCGAGAGCCAACAGATTATCGTCGTTCCCAGATGGGATTCGCGCCACCGCTCAAGTTTCGGATTCTACTCGAAGGATCCCTGAACATCCGTAGTGTCGTAGCGATTGCGTGGAGAGCGCCCGTTTGTACGCAGCTAGTTATCGTTCGGCCGGTCGGTGAAGTATGGGAATCACTCGGTTCTCGGACAGCCTCGTCAAGTCCGCGCGTGGCTGATCCAGTCGCGAGGGGAGATGGAGAACCTGCAAAGAGGGAAACACAATAACGAACCAGAAACAAAGCAGCAGAAAGCAAAGCCAGACACCGGGTCACACGCGGACCAAGGTAAGCTGGCACTGGCACTATCATTGAGACGAACTCGCAGAATGAGAATGGAGGGGGCATTTCCCCCAGATATTCAAATCACGCCTGCTCTAGACTCAAGACTCCGCGTCCGTCCTTCGCGGCTTGTCTCCTCTGCGGCTGGACCAACCTGAGAAACGCCCGTTGACATGTACCTTGCCCTGCCCGTCCATACATGGCCTTGCTTGCCTTGGCTAGGAGCCGGCCATACGGATACAGCCCTTACTGAACCGAGTTACTACGCCGTCCTTGCCCTCGTTCTCCGTCCCGTCCGTCGTCGTCTGCAGTGCTGCAAACTCGAGGGCCGCAGCCGGTTTGGCCTAATTAATCACCTTGCGTGTCCGGGTGCCGCCATGCACAGTACATGTTCACAGAATGCCATGTTTATTCGTGACTTGGGAGGGATCTGCTGCTCAACGTTGGCTTAGCTCGTCTACGTCTGCGCTTATTCGTACCGTCGTACCCAGTCCAACTCAGCAGCTTTCGTGCCCCCATCTTACCAAGGCTTCTTTGTCCCAATGTCGCGTTCAACCAGGGAATAGGGATTGGTAGTAGCTGCAAGGTATCCGTAGATTCGTGGGGGATATCCCAGCTAGGACAAAGCGCCAACGCCAGCAGCCAACCCCAGGAGTCTTTGCAAGCTTCATTCCTTACACTCTGTACACCGTGCTCCGTAAGGTAGTAAAAATAGGGAAGAGCTCATTCAGTCGGTCTACGGAGTAGGGATCATAGGGCATATTTGTACCTACATCCTTGCATCACCTCATAACAAGAAACGAGTGCTCTCAATAGTGCCATGGGGTTCAGCAGAATGTCCAAACCTACTGTCAACCCATCCTGGACCCGAGGTGACACTGACAGTCGGTCTTCTTCGACATGGGTTGGAACCATTGGTGATTTTGCCCTGCAAGGGGCCCTGGTAAAGCTCAGGAACAAGGGTGGTTGCGGCCAAGAGCCCGGCGCTGCAGTAAGACCGCGCAGCATGCAAAGAGTGCACCACGCTCGGCGACCAGAAGGATCCAGACCCTGGTCTGCCAGCCCGATTGATTGTGCCTCGCCGATTGATTTGATTGACTGAACGATATGACATGTTAGATTGGGAAGGAGAAACTCTGAAAAGTTCTGATAGAGGCGCAGCTTGTCGTGTCTATCAGTATCCGTAGGCATGAACAACGCTAGATTCTCACTCCAGAGTCTAGATCATCATGACATGGGCTCTTCGCACAGCATGGACTTGTGGCATGGCATAGCATGGATCGTCGCGTCCCATTTTTAACTTTGCCATGCAGGTGACAACTATCGAGCACTGGAGATTACATGTCAATATCACCGTGAACTCTGCTGACTGGACTCACTGGAGTCTCGCCCACAGGAAAGAAGTTATCCAGGTATCCAACGCATGGACGAATACTCCGTACAAAGGATGATGTACTCCGTACGGAGTACGAAGTACACATGGATAGAGACGATTGCTCGTCGACTCCTCTTTTTGCTCCGAGATTGGCCCCCAACTGCGATGCATCCGTCCATCCGAGGTTCCCATCGGTGAGCCATCCACCTTCATGCCTACCCAACCCCAAGTTGAGACTGCAATGTTTCAATAGGAATAGTTTCTCGAGGGCAGCGCTCCAGGAGTTCGCTTATATTCTATCAAACCCAGGTCTTTGGGTCGTATCCTGATTCCTCCAGGGACTGTGTCGCCGTCGCCGAGGATGCAACATGGCGACACCGGTCACACCCTTGTCGTCGACCCGCGGCGAGCCATGTTGTCCACTTCGCTTCACAGTGTAGGCATTCGTCGTGGTGGTCGTACCGGATAATGTACGGAGCACTACGTTTACTCAGGGCACAAGACACCGAGACCCAACAAATATTGTTGCCCATCCAAATAACCAGCCGAAGAACAATCACGACGTCCGTGCAGGCAAACAACGAACACACAAAGGCTGGTGAGAATTGCAACGAGCATCATAATCTAGATGCCCTACCTACACAGTAGCTAGCCAGTACTTACGGTCCCACGTAAGCTTGGCGTGATATTTCTAGGTTGTATTACCCACATGCGCTATGCCTCATTCTTGAACCCCTTTTCCCCATCTCGCGCGGAAATAAAACAAATAAAAACAACCAAAAAAAGTCAAAAGTACCAACGCTGCAGAGAAGCCTGAAGGTCTTCACTAACAGTCACCGTTGCAAGCCCAACGCCCTTGGCCCCTTATCAGCAATCACAAAGGTCATGCCCCTTGCAGTTGCAGTCGCACTAATGCAGGCAAATTTGGCCGTCATGCCTGGATTTCATCCTGCATGTATGGAGTACGCAGTACGGATACAGAGTCGCTGCTCCGCTTCCTGATGCGAACCGTGGAAAACCGTGACGGGTCAACTTCCCAAGGCTGAATTGACTTACTAAGTCGGTGCTCAGTCCCTCAGGATCCCAAGACCGGTAGACTGACTGTAAGTGTACGGAGTAGGTCGTAGGTATAGACAGCTAGGTGATGACATTCCCCATGTTAAATTTTCCACTCCATCACTTCTTTGTCCGCACCTTAAAGCTGCCGATCCAATTCTGGTACTTGGCCCAGTGTTCGCGGTTCGCCTTGGTTGTGTTGGTTGCGTTGGTTGCGTTGGTTGCGTTGGTTGCGTTGGTCGCGTTCGTTGGTTGGGGTGTCAGTCTTCATGTTCTATCCGTACAACGCAACATCAGATAACCTCAGCTACCATCACCTCTCCCAGCTTGCCATACCAGTTGGACATGCGTAGATGCGTCCATCCATCCAGAGGCACCCCATTGTCTATGGACTGTGCTCAAGGCGCAGACGTCCTGTCGATATAGCCCACGGACCTCAAGGGTCGCATCTCTCCTGCATTGTGTAACGCCTGGCTTGGGCTGAAAATTATAGGCAAAGGTTGGCGGAACGACGCTCCCAAAGTAGCATCGTTCAGATTTGGAGTCTCTGTAGTAAAGGTTGCAAAGCTGGAAACCCCATAGTAACGCAATATGGTTGACCAAGTGGCTCCTAGACTTATGTTCTTGAGAGTCTACTCCTCCGCTCGCACGTCGACAAAGGTTTCTTTGTGCCGTGCTTTCGTCCCAGCCATCATGACATGGCACGTCATGGTCAGCACTAATGAGGCAAGCCCCAAACACCCTCCGAACGCCGTCGCGCGAAAGAGACGGGCGTATTTCGTCAGAACATCCACCCCAACGTACGGCCTATGGCTTCTGGGTTGGATAGCGCCAGGGACGAGTCCAAGCAGAAATAGTTTCGAAGGATTGCCGAAAGTTGGAAACCCCCAGGATCATGGATGGCCTGTAGGTATGGCGCAGCAGCCCTAGGAACCAGCGACTTCACAATAGAGGAGGAAGGAGTGCATGTCGGCGATACCAGCTGTGTAAGCATGGTTCATATTACAATGTTGTTGTACGGATACAGATGGCCCACTGAAGTTAACATGGCTGGTGTGAGAGGTAGCTGATCACCTGGCGAGAAGGACGGACAGGCGAGACTCTCATTGATGACTGAATGAACTCTGAGTCTGGAGATATGTGTACGGATACTCCGTATACGATCAGTTTGCAGATATTAGCTTTGACAGCTTTTGGTAACGTAACAGATCCAGCGCGCCGGGCTCCTCATGTCCCAAGTTCCCAACCCCGCCCCCGGCGCCCTGGGCTGGAGTCTTGGACCCTTGAGTCTTGACTACGTCCGTGACTCTCGTCGTCCATGCCGATCAGCCATGGCCACATGGCATCCATCGACGGTAACAGCCCTGCCACCTCGAACCAGTGGGCCCGGCGTGTGGGCCCTGCTCGCCGGTGAGCTGTGACACTTCTCACCTGGACGGGTACTGAGTACAAGTATACTGCGTACGGAGTAGAGTTTGTGCCACGACTCACGCGTTCCTGACAGACATGTCTTTCGATATACAGCTCGGTGACTGGTGGCAATGGGGCATGTGCATTTTGCAAAATTGCACGCGCAGTCAAGCTGGGAATGAACTTGGCACAGATACGGAATGAAAACCACTGTGAGCCTGTGATTGCGACGCTGTATTCGTACCAACATGCGAATCCGGCCACCGGGCGGGTCTCATATCTCTACCTCCACCAGGCTGCACTCCGCATCACATTCCTGCGACGCCATGAAGGACCTTTCTTTGCGGCTGTCCAGAGAGCTTCGTACGGGCGTTTGAATCCGACTGCAGCCAGGGATTCGTCAGACCAACGAGGCACCAAGGCCCCAGTATGCCCGCAACAGGAAGCTCGTTGCCATCAGCTTGTTCAATTGCCCAAGCCTTGCCTTCAAGCTCTGATCCATCCACCTACTTATGTAGGGTCCGAACTGGAGGAGTCAAGAGTGAACCCTCGGGTGGGGGGCTGCTTTCTTTGACAACACAATTATGCCTCAAAAGACATGTCCGTAGCAGGTTCACTAGGCTCTCAAAAAGGCTGACTAACCTTGTATCCGTACAGATCGAAGATGCGAATGCATAATGAAGTACCCGCCGCCATGCAACGAATGATGATCCCTTTTCGGCCGAGGCATCGCAGCTTCGAGATGTATGTGTTGGCTTGAGCCAATATGAGGGGGCCGACATGGACAATGGTGGCTAGACACCGGTCCCTTTTCCGTCAAGCCCCCGCTGGCACGCCGCAAGTTCCGGGAAATTCGGGAATGGCTGGTGACATCCAGAATGGACAGCCACGGGTTGTCCGCCGATTGAGCAGAACCTTCCACCGCAGTCCGCGTGAGCTCTCCGGTTCTGGCACCCGACTGTCCCCTCCACATCCGGTTCCTCCTTTTCTTATCTTATTCCCGCACATCCCGACGAAGATTTAGCAGAAAGGGGAAGCGGGTAGGCCTGTGCACGGCGCTCAAGATGGCTTCAGCGTGATACTGCTTTTGTTGGGAATGGATATGGAATGATCCGTAAGCGTATCTGTATCTGTATCCGTATCTGTATCCCAGAAAGACGGAAACCAAATTCGACTTCTACTGTAGTATTGATCAGAGGATTGGGGAATTTTCGATATTTGATTGTGTGAAGAATCATTCGACGTTGTTGGGTTGAGCGCTGTCGAGAAGCTCCGAAACGCGCTACGTGGCACTAGCACGATCTACCGCGTGGCGTCTCTGCGCACGTCCCGACGCGATGGATCTCGAGCCAGATTCGACGTCCATCACCGTTGCGAGGGAGGCGGTGGCAGCGAGCGACGAGGACCTGCCATCACGAAGGGTGCGAAAGCCATCCGCGAAAGCCCAACTGAACCAGACTCATCAAGAGATAATCGACAATGCGACCGACGGAGCGACGGAGGTTGCTGGTGGTGGCCGGCGGACGACGACCAAGCGAGCCACAACCCTGGCCAAGGAACGCGCGAAACCCATAGAGGATGACGACAAAGGGCTGCTCCTGACGATGGGCAAGCAGGTCAAAGAGCTACACACAGCGGTCAAGATCATGTTCGATGCGTGGAAGAAGTCGGAAGCACGGAATAAAAACGTTGAGGCAGAGCTTCGCGTGGTCACTTCGGAGCTGCAAACAGTCAAGAGCGAGCTACAGGCCGTCAAAGGAGAGCTGCAAGCGATGAAAGAACGCGTGGAGGACGAAAGCGCCAAGACGAACGAAAACCTCGAAGCACTCGCAACAGTTGCTGCGACGCGGAACAGCCCAAGTGTGTCCTACGCGGACGTCGCGCGAAGCGGCTTAGGTGGGCAAGGTCGCGACTCGCGGGTAGCCACGGCGGGCAACGCGACGCTGCCGAGCCGCAGCGACCCCTTCTGTACGA